TTGTTTTTTTTTTTTTTTTTTTTTTTTTTTTTCTTTTTTTTATTTTCTCGCTATACATCTTTTTTTTTTTTTTTCGTTTTCCGGCGGCCCCCCCCCCCCCCCCCCTCCCGCGTGGGTAGATAGATACAAGAGATAGATAGGTACATAAATAGAATACTCCAAGTCCTTGCTGCAACGAGATAGGCTCTCCCATTGATGTGTATATATATAATATACGTTAGTATATCATAAAAATTCTTCACTGGGGACCTCTGAGATGCAATACTCATCAATAGGAGGTAGCATTGGCAATATACCAACCTACATACACAAGATATGCACATGGGATATGTGCTCAACTGATATCACGACGAATGGCAGAGCATGGCTTAATCTTCCATCTATATGCTTCATCTATAAGATTGATTCACTTTATAGTCTATGTAGATTAACATCTGCGCGGGCTCTGCAACCTAGATAAGGTCTGGCTGGAGTTCCTCTGTACATAGTAGACATCATATACGAAGGACATCACCCAACCCTCTCCTATCTTGACAACCGTACGAACATACCAGCACTCAAAGTTGGTACGTCACATCACAAATAGATACATCGTGTAAATCATGTAGGTTGCAGAAACATAAACCAAAAAGGGTCTATTCCAGGTACTTCGTGGCAGATATACTTGTGCCAGGTTGTGCTCAAGGCCCAAGCCATGGTCCTTTGAGTAGTGATACACCACCAATATGCAAAACATCCCAAACCCGACAAGTAGCAGACGTCGCCCATCAACGTCATCAGCCTGTCCACCTTTTCCGGTATGCAAGTATCCAGAACGCCAGGATGATAAGGGAGCCCCTTCCCTCACATCCCATCCAAGTCCCCGAAATCATTAAGACAATATGTATGATGCTGCCTTGTCCAGGGTCCCCTTCCACATGACGCCGTTGACTTCGCCCACGATATATGTATAAATGTGTGGATGTTATAAAATTGCTTCCAAGGGAATGACAAATGAAAATGATTTAGACACCGTCCTTCCCAGGTAGAAGTCGTAGTAGGTACAAAATAGTGCATACCCTGCGACGTCAAGGTAACTCGACGTGCTAGGATGCAAAATGGTTGGGAGAGAAAAAAAGGGGTAAAAATGGGTGACCAAGGCGAAAGCGTTAAATAGTACGTGAAATGGATGCCCCGAAAGCAACTTTCCGAGCGGTTTGAGGGACTGTGGAGTGTAGCCGTGATGGGATGTAATTGCTCATAAACGTTCAGTAAGTTTATGCTAGATATTCAATGTAATATCATAGACGGTCATCATGGTGGTGAGCATTGGGATCGTGAGGCGGTTGGTTACGTCTGCCATTTTCACCGCGTGCGGCAACCCACTCTGCGTTGCCGCTCTGTCGAGCAGGTTGTTCAGCGGGCAATTTGTCGTTAGCAAAAGAGCTTCCACCTGACTGGCCGGATGGCCGCTGGCTGTTATGGGGTGAGCTGGGCGAGCTTAGCTCGGGCACCATCCTCGTTACAGCCTGGGTTATCGATGCAACAACGTAACCCCTTAACTCGCGATCCTCCTTCGAATCCTCCTTCTCTAGTCTGAATCGCTGTTCCTTGCTTAGATTCGCTCGTCGGAGATTCTTGATCTCCTGCATGAGGTAAAGCATCACGTCTTCGGAGCACCTAGTTCGGTCGAGAGAATGCTCACTCTTGCGTACGTATCGGCGAGTCACATCCGTAGCGCCATCTATGCTGAAAGCAATGCAGTATGACATCCGTTTACCCCATCCCTCGGCATAGAGTCGTGGATTGTCCCAAGCTTCTTCGCAGGCATCGACATGAATCCATCGCTGCTTATGTTCTGAATAGACCTCCGTCCACACGTGGTCCTCGGCATTCCATACCCATCGTACACGACCACCCACAGCGCGGCATAGCATGCTAAAGCAATTCGCCCATTCACCGCATCGGCCTTTTCTTGTCTGGAGCAGCTGCCAGACGTCGCTATATCGAGGAAATCGTTCGTACGCTCTGCATGATTGGTTCGAGCACTGGTACAACTCGACTCTCATTGCGCCACGCGCACTTTCCTCTGGCGTTGACTGAGTCATACCTTTCGCAACAGTTGGTGACAAACAAACGGGGCAGGGCGGGTTGTTCACCCAAGTGAAGAAAGATCGTTTAAACCATCTGCGGTGAGTTAGCACCTCGCGATTACGCATCTAACGACAATACGTAGACCAATCACAGTAACACGGACCTTAATAATGCCTTTATGACACAGTCTTGGTAACCCCATTCAGGCTTACGACCGTCGCCCATGCTCTCAGCTTCGGCCTGTAAAACTTGGCTTTCCTCTTCGGCTTCGCCATATATTCTGTCCAAAGGTATCAATTGCAAGGCCTCATCTAGTAGGCCAGGGTTCTCGAAGGTTGTTGGTGTCTGTGATAACGCGATAAGTAGGTTGCGAAACTTGTGTGCCGATTGGTCGTGCGGCGCGGGTGCGGTGGGCATTAAGGGTAGGTGGCGGAGAGATGAATATGATGGGAGCGTTGAAGAAGAGGCATGAGCATGGCCGTAGGAGGTTGATGGCCTATCAGATGGTGTCGAGGAAGAAGCACGCAAGTTGGAGGAGGAGGCTCGCTCCCTAGGCGACGGTGATCCACCTCGTGCTCGAAGTGCCCGAGATTGCCCCAATTCCTCTAACCGCTTCGTTTTTAATAGCTGTTCAAACTGAATTCGCAGGTCTCTTGCCCAATCCTCTCCATAATCCTCCTGGTCATTGCGACCAGGCGTGTTTGGACGGTTAGCCATGGTGACCGATCAACTGTTTCAACCAAGGTAATGACTGTGGGTTACGAATCGCAGGTATATTTTTAGTCGCGATGCAAGTGTTGGAGGAGGCGGCAGTGACTCGCAAATACGCTAAAGAATTATCGACGATCGGATGGTATCGTCTTTTGTGATAAGAGGTTCGAGGAGGATTGAGCCGGGCAGCCAATCTCCCCTACAACCCGAAAGGGACGGCCGACGACATTCGATATCGATGGCTGGTTCGCTCTTCTCGCAGGCAGGTAGGGCTATGGCATACAGAGGTCTTTCCGGTCGTCGCGTGCGATGTCGTCCCGGGGGTGAAATCGGCGGATCGAGCTTCGAGGCCTATGAGAATAGCGGCGTGGTGTTCACTTCGAATGCGAAGGCGGATATATTAGCGGCGGTAGTCGTACATGTAGGTAGACGGCGACAAGTCGACGGCGACAATCAAGACGAAGACCACAACCACAACGGGGACAAGGCGGACACGGAAGGGTAAGTAGGTAAGGTAGGGAGGGTAAGGAAAGATGGGGCGGCGCAGTGAGCAATGGGCAAATGGGCAAATGGGGAGGGGACGAAAGTAGTCTTTTAGATACAGGGGAGGGAATAATGAATCACGGGCGACAGCAAAATGGCGACAGATAGGTCGAGCAGAGAGACGGGCGGGATGGAGCCTGGATCTCATCTCTGGGGGAGGTTTGAAGGGTGCCGATAGGTAGCGGCGCATGTACCCAGTTCCGGGCGAACATGTACTGTACGCTACAGACTGTACGGTACGTGTACACCACGTACATCCGTTAGGTACTTGCTCCGTTCTTACATTAAACCTACAGTACCGTAGTTCTCTTATTACCTAGCGAGATACGACTATTGTACCTTGTCCATTACCTACTGCCCATTGTACGTACGTACACCTACCTGACAACGACAACCTACCAGACACCTACTATGTACTTAACTATGTACTTACTACAGGATGGTGGGTCAGGTTGCGTAGCGTTGCGTTGCGTTGGCCTTTGCGCTCGCTCGCTGCACATATGGTAACGTACTTGGGTACCTATGTATGCTGACGCGATGGCAGTACGTGTGTAGGCCGTAGACGTGCCTAACTTACCTATGTAGGTACTGTAGGCGGGTGGTCGCTGCAGTGTACCTTACTTAAGTGTAAGTACCTAAAGTACCTAGGTAGGTACTACTTAGTGGACTCTACCCACTGTAACGCCCCTAGCCAGAGTCCTACAAGATCCCTACTCTAGGTCAGGACAGTGGTCGGCACCAGCGCTACCCACCCGCTACCTACGCTATGCTACCGGTAGGTTAGGTAGGTAGTCGAGGCAGCGCGGGCGGAAACCCTCCCCACTCCACTCCTACCTCCACCCGCGACCCCTCCCCTCTGCGCTCCCAGACCCTCCACTCGCCTCCCTTTTCAACATGGTTCATCTTTCATCTGGGTGACGCGCGTCTCCTCTGTGTTGGCGGCCAATCATGGCGATCCGCACCCACTCTGTCCCATCGTGCAGTCCGTATCTCGATAATCTTGACCAGGATGGGGAGCGAGATTTCTACTTACTTACATACTGTAGTTTCCCATCGCGCATCTGCAGTGATATAGGTAAGTAGACGAGCGAGAACGGGGTAGATACGTGGGAATGGTCTGTCTGCTAAGAGAAGAAAAATTAAATTCAATAAAATTACGATACTTCTTCTTTCTGATCTACTTACGTATCAGTATCAGTAGGTAGGTGAAGACGGAAAGGTTACTTAAGGGTATGAGGCCTACGTGTGCTAAACGCCACCGACGCCACCAAGCTTATGCTACCGGTATAAGCTCCTGACGACGTACCCTCGCCTACGTAGTAACCTGTAAGAGGTGACGTGACGGTAGGTAGGTAGGTAGCAGCGACGACGTTCAACCGAGGACTGGTAGAAGCAACATGGTCTAAGATGATCTGTCTGTCTATCTTCAATATCCTCGATACATATCTATCTGTCTGTCTGTCTCTAGCTACCTACGATAGATGTCTGTCTTCCCGTCTCGGGACTTCACTCTATTGTAAAGATAGCTCTGTCGTGGCTGAGACGGCAGATCCGATACCAGTGGCTGAGCAAACCTGAAAATGATTGGGTAGCACTGCCACTACAAGAGCCTGTGAGGGCCGGACAAAGCTTCTTTGTCCCCAGCACTGCTCCGCTCTGGGCATTCTACAGTAGGGAGTGTACTTTCTACTGTTCTTCAAGAGCTACAGCTCGAGTACCTACCTACATAAGGTAGACGAGGGTAGACATCTGGCTGCAAGGAAGTCTAAGTAGTCTCCTACCAGAGTAGATAGATATTCGACACCGTAGCGCAAGGACGGCGCATATAAAACGAGATGGAATAACGAACCGGGTGTTTATAGCTCTCCTCGAGTCGGTAATGCTCTACCGGTATGTGTAGTGTAAGTACGCATCAAACATTTTTAAGGAACTGTTTGCTGCCTGTTTGCTACCTCTGTTTGTAAGATGGTAACAATGACGACAACGAGGGACAACTCCAGCCGGATAACATATACCCCGACAGCCCTTACGACCCGGCATACCAGGCAGATACCGCAATAGTGTATATACGAAACGCTTCCCTTGCTGAAACTTGCGATGATCGTGAACTTTTCTTCGTAACCTTCCGCCGAGACCCTTGCCATCCATGCTATGGTACCTACCTACGTAAGGCTGTAACGGATAAGTAACCGACGACGCCCACCCACTTATCCATTTTAACTACAGATAAGGCGCAGGTTGTGTGGTGTGGGTTGTCTCGGGTGGGTTGTTACATGGCAAACTGCCCTGCCCTGCCCTGCCGAGTCCGATCGGACTCGACCGGCCCGTAGCCAAAGCGAGAGAGCTCTACGAGAGAATGACGGATCTACATTACTTGAATGCGATTCCCAACATTCCGTATCTGCTTACGACGACGGCCTGCGACGGTCATTCTGTCTGATAGGACCGGCATTGCCTTTCTGCGCAGGTCAGCAGCCAGCATGTGCAGCCAAAAGTCTGTTATTCTCATCGGCTGTCACACATGCTCCGGGCCGATTTCTTCAAATCAATCAATGGGTGGTACAGCAAAGGCAAAGGCCTTTAAGAAACCATGTTCCACGCGGCTAGCCTTCGTGTTCCACGGCCGCATCTTTGCAGCACCGTGCGCATCCTACTGCCACACAGAGCCTCAACTCTAAATGGGAGAGGGAGGAGGAGGAGGAGGACAACAACCAAGTCTCTCGCTATCTCACTTCCTATTACTACGTACGTGTAGATTGCTTTCTCCGTGTTTACCCTACTAGGTACCTACACACACGCACACACACACACACGTCCATTGTCAACGGCGGCCTACCTACCTACCTACCTACCTACCTATACATCCATATCAAACTTAGATTTATTGTCTCCTTACCTACCCAACACCCGAGCATCGTGTAAGTACGATACACCCTAATGTTAAGTATGCATACCTACTACCGGTACATACTTAAGTAGGTATACTTGGTATTTAGCAGTCACCTACCTACGCTCACTTGATTACCATTCTGACCATTTAATGACCATTAAAGTAATGATCCTATTGATAAAACCAGAGGTGGACATCCCTACAAACAAGTCCTGGTAGCGTGACATGTCCCAGGAGAAATCGGCCTATGAAAAACTGGCCTTACCCAAGCGCTGACGCGTCGTCCATCCCCTGCTCAGACTTGATCTGCCCTGACTACTATGGTACATACGAAGTAGAGAGAGAGGCTTGCGTGTCTCACGCCAATGGCCAATCCCGCGCCGCCTAATGTACTACCTAGGTATGTATGTACGCGCACTACTACTGTATGTACCTACCTAGAGTAGGTAATGGAGGCACTATAGGCACCTAATTAGTCTATGTACTTAGTTGTAGGTACCTACCTAGGTACATATGTCTGTATTTAGGCACGTCTCTCGTTTCTAAGCTTCTTTTTTCAACGTCAGTCAGTCCCGTAGTTTTAACTCTCCCTATGCCCTTGCGTTCTGTCTCTCTTTCGTCCGCCTCACCAGATGCCATCTAACACTTTATTTGTTTTGGGTTTCCACGCTACTTACCTACTCAACATAACATCAGTCGCTACAAGATAGTCTGAGTTTACGCCACTGTATAAGAGGTGGTGATGCGCACCCGGTTGAAACTGCACGTGCCAGCTTCGTTGCTGACGACAACAGTACCGACAATACCGGATCCTTCATCTCATGACTGTACGGTACTCGCACATTTCATACTATCGTAAAAAAGTAGGCAGCGAGAACGGCAAAGCGTTCGCATATCCCTCCTCACTTGCCGCTTTTGCGGTGTCTGTGCGGTAAAGAGCCGATTCAGCTCGAATCCAAGACAAGGATATACCCAGGCCTACAAGCAAGCAAGCTTCATCCCAGGTGTTACAAGGGTTTCTAAGTACAGTATGTGCTTACGTGACGTTACTCGAACGGTCCCATCCAGACTTATGGTCACTGCTGTCTATGAAAGTACGAGCCTCGATGGAACAATATATCATAAGCTCATAACCAATATGAGGGTAAATCCGTTAGAATAAATCGAATGTTTGTACTGGAAACTTCACTCATTCATTACCTGGAAGAGGAAAATTGTTGCGTCACCATCTCCTCATACCAACATGGCCAGATCTGGCCAGTCTGACCAGGGCTACGTGTACTGATCGAGTATCGGTGAGGATGAGATTGGTAGGGCTGATCGAGCTCCACTACTTTCATAGAGCATAACGGACTCGCCTAGAGGTTAAAGATGCCTAGTTTGGACTCGACAATTTTGGTATAGATCAAGGAACATATAATTGACGGATGTGAGCTTCGGTTTGCTGTGGAAACCCATTTCTTGCCCGATATTGAACGTATTTTTCGCGTAACATGTCGACAACAGTACTCACGAAACCAACTTCAAGCGAGGGTTCTTTTTAATGCCACTCAAATGTATGTGCTGTCGCCATCAAAACTTATTCTTGCGTAATTCCATTTTAGAAAGTATGATAATTACCTACCTACCTACATAAGTCCCTAGAGATCTCTATCACACACGTGACCATTGTAGCCATCGCTCGGTTGAATAGCTTGATTCTCCTCCCTTATTCTTATATTACTCGAGGTACACAATAAAGACTACACTCAATAGTCGCCCCCGCTTTGCTCTGCTTGAGTAGTAGCTTCGTCGACACGCAATACAACGCAGGATCCTTCATCCAGGTCGGGCCTTTGCAAACAGCGTGACAAACTTATTAATTGTACAAATATCCACTCACTCCTCTTCTCACAATGTAAGCGCTGCCGCTGGCTGCTAGGTCTTGCAGGATTTGTCGTCGCCGCTGAAGTACAGCCAATTACTAACCTTTAACCTCGCTTCAGGGTGTTCGTCACCAGACGTCACGAACAAAGTCCCATCAGGCTGGAGCGGTGAACAAAGCTGAGTCGGCAGACACTTGGAAACCACGTAAGCCCTCCCCTCAGACATGTCCAAGGACGCTAAAATCGAGAAACGAGATCGCTGACCGACGTCTTTCCCACCTCATAATTCACCGAGCTTGTACACATTGGTCATTAGAGGTAGGTAGTGCGTCATATGATGCGGCGCGCTGGCTGTGTAGCTCCATGCCATTCGAGGGTAACGTATCATCCTTAATCTATTGACAATGAATTGGATGTTCGCTGTTAGGTCGATACTTGGTGTGGGCTGGCTATTTGCGGGTTTGGCCGCGTGGGCAGGCCTCGAAATCATGTAATGTAGACGCAACGGAGTTAACTTGGTCTAGAAAGAAGGATCCAAGTTCTACATCTGGACAAGCGAGGGAAAAAAACTCGTTTGGTTAGAAAAGACTTTTCGACTAGTCTTATGCATCTAGCTTCCAATGCAAAGGATCATTAAGCTCGATGATGAAGATGACGAATACATCTTCGACGTTCAGCTTTGATGTACGAATCTTATCTTGACCTGTAAGTACACTCTGCATACGTAACGCTGATAGTCACAATTCGCTTGCGTGGCAGCCTCGAGCTTTGCAACCTAGCGCAGCTTGGATAAAGAGGCAGCAGGATAGGGAGGGACGCATATCTATGGAGCAAACAAGGAGATCAGTCGAATCTCTTCATACTTCCCGAAACTCGCTAACTAAATAGACCGTTTACGCTAGCAGCCATCTGCCGTCGTCGTCATCATACACTACCACGTGGACAAGAAGAAAGAAAGACAAAAAAGGCGCAGCATCCGCTAAAGCTTGAGCCATATCTAGATACAGGCAAACTGAGATAACAATTTTGCTTCGATAAACTATGAATTATAAATCATTTAAATATATCTCTTAGTGATAATTTACAGCTCAAAGCCTATCCAGTAAATGCTAGCTTTATTATTATAACAAGGGCAGAGATACTGGGCTTGGAACTTGAGCAATTCAGATTATATGAACAACTAGGGCTGTATGAGTCCTTGACCAACCAACCCCTTCCTGGCTGTTGGTGGCTTGACTCGACTCTATATACAACTGGACTGCCAGCGCAGACCGCCTAGGTCTCCGGGGTCTGTTTCAACAAGCGAAGTCTGTATAACCTCAGTTTCCAATATTGCCTGCATGTCTCTGTGAGATCATGAATAGCCTGCAGTGGCCTTTTGTACGGCCGAAGCGCAAGGCGAACTGCATATTTACCTAGCACAGCGTTTATACGTGTGACAATTAAGATAAAGTAAAAGATATAAAGTCAGAAGAGAAAAATATTGAAAAGTATATTGTTAGAAATATTATTATATTAGTTGTAACTATCATATTACAGTATAATTTACTTATCAATTTACTCAACCTTTTGTCAGGTTTTCATGATATTATTCAATCTATAACGCACACTTGACAGCTTATTTACCGTAAAGCGTGTAGTTGAGAACAATAATCTTCACATACACTGTGTGGGCGTAAGCCTTTCTACAAAGTTGCTAGTTCATTGTATAATATTCTTATAAATTTCAATCAAATTGAAGGCGATGTAACTCTTGTCCACGGTCGATTTTGTCCAGCGGACTTTTGTGCGATTGTATCTGAGAATCAGGAACTAAGGCGCGTTGACGGCACCACAGCGTGTGTCCTTGCGAAGAACGTTGGGAAGAGCTGGTGTTTACTAGATAGACTCTTCTAACCCTACGGCAAACTCTGGACTCAATGCTGAACAGTCAATTCTCATAGCGAAACTCCTCTTATCTAAAGCGTTCAGATGGGGTTCTTGCTTATTGTAATAATCCTTTGCACCTTATGGTGTAACTCGAGTGAAGGTGAGACGATCTGCGAGGTTAACGAACAAAACATGTTGCTCTGAGCCATAGGAGCCAGGGGGGCGGTAGTAAATAAGCATTATTGTTGTGTCTGTATATATAATCGGCATTCGCTTCCCACCAAATTCTAAACAACTCAAGTGGGATAAGAGTTATGCCAGAACTGCAGATTGTTAATAATAAATATAACCCTGTGGGATGAGACCTTCTAGTAGAGGATTGAATTCAGGTTGGAATGTAAGTGTGTAGATTATGAAAGGAGTGTCACGATATTGGAACTGATGATAACATAGAGACTCTGTATTAAAACCCTCCATATAATAATATATTACACCATACGATGCCTCCATGGTTACAGTTTGTATGACTAACTCGGCAATTCCGGATATTTCTTCCTTTAGAGCTTCACTAACTCGTCCTGTATCTTCTATTGCCTTCTGCATAACTACCTCGCTCTTGGGCGTGGTAAGTATTACTTGTTACCTTTATACCTGGCCCTTGGTGGATGGAATATCATCAGACTCCAGATCAATTATTCATATAATTAGCCCCTTAAATCTGTATTTGCGTTTTATCTATACATACTATTATATCCATCAAGCTTGGTATTGAAGTTGGAGTGGCGTCATCGACCTGTGATCTTGGGATGCCCCTTTCCAGCAGCGTTTATAAGTAATGGAAAATCACTGCCGAGTTGTTCCTCTATATCCGCGCGTTTCCGCTTGCCTGCTAACATATCATTCTACGGATATAGCCATTAGCTTCCAGCTAATATGCGGTCGCATGGATATGATCTGGCGTATCGAACGTCTCCGGATGCGTGGTGAGAGGTCGACAACGGGGGCACACGATAGCTCGGCGTCTGCCCTAAACGGACGTCTGTACTCAGACTGTTCCAAGGTAGCCCGCTCAATGCAGGTTGCTTACTTTGGATTTATTGCGAGTCCAATATAATCATCACAATGCTCTATCATATCGCCGAGTCTCGCCACCCCCCTGTCCGAGCTCCGTCTAACGCATCTCCGCGGCTTTCTTCGTCCATGCCGGCCTCGCCATCTCCTACCATGTTTCACTCCGCGGGGGCCGATGCCGGGAGATAACGACAGCAGATGCGGCAGACGTCTAATATACAAGTGACTCACTTTTTTCGGAGGGTAAGATACCAGTCTGAAATATCTCAATTGCTTGTATTGTGCCGAATAGTTTGCATAGGTACGTAGAGTTTGTATTATCATAACATTACACATCTAAAATTCTCAATGAGACTTCCTAACCCGCAAAGAGTTACTCCAGCTGCTCTCCACGTCAGACAACGACACCCGTGTGACTCATTTCCACTCACAGTGCGGCAGATGATACCGGCGTCTACGGCATAATTAATATCCAGCCATTAGTTATTATATAAAATGCCATACTCCCTTCAAGTATTCAATGACACTGCCAGAGCAAATACACAGGGGCTTAGTCACAAATCGAGAATATGGCCTCACCACTCATCAACCCATCCCCCACGCTCAATGCGTCGGAGCGTGTCAAAGCCTTGATTCATCGTCTCCACGCCAACTCTCTCGCCCAAGAAGCAGAGCTGAACAAGCCTGATGGAGAATTATCGAAGCTCAAAGCCCTGAACGAGCAAGGTGCAGCAGGCGACGCCAATGCACAGGGCGACTTCCAGCAGCAGTTCGACGACTTGATGCGCGACAAGATGATAGCGCTCGAGCAGGACAAGGCCCTATTCGTCTACCATATCTGCCGCACTATATCAGCTACGCGAGTCGTCGAGGCGGGAACCAGCTTTGGTCTTAGCACCATCTACCTGGCCTTGGCTGTTGGGCAGAATGCGGTGAAACTGGACCCGGAGCAGAGAAAAGCCGCCAAGGTCATAGCAACAGAGTATGAGCCTAGTAAGATTGCCCTCGCGCGCCAGCACTGGCAGGAGGCTGGGGATGAAGTTGAGCCCTGGATCGAGCTACGCGAAGGCGACCTACGACAGACGCTGGCTTCTGACTTGCCAGCGGAGATCGACTTTGTGCTTTTTGACAGTAAGTGGGAAAATCCTATTTCCGCTATGACGAATCTTTCAATTTGACTAACTCGGCAAACCAAAAATAGTCTGGACTCCCATGGTACTACCGACTCTTCGCCTTTTGGAGTCTAACCTCAAAAAAGGTGCCGTGATCGTGGCTGACAATGTCACGTCGGCGGCGGACGGCTACGAAGATTATCATAATTACATCGAGACGCATCGAAATGCGTATCGAACGCTTGTTTTGCCTTACTCTGGCGGACTAGAGCTCACAGTGTACGACCCATAAGCAGATTGAAATGGGGTACACAAGTAGTCATGACGAACAGAAAACCTGATCTTGGTGGCGTATTTTAGTTAGCATAGATGATTACCGTCTCTGACAGCTGCCGAATGAGTTAGCTCTCGGTACGTTTTAGTCCTAAACGCTTACCCTCCATGTAAAATGACACTGCTATTGGTGAACACAATGCTGATAATGTAAGAAATTCCTGACTGTTTTTTCGAGCTTGCCTCATTGGGATTTCTTATTTGTCCAGTATACTACAAAGATCATGATATTCAGAGAAATAGGTCGGAGATCGACTCCTCGAGAATTATATGACTCCAAACCCATCATCCTCATGTTTGTCTCGGCGTTGTCATAGCTTTTGAAGGCTTATATTACTTTAAGATCGTCTGCTTCACTCTGATCACAGCTTGCAATTGGCCTTTGTCCAGTCAGACGCCAGTGATTGAAACAATATGCTACTGCGCCCCCAACTAACCTCGTTGGTACTGTTACTGCCTCAGACAGTCTCTCGCAAGTCCATCTCCTCTACTCCACAACTGAAATATTTCTATTTATGGATTGCAGCGGCCCGAAACCAAGTAAATATTGTCTCAACTGTATGGCATATATACGCTCTGTTAGACTCCGGGTTCGTGATTAGTATCGATCGAGATAGTGCCTCCGACCTACGTAGCAGCTCGGGTGCATCGCGGTGAATAGTCCAGCTGTTCACTCGTTTGGGGGCAATCAACCAGTTCCATTACTGCCACACCACGAGTTACATGACACAAAGCCAGCTCATTAATTGACCGTGGCGGAGATGACGATCCACAACTGGGGGCTCATCAAGTTCGTGGTCATGTATCCCGGCTCATCTCTATTCCATTTTATTGAGTATAACCTCTCATTATTACTCATAAGATCTGCGGATATAGTGGGAGTGTTACGAAACGAATTTCTCTCTTTCTCTCTCTCTCTCCCTCCCTCATACAGAGACATAGATCTTCTTTGGCCTTTCTCCCCATCTTGCCTCCACTCAGCAGGACTAGGTAAATAAACAAACATGGTATAGCCTCGCCCCCAAGTTACCTTTCGGGAGATGACATGAGATTGACGAGTGAGCGAGCGTGCACTACGCCATGTCTTTGCACAGCCCGCAATCATACGCACCTGTTCTATGTGGGCGTACGCGTGCGCACAGATGAGGTTCACGAGAAATGGGATCCCGCTTTGGGGACTCGGCAACGTCATCCGTGTCACCGTTGTCGTTGTTCATGTTGTTTGTTTGTTCCATGGTGTGAGTGTGATTGGGTGTCTCGGCTAGGGAAACATTCCACTAAGGGAAAGCTTCGTGAGAGGCACAAGAGAGATGCTTGCGCCGATGGGATAAGTCTTTCTGTGCTGTGGGTAAAATTACCTGTGTTGCGTGGCAGGTAATTAGAAAAAGGGGCTGACATCATGACAACTCATATCGTTGACATTCGCGGTGTGTGTTTGCGTTTCACTGTGATTTCTTAGCTTATGGCAGTTTTTCTATAAAAGGGGAGACTGAACTCTCGGTTTTTGAGGATTTAGTCATGACAAGCAGGTCTGATGACAGCTTAGTCCTATCAGCATCTAAGCCGCGACTTACCCACGAGACTGCAAATTCATCATCCCACTACTTCCTATATTCTCTGCACAACTTAGGAATTTCACTGAAAACACCCTCACAACTCCCGGAAGCCACCTCAACTCTGTCCGTGGACAAACACGCTTGGACAATGTACGCTCCACAAGGGAACTCCCACAGCGGCGGTGGCAGTAAGAAGAGCGGCAGTGGGAAAAGGGGAGGCAGCGGTGGGAATAGCGGAGGTGGGAGCAGCGGAGGCGGGAGTAGCAGCGGCGGCAAAGGCCACAATGGGGGAGGCTCCCGTGGCGGTGGCTCTAGCTCCCATGGTGGCGGAAAGAAGGGGGGTTCCTCGGGAAGAGACTCGTGGGAGGTAAGTCACTATAAACCTCAATATCATAAGTGATATTTTGAATGTTTCTAACTTCGACGTTCTATGAAGGAGGCGGCGCGTGAACGCGAGATGCAGCCCTGATCATCGTCTCTTGGAGCGAGAACGGTAGGGCTAGTCTTCACCCGGCGGCCACGGGGATGTTGATGTGACACGGGGGAAGGCGGCGACTCTGCGGAGAGAGGAAGCTGTAATGATACGATTGAGAGACATGTAGTGTCTAAGATGGACCACAAGCTGGATCAGTAACCAGAGCCCTTCATTGAGTTTCAAATTCCAGGGAGCAAACAATATTGGGAGTGATTCTATTTCCTCATCAAGAATTCGAGATCTAGCAAACTGGAACTTAGTTAACACATGCTTGGCTATTTACCCTGGCAAGATGTTATGGTGTGTGCGCTAGATGGCCTATACTAAGCTAAGAGTCTTTTTTTGATTTTGATACTTATCCAGTCTCTTATTCCTGAAGGTATGTAGTCCACTGGAGGCTAGTGCTACCTTGCTTCATACAGCAATAGATTTCATGCAGCACACCTATTTCTCACAGAAAGAATCGAAGCATAGATCGAGCCAAAACTGCTCATTTCTATATGTCCTATTCTCAAACCAACGACAATGCGGTAGATGTATTATCTCATCCATATTATACAGATATTTCCGAGTCAGGAGCAACCTCCCTCTCCCCAATCATCGTCGCACGCGCGTTTCTTTCAGGGCCCCAAAACTATCTCTTGAGGAGATGATGGCTTCGCGCAGACGGGTTTGAAAGGATTTGTATGGTATGTGCGGGATACTAGTATGACGGATCAAGAACTCGAATCGTATGTCTTCGTCGTTGGTGGTGGTTTTCCCGCCTTGGGGTGGCGTATTGGAACAATGTCGTTGCGCAGGCTTGTCCAAAGCAGCGATTATGAAGTCCGGGACCTGCGCAGTATACAGGTGCACGGATTTGGAGTCGTTCGAACCGTCAGTGACAAGTATCTGCCAGGTCGGAGCCAAGTCGCTTGTTGGAGGCTTGTATGCGGTGCCGACTTTTTGTTTTTTCATCCTGTTTGTACGTTTCTTCTTATGTTGGTGGGGATGCTTGCCACCATGCTTGTGCTCACTTTTGTCTTTCTGCTGACCGTGCCTTGTGTCTCCTTGAACATTCGGCTTCTCCTCGCATTCCTTCTGCCCTGCCCACATGTTACGCCGATACCGCTGTTCCATGGCGATGAAGACGCCCGGGATGAAGTGTGGGTGGAACCATTCATCCCCGGGTAAGTATTCGTAGCGGGCCGTGGCTTCTCTCATACTCATACCCCTCGCAACTATACCGTGGTCGCGGAAGTTCCGTCCGTATTTATAGAACTTCGTCAGTGATTCCGCAACGTGTGTCTCGTCAACATGGATCAAACGCCAAAAGCGATTGGTCTCGGTCTCAGAAACTTCTGATTGCCAGCTGTCGCGGGCTGGATTCTCACCGTTGCTTTCACCAGATCTCGCTACTTTGGTGTTTAGACGGTACACTGGCACGTTGTGTAGAACCGGATATGCGGTTTTACCGTAGTTGATACGCAGGTTTTCTTTCTGGAGGCGGAGAAAGTTCTGCAATGTAGGTACGCGGTGCAATTTCGTAATGCAGTCCTCTTCGTCCACTCCACTGAGTAGACGCTGCAAATATAGCTGTGCAGACACGATTGTTCGATATGAGTGTGCTCCTCCTAGAAAGAAGATATATGAAACAGTCGTACTAAAGTCTAGCTCCATAAGCACGAATGATGGAGCAGGCGAGGGTGGCGATAGGCGGCGTGAAGATAGTGAAACCTGTAACTGTGATGGCGCGAGTGGAGGCCTGTACCTGTTGTTCCACTCGAGTCTCCTCCGAGGTTTCCGTCGCACTCCTAGTATAAGTTTCTGTGAAGCCTTCCGTTGTGATCGCAGTCGTAGCTGATTCAGTTGTTGTTGCCGTTGCTTCTGCTGGGCTCCATGGCGGCTACATCGGGAAGACGGCGAATTTAGTGATGCAGACTGTTGAAATGGCTGCCATACTACGTGCAGTACCTTCTCGTGCCGATGCGTCCAGAACATTGGCATGACATAGAGGAATTTGTATTCATTTACAATACCGTCCAGTGGTCTTTTGCTTATGGAGGCTTCGAGAGCAAGCGCATCGTTAGTGTCTCGGTAGAGAAGCCCATTTTTGTTGCTGAGTCTTTCCATACGTTCTCGAAAGTTTATCATATATCTCCTTTTTGCGGTTTGTATCATCCGGACATCCGCCATAGTCGACGACTTGGGAAGATTGTCAGCTTTGGGCTGGCCAACATGTACAAGAGCGTTATGGCTTGATTGAATGTTCGTACTACCGTTGGGCGACTGGGCGTGAATCAGGTTAGCAGTCTCCTTCTCTTCGTTCATCTGCTCCGCCATTGCATACGCGTGACGCACGACTAAGTAGGTACTTGCTAGCAGAAGTATAAAGCGCAAAAAGCGATGAACATTGCATGAAGTGGAAAAAAGAAGGTTGCACTTACGCAAAGCACAAAACTATAGTTGCTTAAGCACAGGCCAAAGGTCTCACAAACCGCAAGCAAGGGACTGAAGCTCACAGTGCTTGTTTGCTCAATTGCAAAGATTTTGACTACGAGGGATATTGGTTGATTGTGGCTAGGGCTGAAACATCCGACAGAAATATCATCCTAACTTATTCATTATGTCCTGAGGTGGTTGTGATTTTCTGGACAAAATTCTTAAGTTTACTTGTACAGTTTATTATTAACGAATAATTACCAGCTAGCTACCTTGATTATCCGAAGGTTGTTGCTATGGTGAAAACCAACTACTCAGGTTCACACCGCTGCCTGCTAGTAGCGTCGAAGTGATTCATTCTAGCATGTGATGGAACATAGTAGGGGGATGTGCAGTATTCAGAAAATGATTTCTATCCAATTAGAAAGGTCTAGTTTGTTAAGGAGATACTGGTAAGGGAGGCAGGGTATCTGAAAGGGTGGCATAAACGCCCCATGTAAAGAAATGTAGAGGATAATGGGTCGCCAGACTGTGGTCTACTAGCGTGGAAACAGCTAGGAAGCTCCAAGGTGCAGCAAGGTCAAATCCAAAGAAGCCATCGAATAACAGAGACGACGCCTCGACCTGCACCGAGTATTATGCGTGTAATCATAACGATAAACCAGACATACCACATAAACCCGACAAGAACCCATTCAACAGCTAACCAGCCGGCCCTGCGCACCCAACGGAAACGCCGCCGTCGCTGTCTCAACATATTATCTATCGTGTTCACGGCGTCCTCGACCTTGAGGCGTTGATAATCTACTAGGTCGAGGCTCAATTCATCAGCTTCATCAGCAGCGTGATGTGTCATGTCCATCAACTCAACAGCGACGCGATTGTGAACCATGTCTACTTGGTGTTGGAGACGTGCCACATCTTTTGAGAATTCAGAGGCAGATTTCTCGAAATTATCAATAGAGCGATCGATATTATGGGAGAGAACACCAGCGGTGGCAGGGAAAAGCTCCGTCTGCGGCATATGCAGCTGACGTTTTTCATCTGGCACAAAACGGTTTAGACCCATGCCCTGTAAGCCCATCGTCATGTTATCTGACCCGAAAAGAGAAAGGGGCTCATTTGCGCGGCGGGAAATTTCCATAGCTTTGATACCCGAACAGAGAATCAATGTGCGTAGACGGGCTACCTCACGTCTCGAGATGAGGGCATGTTGAGACAACGAGGTGAGGTCGGGGATGACCCAGTTTCGATGGCTATATACGCGCGGCCCGTTATCTAAATGGGAAACAGATGACTCCCTGTTATTTCTGGAGTGAAAGTGTTGAAGCTCTTTTGACGTCTGTCTTGGTCTGTTTATGAGATGATCGGAGTCGTGGAAATATGAATCCGTTTCAGACGAAGTTGGGTCGATAAACTCTCGGGGATGTCTATCATTATCATCCTCAAGCTCGGATGCCTCAGGTGAAGCTTTACGAATATCAATACGTGGCGGTTTGAGTTGGTCGAAGCGGGGTGATCTGCTGGGGGGTCGTGAAGAGACTGGATGCAAAGAGGTATCAATGTTTTGAGAAACGGACCTGTCCATAGAATCCGTCGTCGATTTGAAGTTTGGCATAATATCCATGTAGTTCTTCGCTGGGCGGCGGCTGTCATCGTGGCGTGTTGAGCTCACTGGAGATAGTAAGGACAACTTTGTAGGCCGACCTCTGCGATAATCGGTATCAGAATCATCGTCTGAAGAGTCAGAAGAATCGGAGTCCTTCTTCCATATAAGATCTGTCATTTTTGAGACGCCACCACGTATCATATCATCAAGTTTGGCACCTCCTTTGAAGATAGTCCGAAGCCCAATTTGTTCATCAGGTCTAAGGCTTAAGCTTCCCACGCTTCGATGTGATTTATGACTTTCGTGTGCCGCTCTTAAAGCGAACTCACGAGTCGAACTCTTAGATCTCTGGCGCCGGATAGGCTGAATGGACAGGGCCGCATCTTCAGCTATTTGAGATATGCTGGGTGTTTCAGTTAAATCAACGGGGCTGCTAACCCTGTCGTCATTTTCTTCACGATCTCGGCTGCGATCTCGAAATATGCTCTTTACTTTCGAGAATGGTTTTCGCGCCGGTGAATTAGGGCGACTAACTGTTGGTGAAAGGTCCATTCCAATAGCAGGAACCCAGCCATTTTGACGACCCCTTAGCACCACATCAGATACGGGTGGCCGAGGGGAATCAAGTTCTAGAGAAGACCTGTAGGGGCCACTAGGTACTTCCAAGCTCGCACGTGGAGAATTCAATGGCGGCGTTTGGGTTGGCTTATCTGTTAGAGCTTTGCCCGCCTGCTGGGTGCCTTGCATATGTGATTTTGTGCGCCGGTGGCCCAGATGAGAGATTTGAGAGCTTCCCTCAGGGGCACTAATTCCAGCCGGTAATGGTTTGAGGCGACTGTGATTGACTACGCCCGCGACAAGTTCCTGCTCATCTTGGGATTCTTTTGCAAGCATATCATTCATCTGCTTCTCCAGCAAATCTTTGCCACTAGCACTGATGGTCCCGGTACGACCTCTTCTACGGCGATCACTTTCATTATCAGATGAATCTGATGACGAGCTCCGTCGGAGTCTGAGGAAGTCATGATGGGAATGAGTAGAATAGCTGTGTCTATGATGTGCTCTTAGATCCTGAAGTTTCTGGCGAGCACGATATCTCCTGCTTGATAATGTTGTATCTATGTCTGTATTTGTTGAACGGTTAATGTCCTGTTGAGGCAGGTCGCTGTCATTGGCCTCCGGATTTCCTATATGTGCGGGTACGGCAAGGCTAGGCTCAAGTTCTAGGACGATTGGTTGAGAGACTGCTGTCTCGGGTGTATATATCTTTGTAAAGTGCCGATCTTCGATGAGATACCTATTGTTATCCTGTTCCAGCCAATATACATCTGCGAGCATGTCTGCTGGGTCGATACTCCAGTCAAATCTAGGCCTTTTGGGCTTAGTCAATGTCGAGACTGGCATCGGAAGACTCGAAGCTGGAAGCTGCTGTGCTAGGTGTTCATCTGCGGCCGAAAATGGCGGCAAGCTCGGCCGGCGGGAAGTAGTAGGCGACACTGCGGCGAAACTCGCAACCTGGTCAACCCAGTCCGTGGTTTTAATTATATCCCCAAATCCCTGAGCTTCTCCGTCTATGACCTTGCGTTCGCGAGTGCGGATCTTTCGGTTTCGAATATATTGGAGAGGATTATAAGGACGACCCAACACTTGGTTTTGAGAGGTAAGAACAGGATCGCGGGGTGAGCCTGTAGAGTTAGGGGATGTCAATGGATTTGCAGTAGATGGCCGCGATCGGGTATTCTGTTTCAAAGGAGGTAGAAATGAGAAAAGTCTCCTGTACTGAGCCATAAGCTCCAGGTATTTCTTCGCCCTTTGAGCTCGATCCAGCGTCGAAGCCGAAAAGTGGTAGGTGTAGCTGCCATCATGCTCGAAAGCAGGTTGCAAGGGGCTGCTAATCCTGGGTGCTGAAACGATTCTCGGAGACAGAATCCGATCCGCTCTCGGAGATATGTTGCGCGAGGTCCGTCTTTGTTGCTGTAGATGCTGCTTAAGACTACGTCCAGCAGTGGTATCGGGGAGCTGAACGAGGCGAGGTGGGTTGGGGGTTGAAATGTTTCTTCTTGACGCTAGCCGCCTAGACTCGCTCAAGTCGAGAGCCATTGATACTATTTGATTCGAGTCGACATCTAATGGGGCCGAACTCGGTCGTGGCGACGGGATCATGGACCTCCGCCTGAGAGCCATTTGGCTATGCGGCCTATCCTCTTTCTCTCGAGCATCGGCGCCGCTGGACACCAGTGCTGGTGGTGCTTTTGTGCTTTCCTTTTCATCTAGTGTAATTCTGGGACCGGTGGATTCTGAAGGACTGCGATGCTCGGAAGATCTGAATGGACTCTTCGCTGTGCGACTGTCCACAGGAATACGAGACTTCCTCCGATCACCGTCTCGCTGCCTAGTCTCCAGGCTGGAGCTTTGGCCCAAGATATTGTTCGATAGAAGAAACCCACCACTCGGCCGGGGCTTGGGAAGTCGAAGCCTTCGGTGTGTATCATGGTCTCGACTCTGCTCTTCATGATGAACAGACTGCGGGTCTGGGCTCGGGTCTGGAGGCCTACGAAGGGCCGTTCGACGAAAGGATGTGCTATCTACCGATGTATCATAGGGTTGATTTGCAGCAGTACTCGGCTCGCCGGTGTCGTAGCTACCATAACTACTGGAAGATGGCGGAATGGAAGTCCTGGCGGCGACCCGCCCAGGGGTGTTGGGGCGAGGAAGGGGGTTTGCATTGGAGTCCGTCATAGCGGCCGGAGGCTGGCTCAGTGGTATGAAGCAGCCCTCCCTTCTGCGAGATGAATATGGCGTCTCCGGTTCAGCAGAGAGGCGAAGCTATCTATATCCAGCACCAAGATTTACAACTAAGGAGGCCGGCATCGTGAAGTGGCTATAGTCAGGAGTCTTGGTTTGATAAATGGGTGGTTCGGCGGTTCGGTGGCTCGGTGGCTCGGTGGCTTCGGGCTAATGCAGGAATAGAGGCGGCAATGGCGAGTGGACAAGCAGGATGCTGATAATCCCAGCCTGGGCCCGAATGCTTGGATACTATTCTAAGTCATTACGATCGGAGAAGCGAAGACGAAACGAAACGAAACGCACGTAAACTAGATACGAAGTTGGCGGTTCGGTGATGCGGGAGTGGAGAACTTGGACAATAGGGAGGTTGATTTACTCAAAGAAGGTAGGTAAATCGAGTTGGCGTATGCCAAGACTTTGCCCGTGGAGTTCGTCGATGCATGTGAAAGGTGGCCCCCCCTACCTGTACCTGTACCTATACTAGCTACATACTATATATATATATATATCTCTCTCTCCATACAAAATCATGTCACGAAATGAAACAATGTCATTCAAGTTTAGTGTACAGATTCAGTACTAAGGACTTCTGCTACCATGTTCCGCATGGGAGAAGTGGTGTAGGTGTACCCTTGTGTAGCCGTGCCTGACTAACTGGCCTAGATGCGCTCGGCACATGCAAATGTCGGTAGTTTAGGTTAGGTACTGACTAGGGCAGTTTATTATACCTTACCTAGGTGCAGCATAGCCATAAAAATATCCCGTATCACATAACACCCTGATCATTTCCTTGCCATTATGCCTACGCTGCGTAAATTCTTAGGGGGTGTAATCCAGTGTAATGGGCGCCTATCAAGCACACAAAGTAGGTAGGCCATTCGTGTCATGTGATGGGCAGGTTGGGCTCCATGGACATTTGCTGACTGCACTTCCTCAACGCTCGCAGTGTTTTATCATGCTCTACTACCTAGTATTCAATGCAGCGTCTACGTCACTCATGCTTTTCGAGTCAGTTATGACGATACTTGATTTTGTTTTGTATTCTTGGACTGGCCTTATACTACTATGAGCTACTAATAAGGCGGCGCGCAGTCGTGCCCCATGCATCCATGATACATTTGCACCTTCGAGTCCGCATCCATCCAGTCCAACCCCTCCAATACTCCAAGTACTCCAGCGAACATGCTTTCCTGAGAACGAGTATGCCAACCGTCATTGCAAGGTGAGTAGTAGGTGCAAATGCTGCCATCCAGAGAGTCCCAACCGGCGAAGGCGGGAATGCAACATCGAGGTAATGACAAAAGCTTGTGTGGAAACCAACCGTCCACCCAAAATCCCCACTAATGAAAGTAGGGGGCTCTGCCAACTTCGAAGGCAATGCTGCAAAAGCGAGTACAATCCATATCATCTTACCCCAGCCGGCGAAGGCGGGCTTGCGAAATCCAGTGTGCATCGCTCGGCACAAAAAACCATGCTTCCATCTGTTGCCACTCTTTTCTCGAGAGAGCGTCCGACAGTAGGGATGGGTTCCTCGGCATAATGATATCAACAATCAAATCAACAACCATTCCATGCAATCATTCCATACAAGCATTTCAACAATCATTCCATACACGGCTCTTTCCCCCTACGTTCTGCGTTCTTCTTCTTGTTTTTTCTTTTTTCTCTTTTCTTTTTCTCCCCCCCCCTTTCTTTCGTCGTGTCCGATAATAGGCACGATCCCATATTATATAGATGAGTAATCGAGTTATTTCCACTGTTTCTTCAGTGGGCTGGCGACCTTGGGTGCGAACTGCATACTCTTTCGTCGTGCAGCCATTAGGCGCATCATGACGGTCTGATCTTGGCCCCGGTTCATAAGACCCTCGTCCATCTCGATGAGTTTGCTCGACTTGGGAGGACAGGTCTGCATAAGGAGCTTGTTATTGCCTAATGTCGAGTCAAAAGACCCGGTAGGTGTGCCAGGAGTGACGTCTAACGCAAATCTGGCTACTGCCTCAGGTGCTGGCGTCTGGGGGAAAGGCGTGAGGACAGGGGCATTGGTACTCTCCCAATCCATCTCACTCGGCTCACTTGGAGCATCTTCTTCTTCTTCTTCTTCTTCATCGTCATGCTCAGAGGGGCTGCGCATCCAAAGGCTGCTGTCACGGCGGCTCAAATAGTTATTGGGCACCGTCTGAGGCTCACGTCCGAAGCCGGAGACAAGTTTCACGGGAGTGACCAGCGTACCGTTCATGTTGGCAACCGCCTTAGGTTCCATGCTTTTGCGTCGGTTATGACCGCCACGAGGAACAAGCGAAGTGTCAACTCTATAGTCCTTCTCATCCACCCATCTGTTTTCCTTCTCACAGCTGTACAGTTGCTGTCAGTAATTGGGTTAACTACAAGTAAGAATTACGATTCAACTTACTCCAAGACCCAACTGACACCGACACACTGGACGAGGCCGTTGCTCTCATTGACTTTCTCTAGTGTTCTCTTGCCTCCATCTTTGAAAACCACGTGAGTTATCCCCACTTTGGATGCATCTGCTTTTGCGTCCGTGCTAGTAGCGGGGTTCCAGGGCCAGCTCTTAACACAACGAGCGCCCATTTGAACCAAAAGATCGACGAAGATTCTACCTGCATCAGCGCCTTCGGTGGTATGGACATCGACAAATACAATCGCTCCACGTAGAAGTGTCGGGTCAAGATCAGCACGAGCTGCTCGGGCAGGTGTACCAGCGTGTCGAGAAGTAGCCTTGGACGCAGAAGAGCAGTGTCTCTTGGGGCTACGAGGAGGTGAGTCATCGGCACGCTTAAGAGGCACCTTCGAAACAGTATGGAACTCCCTGGGTGCAAACGGTCTCTTTGGTGTCACTGGGTTCTTATTACTAAACGTAGCCTCTGTTCCATTCCCAAACAAGGCAGGGTCAATTGGAACAGCATTCTCATCACCGTACTCCTGGCTCGCTGCTGAGACCGATTCAGCGCGACGTTGAGACTTCTCACCCTCTGGGGTATTGATGAGAGATGTCTCAGACTCCTCAGCAATAATTGAGAGATCCGCGTTTGGAGCATCGAGATCTTGCGGAATCATCATCTCAAGATCCTCACTTGTGATACGAAAGTCTGGGTAGCCGTGCTTGGAGAACTTAGCTTCAATCTCTGCTTCCACCAAGGCTTCCATGGCCGCTATGGCAGCTTCTTTCTCCATATCGTCGCGAATCTTCATCTCATCATCGAAGAAGCCTTTGGCAGTTGAAGTCTCAACGACAGGAAAGTCGTTCTCGTCGAGGAGCGAAAACTCATCGTCGCTATCCTCTGCATCGGCGGATTGAGAAGCAGATTTTTTATGAGACTGAGGGACTTTCATAGGGCTAGAAGCTCTCCACGCGCCCAATTGGACGGATCTGATTGCTCTGCTGGCTGCTCTGGCAGCAACTCCTGTGATCTTTCTCTCAGTGCTCTTGAAGATGGGGGGAGCGGGTGGGGCAGGTGTCGCTGGCATAGAATCTGAGTGCACTGCGGTGTCCTGATCGTTGGCAGCAGCTGGTACTTCCACGCTTGCCTCATCATTGGGTGCCTCATGCACCGCTGGGGGGCTTGGCTTGAGAGCAGGATCAGCATGTCTTGGCAAGACAGCTGAAAGACGGCCAGGAAATTCAAGTTGAGGACTGGATGCTTCGAGCTTGGTAGTAGGCGATTCAAGCGACAGACTATCTTCATCATTGGCTTCTTGGATGGATTCTAATCGAATCTGAGCCTGTAACTCTTCTTCGCTGATCTCCTCTACGAATGGAGGGATGTTGTCCTTCATGGCTTGCTGAGGCTCTCCCTCTGCCTGTGGGGTTGGTTGTTCTTCACTAATATCCTCTAGGGGGGTGGGTGAATTGTCCTTGGAAGGTTCCTGAGGCTTATCTTCCGCTCGTGGAATTGGAGTGCCGAGTAACTTCATTGGCGAAGCTGGACGCTTCGCAGGTGTACCTAGCAAAGTCGTCTTTAGAGACGAACGGCTAGTACCTGCTGGTTCCTGATTGAACTGGAATGCTTGGAGAGGCATGTGAGGACGTTTTGCAGGCGACTGAAGCATCGCCGACTTGGTGGGAGACTCAACAGTCTTCTCATCGGCACCTGCGGATGAACCGAAAAGCCCACCGACTCTCTTCGCTGGTGACATCATCATATTCTTAATGGGCGATGGCGGTGGTCGCCGAGCTGGACTGTTAAAGACAGAAGTGAAAGCTGGTTCAGGTGACAGAGAAGGCGGGGAATTTCCATTCGAATCCTTCTCAGAGGGGGGAGGTTCAAGCTTTCTAACGCCAGTAGGTGGCTTGACAGGACTCTTCATCAAGGGTTTTAGGGGAGTCTTCTCGTATGTGGCAAGCTCGTCATCAGAGCCGGCATCTCGTGACAGAGGACGATTCTGTACATCCTTTCTAGGGCTGAGCGGTTTCTTCTCTGTCACATCAGTAGTAGCTGCCCGTGCGCTTGCTCGTGTTGTTCTGCCAGAGGCAGCCGGCTTGCGAACAGGCTTGGCTCTCATGCCTGTAGCAGTTGTTTCAGTAGTCTCAGTCTTGGCCTTTGTTGCTGCACCAGGCAGCATGTTCTCTTTCTCTGGCTCTTCGAATGTCACGGTCTTCTTAAGGGCACCTGTGACCTTTGAGACAGGACGAGAGACGGCTGACTTGAGGCCTGGAGTAGGTTCAGTGGCATAGACAGTGGTGACTGTGCCAGTAGGAACCCGTCTGGGCCGACCGCGCGGCTTCTTTGCTGGTTGGCCCATTGTGCTCTCAGTGGTATCTTCTTTGGATAAGTCGTCCTCTTCATCGTTATCAAATGATCGAAGCTTGCGCTTCTTAGTGGCAGTGGAGGTAGTGGTATTAGGTGTAGTTGTATCTGTACTAGTAGCCTTTGTTGCAGCCTTTGCTGCGGCTCTCGTAGCAGTTCTCGTTGAAGCAGGCTTCTTGGCCGCCGTAGGTTTCTTTGTGGCCGCTGACTTGTCGGTAGCAGTAGCCTTCTTGGTAGTCGTGGTAGTGGCGGCAGTGGCAGAGGCAGAGGCAGTAGAGGTGGTAGCATCAGGAGTAGTCGTGGCGGCACCAGTAGCGTCGATATCAGTTTTAGCGGCGGTCTTTGCACCGGCTTTCTTTGCGGCAGGCTTCTTCGCGGCGACAGCCTTCTTCGCAGATGCGGCAGTGGCAGCAGTGGCAGCAGTGGCAGCAGTGGCAGCAGTGGCAGTAGAGGCAGTAGAGGCAGTAGAGGCAGTAGTAGCCTTGGTGGCTTTGGTAGCCTTGGTCGACTTGGTCACTCTGTCCGACTTGGTGGTCTTGGGGTTTAAGACGGTGGCCGAGGCCGCGGCCGCAGCCGCAGCTGCCCTCGCACGCGTCATGCGCTTGGGCGGGCTTGCAGACCCCATCGCGACGTGGTGGATGGGAGAGAGCAAGCGGTGGTGTGTGTGTGAGGTGTGCGTGCAATAGGCAGAAAGCAGATAGATGTGGTGAGTGAGTAGGTAGGTAGGCAGTGGTTAAGTTGCAGAAGCAGAAGCGGCAGAAGTTGAAGCAGTAATTGATGACAAGACGGAATGGATGGTTGCAAATGCCAGGCTGACAAAAAGTTGGGATTGTTAGATGTCACGATGCACGATGGATAGATAGATGGATCAATCGACAGGGACAAGGCTTTCTCGGCGCGTGTTGATGTTTACAGACCCTAGGTCCACCTTGCCATTTTGAGTTTGTTGTCCCTCCGACCAAGCTGCCCCTCCGCAGAACTCTGGCAAGGGCGTGACGTACCCCACTCGCTCCTTCCCTTCCCTCTCTCTCTGCCCTACCTATCATCATATGCTATCATGTGGTATCGTGTGGTACGTACATGTACGTACATGTACGTAATTTCTGATCAATTAAGGTCTGATTCAACCGCACAACGTCGCCGTCATGATGTAGCTACTCTCTTCAAACTGGTTATTTTAGGTTACAATAAGAACCTTGGAGGGCCAGATGATGTGGCCTCAACACCTGGTTACGTTCACGTGGGTAAGGTAACCGACGCGTTTTCTGCCTACATACCGTACTCCTTATGTACCAAGGGACGTACCTACGTACCTGGGCGTGTTCACGCGATTACGCGATTACGCGATTGTGCCAATACAAACAAGTGTACTTGTAGACACCTAGCAATTATATAGTGACGAGATAGGTTGATAATCTAGGCTAGGTAGATGGATCGAGGTTGGAAGATGGAGGGTCCAATACCTATCTAGGTACCTGCCTACCTACCTATCTACCACATGGGAATGATCTAATTGCCCTTAATTCATAATGGAAGAGTCTTAAGTGTACGTGTACGTACTGCAGGTCAGTCCCGTGGGGAACGGGAGCTAGCAAGATGGATGTCGGCAGATAAACCCGAAACCCTCTTACTTACTTAAACAGTTGATCGGCATGGCACGGCGTGGCACGATACGCCACCACCAAACTCTTCATCGTTCCCCTACTTCGTACATGCTCGGTCTACAGTTGGCCAATCTGGTGAATTCTGTTGGGGTACTGGTTACGGGTATTATGTAGTGCTTTGTTTCTAACTATATACTTATAGTTATAACTAGTTATATATGTACTAGAATTATCAAATTACTGCAGCATTATCTATCTATGGGCGACGAAATGTTGTGTGTATCAGGGTGTAAGCCTTCTCTATCTCTAGGTGGACTTCTCGCCTTCGGACGTGGGTTCGGATTGGGATTCCTGGTTTCCTCTTTTGGCCAGGTTGTGTAGGCCGGTCTTATGCTCAGTATGCTGCTTGCTTAGCTTCCTTCGGCCAACGAACGGGCTGACAAGCAGCCCAACGGCTGAGATGACGGTAAAAACGATGAACATTTCCCGTAAGCTGTTCCAGAAGGCGTCCCGCGCCACTCTTCCTTGCTCTCCCGTGAGGCTCGCAACCAGCCCTACATTCGCGGCTGCGTTGCCGCCGGAGAGCTGACCCGCCAGCTCTGGCCCAAGCTCAGCTACTAAGCTTGGGTATTGTTTCTCCATGGCGTTTTGGATCACGACGCCACCGATCACAATTGATATCGATGTTCCAAGCTGGCGTATGAACTGGAATGTGCTTGTTCCAGCTGCGATATCTCGAGGCTCCAGACCAGAGTGTAGCGCAATGAGAGGGGACTGGAAGTTTGGCCCAACGCCAATACCTGCCACGATTTGGTAAATAACAAGCTTGGCCCAGTTTACATGGGAACCGAGATCAATGAAGAGCCCGAAACCCAGAGTTAGGAATAGCATGCCAAAAACGATAGGCGGGAGATATTGACCAGTATTCTTCATCCATATTCCAGTGCCCGTAGAGATGAAAGATAACGAGAGAGCGTAAGCCAACGAGTAGGCGCCGGATAAGAGAGATGAGGCTCCGACCACGGCCTGGAAGTACAGCGGGAGATAGTACGACCCCGAAATGAATACTAAACCGTGCACGAAACATATGGCGAAGGCCGCCAGATTTCGGCGACTCTTGAAAAGCCTCAGAGGTATCACGGGGTACTCGGCAACATACTTCTCGACTAAGATCGCTACGCCAAAGGTGACGATACTGAATACGATCAAGGCGATGACAGGGACAGATTTCCAGGGGTACGTAACTCCTCCGAACTCGAGACCGAAGAGTAGCTGCAGCGTAGCACCGATGATCAACACACTGCCCAGCCAATCGATAGCAGCTAAGCCCTGGCGAACTGGTGTCCTGGGGTTATGCAACTTGAGAACAAAAAACAAAATCACGAATCCAAGGCCACCTAGGTTGGCACATCCTGATTAGTATTGCTTTGCTCAACCATTAGCTAGCTCGGAAAACTCACTAAACGGTAAATTTATCCAGAAGCACCATCTCCAAGTAACCTAAGCACATTTTCATTAGATTTGATGTCAAGGATACCTAGTGGTAGTGGTGGTGAAGGAGGAGGGGTGGGTAGAAGTTCGGACACCAAGACAAGCATTGATTCGATCGAACTCCTGGAGGAGGGACGTACCTTGGAAGTGAAAACGCCACCTAGAATTGGCCCAATAGCCGAGGCCAGCGCCCACACGGCGCCGAAGATTCCGTAGTACTGGCCTCTCTGGCGGACTGAGACGAGATCGCTGACCGCGATGTTGATAAGCACAACAATTCCACCGCCTCCAGCTCCCTGGATGGCTCGGGCGGCAATCAATTGGCCAATGCTCTTGCTGAGGGCTGCGATTAACGACCCAATCCAGAATATGCCGACTGCGACCAGCAGCACGGGTTTGCGCCCCCAGATGTCGCTGACCTTCCCCCAACTCGGTACCGTCGCCGAGCTCGCAAGGGTATAGGCTGCGCCAATCCAGGTGTACCCGGAAGACGAGTTGAACTCGCCGACAATGGTAGGCAGCGCTGTGGTGATAATAGTGATATCCAGAGCCGCGAGGAAGAGCGCCGTACAGAGCGCAACCATGATCACGGTCATCTCCAGCCCCGAGCGTCCCCCGTTTGGTAAATCATCGGCATCCGTCGGCTGTGTTGTCGTCGCGCCATCCTGCTCCACTGCCTTCACCTCTTTTGGAGTGCCGTCAAGACCCTCTGCAGGCTTTTCAGCATCGCGACCCGTGGCGTTGAGGTCATCGTTGGTTGAAGTCGGCGTAGCGGGTTTTTCTTCGGCATGTGCGAGGCCAGCGCCTCGCTCGAGATCTGCCGCTTTCTCGTCCTCCAGCACCATGGCTATACTCGGCTCAAACAGTTCTATGGAATGTGCCACAAGCAGCTGTCTACTTGACTTGGCAGCGGGGCATATAGTAAATATAGCTGACACGGATGACAGTCTATCTACATGGCATAGAGGAGGGGTATCGATTGGTTTTGTAGGCTCCCTCTACCCATGATCAAAAAGTCATCACAGAAAATTATCATTACACCTCGATCGGATAACAAGCTATAGCCGAGACCAAGGACTTCTTCGTCCGACGCTACAGTCACAGTGGAGACTTGGGGAGCTGCAAGCCAGGGGCACTGAATCGCATGGCATCGCAGGCCCAAATCTCAACGATGCCCACGCAAGTACCGTAGGGGCTTCCGCTTTCAGATTAAGCTAGACTAGGTCGTCGGTGGTGGGTATTACTGTGTTGTTATGTCCGAGCCTACTTACCATAGTAGACGGTAGACCGTTGAAGAGTTTTGGTTGACTCGACTTGCCACAGCCTTCATCGAGGTACATACATAAGTAGGTATGTCCATCATGGCCGTGGCTACATAATTCATTATTACATGCATTAGCAAGTACGTAAAGTACAGCTGATCTCTATCCCGCATCCTTGTATACATGTAAAGGCAATGACATGCTGGCGTCATACGCCTCAGCGACTGACTGTTTGATTTCACCGCAACGGCCTACAGTAAATAAGTAAGTAAGGTACTAGCAGAAACCCCTATGATTCATTCCCTTGCTCATCGTTAATTTTGATAATGGGCCGTTCGAAGTCCTTCTTCTTCGAAGCTTATATTAATGCCGGGGTATGTATTGTTTGGCAGCTTATACTAAGAGTTGGTCAAGTACCTATCTGTCTATTCTAGCCCGTACACTAGACCTTTAAGTATGAATTATAGACCATGGTGTGATTCATACTAAGCCTGTCTGCTTACTTGCACGGGGATTTCGGACTTCGGGTAAGTCAAAGAGCGAGCCGCTTACCAAGATAGGCACCCATCTAACTGTGCATGTAAATTTGGGGTAGGTTACAAAATCAACGTGCCAGTAATGATATACTACGTATATGACGCATAGTTCTTGGTGTAGGTATACACATCATAACTTGAGTTGGAAGTCTCTAACGCCGTTGCTAGGGTGAACGGGCTACAGAGGAGAAGCAGGCGACTTAAAAGCTGGAGAACTTCCTAGTAATGACTCGACGGATTTGCCGCTTAACACGCTTAGGTACAAGTTGCGTCAATTTCATCAATTGTTTCCCAATAGGTGTATAACGCAGGGTACATACAAGAAATACTTAGAAAAAGAACAAGAGTTGTATATTAATCCTTACCTGAAGTACACTTATTCTAAGGTTTTCGACGTCAGCCCGATACAAAAGCAGAGATTCAGTAGGAGTGTTACTAACATATTAAACGTGTAATTCAGGTCTAATCACTATAGCCGCTAAATATTCAGGCAATATTAAGGGCATAATAAGGTTATAGCCAACTTATAATTATGGAGGTAGTGACTAACACTAAAACCCCGGAGGTGTACAATAAGTAGGTACCTAGTCTTTGTGACCTGGGAATATATCTCACGAGATTGCCAAGGCTAGTTGGTTACGCATATGCTACGGTTGGAATCGCCGTCGCGAAGTTGATAATAGGCGTGGCCAGGCTTTGCAGCGTAATAGGGTAGGCACTGCGCCTTGCGTGCGTCGCACGAGCAAACACGGCAAAGGAGCTCGGCGCTCCGAATTTGCTAGTATCCTGCGACGGAAGACTCTGCGGGGCGGACGTGCGTGCGGTAGAAAACGTGGTAGGACTCGGGAAGGATGAGCTAGATTTGTCCGAGTCTTTCGTAGGAATCGTACCCCCAGAATGCCTCGTGGCACTGGGTGTAGCTGTAGCCGTACTGTTGCCGCCGACAGACTTCAGACAAGTGCTCGTCGAGGCCGCGAACAACGTCGTCGAAGCTGTGGGATTGAAATCGCCGAGGTCGATGCCTGCTATATCTGCGCCAATGTCGACGAATACGCCCGCGTTGATGTTTACCTCTGCGGACACGGGGACCGCGCATGTCTTGGATGGGAAGGATGCTGATTCTTTGAGGATCAGTTCGGGGATTGAGATGGATGCGCCGGCGAGCGCCTTTGCTTCAAAGACTTTGATATCTGGGAGCATTACACCGGCTTCGACCTTTAGTTGTAGAGCTGCTGTTACGCTAGCTGGTAGGTTGACTGTGATAGGTAGCAGAGAGGCTGAGGCGCCGTTACTTCAAGAGATATGGTTAGGACCTGTTGCTACTGTTTTGACATGGTTACTGTCGGGGAAATGATATTTAGATACTTACAATTTGGCAACGTTTGGTTTTGAGTCGTCAAATAGAATGATAAACGATGCGCCATCGGGAATGGTAACCTTGAAACCCCCTTCCGTTTCGACCTCGCCGTCAACTTTGAGGACGAGGTCTACAGAGAATACAACTCCGATTTGAAATCCCGGGCCCTACATAACACATTTCGAGGTTGGTATTCTGAGTTTTATCTTGAGAAATCAAGCTTCGGCATTCAAACCAAGGGTTACTGAGTATAACTTACAGAAACTCCAATCGGACTCTCTGATGTGAGTAGCGGGACAGAAAAGTCTCCTGATGCCGCCGCCGTGAGGTCTAGGTCAATAGTTGCACCAACCCCATTGAACGTAAGCCCTAGCATAGAGTCATCGAAGACATCCCCGGGTTGTGTGATATCGATGTCGCTGATGTCTGGTAGCATAGCAGAGGCTACAACCTCCCCGGTTGTACTGCATTCGACGCATTTCACTGACAACTGGGCGCCTTGGAATTTCCTAGATTGTGAATTATTTTTGTTAATATATAGGTTATTTCTAGGTGTTGAAAGGTGATATAAACCCAGTCTCTGGGCACAACATACCCACTCGACAAGACTTGATTTGCAACATTAAAATTCAAAGGGAACCTTGCATCATGTGTGCTTCGCTTGAGAACATCCGAATGAATTGTATCGAAAATATCAATGAGCTGTCTATCGCGATTTAGTGGTGCATCGGGCAAGTCATAAAGTGCGCTTGTTCCCCGAGACATAAGAAAGAGCGTGAGGAATCCTGCCTGAACACGCATGGCTACACCCGTAGTATCTCGAACTTTGAAGGGAGTGAATGAAAGTGGGTATCTTCAGAATGAAAGAAAGTTACAGCTCGATATCAAGGCCGTTGCTCGACCATCAGCGCGAAAGCGTGTGTTCGGCATCGTATTATAACAATTGAACAGACATCCCACGTCGATCTAATAATACCTTCACGCAGATTGTCCCCCTGGAACCTGCAGTTTTGTGAGAGCCTATATGGCTTCATTTTCTTCCATAGTTGGGCAGTCAGAAGGATTTGGCTGTGCCTCCTCCTCTGTCATGTCTCAAGAGCCGGATCCTTTCGGCGAGCGAGCGAACGCCTGGAGGGGAGATAAAATATCATACTACCTATCTAGGTAGGTAGTTTACCTAGGTAAGTATGCCACGAGACTGACACTTGAAACACAGGCTTCTCGCGGAGATGTTTGATGATCGTGGAGTTACATTATCCCCAGCCCTGTCTTCAGCTACCTTTGTTTTAGATTGTTTCCAGGCGGGTCACTCTACGTGGACATATGCGCATATATATATTCTCGCCTACCTACCTTAGTAGTCAAACATCACAATTCCTCTCGTTAAGCAGTGGTCCAACGAGAGGCAAGTAGAAGATTGCTGCGGCACCTTCAAATTAAGTGGTGAGATGAGACAAGGCGGCTTTCGCCGGAGATCGAGGAGCTGAAGCAAGCTACTTGAATACAAGCATTACAAGGCTCCTACCTTTTTGTTTCGTTTTCCGTTGCATTTTCAGCTCCAAATTATGAGTTCTAGAAAGCAAGGCGTGCCCTGTAGTGCATCGTCGGTCCAGGTGCATATATGTAACCAACATATGTGCCCCTGGTCCTCAGCATCCTTTCCAGCCAGCTCTTATACCCCGTGATTGGTGAGCATGTCATGGCAACCGCATTGTACACTAATATTGGACCTAACAACCTTTGGTTCTATGTTAAGCATTCTCTTGTTGGTATCTGACGTTCTGACGTTGGGTCTGTTTACAAGAGCAATTTATTTGCGTTATTTACAAGCTCATAATCCAAATCTATTGTATCGTCAATTGCACGATGGCCGTGGTCTCTCTATCTATATTCCCATACCGCTACTCCTAGAAGATACCTTCTCCCTGTTCCGCTTTGGTACACTAGCATTTGATTGCCAATGATATTACAAATGAGAAGTGACATACTCGTGGTATAATACAAGTTCAAAATATAACTATTCATGAGAGGCGTTGGTCGTTAATTCTCCTGTTTTTTTGCCTCCACCTGTGTTGGAGACTTGGCATGGTTTTGTTTCGCTTGCTGGGCATGGTCAGCCTCCGCATCTGCAGCCTCGCCCACTACTTCTTTGTCAAGACCCTGCTCCAAAGCAGCGAGCTGACGATCTTCTTTTTCATCGATGTCCTCCACGTCCTTGGGTGTGGCAAATCCTGTGTCTTGACTTTCCTGCTCTTGGTTGTTTTCTTCTTCAATGAGTTCCTGTTGCTCTTTGAGAACATCAAGACGTTGTTTGTTGGTGGCAGCACCTTCTGCGTTGTGTACCTCGAGCTCTATCTCGTGGTACAGCTCTTCAGGAATTGAGGAGAGCACACCAGTCAATGCTTCAATTTGGCTGTGGAAACCACCGCGCTCGGACTGCTGGCCGTACATATAAGCATTGCTCAAAACTAGGAGCGTAGAAGGTACTTTATGTTTTAGCCGCAAATCGAGCCAGGACTGAAGATCCTCTCGCAGTCTGCTTGGGGAAACTGTGTGTGTTTTGATACCACGGCTGGCACACGCTGTCTGGAGCTCCGAAACGTTGAGACTATCGACACCTTCAAAGCTGATCGCCTTGTCATCTCGCTTGATTTGACGCATCCGGTGGCGAACTTGATATCTGAGCATGGTGTCTGTGCCAAAAGTGTTGAGATTTAGATAACGGCACATAGATACGAGCTGTGGTCGTGAAAGATTGTCAAGTGTGAGGTCATCTTTGAAAGCCTGACAGACCTTGATGACATCATCTGTACTAGGGGTCTCCCCAGTTGCTCGCAATTTACGGAAGAATGTAGCGAATTCCTCCTTTTGCGTTGTAGCAGGAGACAGCGGCAATCCAGTCTCCTTCATGGTTTCGCGTAAGAAAGAGCTGACCTCCTTACGGGTAGCTCTGAGAGTCGCAGCTTTCTTGTCCTTGGATTGCTGACCTTCATACGTACTCGGAAGTAAATTAGGGAACAGTTTGAGAGCAACAGGCAGAAGAGCCTCAGCGAAAGGGACGATGATGAAAACGGAGAAAGGAACAAGACGACCAAGGTCTTGAACTGTCCGCCGGAGTTGACGGTTCTCTCGGCGAGTCAACTCGTAACCGGCTGCCATCTTCAGCGCTAGCCGGCTGCTGATTTTGATCTCTGTAGCTAGCAGCTTTGTGCCATCCCAGTAATGCTGGATCTCGTGCTTTATCCGTTGGCCCAGAGTGAGCTTCTTTTCCTGCTTTCCTTCCTTCTTTTCGACATCTTGCTCTTTCTTGGCAGCTAGTTCGGTCAAGGACCTAGGCTCAGCGGAGGATTCACTTATGGAGGGTTGGTTAGGCTCTGTGGCGGTAGCAGCGGCCTTCTCAGAGACTGCTGGTTTCTGGTCTCGTGTTTCCTTGGTTGCCGCTGGTGATGCTGATTTAGGGAGTGGCTTCTTGGCCTCCTCTGCGTTGAATCCTGGAGGAGGACCACCATGCCCGCCGACTGAATGTCGCTCGGTTGCTATGCTTCGAAGCGGAATCAGGAGAGCGCGGGTAGGCACGTCGAGAGGCAACTGTCGGGATTGACGTCCGAGGTAGGAAGCGGGAAGACCGAGCCCAGGCCGTGTCGCAATCCGGCCTGCAAAGGGGTTTACTATCACGGCCCGTTGGGCAGCTCTGGCGGAAGCGCTCATCCTAGGAGAGGCGCTGAATGATAATTGGTTCAATTGTTACACAAGGAGAATACAAGAAAGATCGGACAGTAAGTAAGAGTAGAGTAGTAGCAAGAATGAAGAAGTGAGTGAGTGAGTGGGTGAGTGATTGAATGAATAAAGGATTGAATGCAGGCTGTTGCGGAGAGAATGGGGTGGAGACAGTACCTGACTGGTTGCAAGTGGTCTGTCTATGTAGTCTACTACATACATGTATATATGTACCAAAGTAGGTACCTATATGTACTCTGTATATAGGTAGGTAGGTAAGTACTCAGATACCTACAAGCATTCGGTACAGACTCGGAATGCTTGGTGTTCTATCTTCAGACTATCTTCCTGCGCACCTTTGGAACGCCCGATAATTCCGACCAGGCTAGATCATCATTTAATCTAAGTACAAAGTACTTGCAGACATTCACGTCACGTGATCTCAATGGGGCAATCTGCGACAAAAAGTAAAGTGTCACAGCTGCAGCTGCGACCTCCCAGCTGGTCGACAGCTGTGTGTTTACCTACCTGAGTAATTCTACTAATAGGTACCTACGAAGTACTAAGTGGTCTAATTGACTACCTATAGGCTATGGATGGATAAAGGAAGGATGACATGGGTGTTGGCGCCGATGGCTAGATTACTACCTCACGCTTATCTTATCGCCTATCTAATCAGTAGTCAATTCCACCTGTACACTTACCTTACATTTACAACGATGAGAGAGTATCGGTAGATTTATCACAAAATGTACAAAACCACGACCAATTAACCATTGCGGAAGCATTTCAGTAATACCTTGTCTCTGATGCATGTTGTGGGTATCTATATCCAAAATAATCGGCTAAACTATGTATGTCGAATCGACAAGCCACATCCCAATGCCTACTATCCTGTCAAATAGTAACCAGTGATGATAAAGGGTCATGTCAAACCTTCCCAGAAAAAAAAAAAACCAGAAAAAAGTTAAAATATCCAAAAATAACGAGGAGCACAGCCACTGACATGGAGCCTCGCTTGTTATTGACGTGGCCGCGTGACATTGGGACCCGTTCCTATACCGGTCAATGTTCTCACAGCCCAGTGTAGCCAGCTTTCCTTCTCTAGTTGTGCCTTCAGTTCATCGGCTCTCTGTTCAACCTCAGCAACTTGAATCTCGAACTGTGCAGTGCTATCTTCAACCTCTTGTACTCTTGACCGCAGCGCTGTGATTTCGTATTCTAGCTTAGCTGCCTCCCCTTCAATTCGACCGAGCGCCTCGGTAAGATGCTCCTTGTGCTCGGAGAGAATGCCTTGATAGTTGTGATGTGCTCGTTGATAACTGGCAGACGATTCGTGGTACATGATGTGCAACTCTTCCACTTGACGGGCGAATAGCTCGCTAGTCGTTTGAGCAGACCGAACCTTGCGCTTGACCCAAGGCTCAACCTCGGTTTCGATTTGTGCAATGTTCATATACATGGCCTGTGCGACCTCGAGAAGGCGTGCTTGATATTCTGACGTCGTACTGCTATCCAAAGCTTCCGCATCGGAAAAATCTATCACTTCGTCCCATTTGAGGACAGCTTCTTCGGCATGGCCAAATGATAACCTTCGAGCCCAGCGGCGATCGGCCGACGACGAACCTAGGTACGGTCGAGTGCCGGCGATGCTGTGCCGACGGTGTAAATTCATTAATGACAGAGATGCAGCTGAACGCAACACTGCTATTTGAGAAGCGTCTTCTGTTCCAACCTCGCTCATGCGCTCGCCTGCAACGGATCCAGCCACGGACGGCTCTGCTGTAACGGGATTGTCCTGGGCTTGAAGTTGTGACACTTGCTTTTTATCATGAGAAGATAGTTTTTGAATCGCATCGTTGATTCGAGTCGGCAGCCGCGCTTCATTACTTGATGTCTCACCTTGCCCTAATATACCCGCTGAAGGTAGTGAGGTAGAGGGTTCCTTCTCCTTCCTCATCGCATTTGTATATTCTTCAGGCTTATTCTTCCAAGTGAAGGCTCTGCCAAGTTGTGCCGAACTAGGGAGCTGTGCTGGGCTACTTACAAGGCCGGTTGATGTACCCGATAGAAAAGAATGTTGGGAATCGTTGAAGGCGAAGTTGGAAGATTCATCCCTTGACGGTCGACTTACGTGACTTCGCAGCCCACTGCCGCTCGTCATGGCATCCTTGATACGACCGAGACCCGATCGAGCATCGCGGGCAACACTTTTGAACATCCCTCGTCGCATTACATCTTTTTCTATCGGGCTATCGGTTACACTGGCCACCGGGTCGGGAACAGGTGTCGAGTTTATCGCTGGAGAATCCTCCCTTCGACGCTGGTCGGGGTCGTCTTCGAAAGATGCTCTGGTTTCCTCTTTGCCAAGTAGAATCATGTCAGGTCCTGATTTTTCGTGGTCAAAAGCTGGTGTACGCTTGGGTTTCCCGTGCCAAAGCCATTTCGCGCGCTCCCCAGTAACTAAACCAATGAAACGATCAAGGTCAATTGTTTCAATATCACCAATACCGCCCTTATCACGGCTCCCGACCATTCCCAAGACTATTTCGCCTCGTTTGCCACCTATGTCGGTGACTGTCGATTTGACCGCTTTCTGTACACCCCACCCTTCTCCAGCTGCCGCCTTAGCAGTAAGAGTATGTAGTTTGTGCATAGTTTGCCGATCAAGCCGACGTGTTCTCTCGAGTTTGTGATACTTTTGAAATTGGGATATGCCTCTTTCCGTCGAGTCTATTTCGAATACGTCCTTGGGAACTGACACACCCGCATAACTCAATCTATTCCTGGCACCTCCTAACAAGCCAAGCAATGCGGCTACGGTGGTAGGCCCAAGTATGCCGTCCGTAGGTTCTACGTTAAAATATTCAACTCCAAACTCGGTCCACCAATCACCAACGGAAGTTTCCGTCACATCACAAAGCAAGCCGTCGATGTAAACTTGGTCAAGCTTGCCGAACAGGTAGAGGGCTACTTGACAGAACTTAACCAGCTCAATGGCAGCCTCTTCTGTTGAAATCTTGTTGCTTGTCTTGTAGAGTTGCTGGAACTTTGCCTTGGCTGCAGGTATAGGCTCTGATAATGCTATAGCAGACCGTCCCGAGCAGCCTAGTCTTTTAAGATTCTCGTTGACAATAAAAGTACGTCGCTGATTCTTGATATTTCCGCCGGGAACAGATATGACAGTTAGAGCGGAGGGGAAGCTGCTAAGATTTGTCACCATCAATTCCCCCAATTCCGTCTCCCTAGGTCGCGCATGGTACTGATGGATGGCCTTGAAGTATACGCGGAGGCGGGTTGACCATGCCGTCTCGTCTGCGGGAACTGAAAGAACACCAACTACAACTCCATGGCTCATATCTCCTGTGTACGTGACAATGACGACGGTCGGAGATTGTCGGGAGCAAGCCCATTGTTCAACTAGGTATAATTCATATCCTTTTAGCTCGGCTTTCCGCTCGACAACCCTGACGCACTTGTCCTCCTCCAAGTACCTGTCAACGTAGTTATCAGTAATACATTTATCGACCATGTGGCACTATGGCATACCTAAATGCGACGGGATCCGGAATCACTACATGACGTCGCTGAGGAACAGGTGCAACCGGCCGTTCTGAAGTGAGCGTTTGTTTCGAATCGGCGGGAGTAGTTGGAGCACCGGCTTGAGCTACATGACGACTATTGTAGGATAAAGCCCTGGAGATCGTGGCGTCCTCATCTCGATGGTGCCTGGACTCGTCATTATATGAAATAACTTTCCTCGACGACATGGCTCACTCCATGTACGACAGCCAGATCGACCGGTGGAATGGTTCATGATGTACTGAGCATAGCGGCAATCGAGGTGGCGCAGTGTACAATCAAGGCGGCGGTCTGACTAGCGGAGTAAAAAGAGAAGCGAATTGGTGGAAGCCGTGGAATTCGAGCTGTACAGATAGCTTTAGAAGTAGATCAGAGCTGAATCGTGTTCGTTGTTAACGAGTTGAAGAGGCTGGGCAAGTACCTGCTCAGTACCTAAGCATGTGAAGGTTGATTCAGCCAGGCAGTCCGGTACAAGCAAGGGTATTGCTGGGCTAGGACAGGCTAGGGACTCGTATCCACCTTGCTAATGCGTCATTGTCACACCGTAGGTACGTACTTCGTACTGTTTTACAGTACATGTACGGTACCTATTACCTGCTGAATTGGGGTAGGTACCGTGCCATAGCCTATCCGTCCGTCAGGTGCCACTATCACAGCGTCCATTCTAGCCAGCCAAGCTTGGTGTTGATGGCTTGCCCAACTCACTCCTTCTTCAAACCCCCACCAAGATTTCTTCAGAGCACAAAGCCTATTCTATCTCTGTGCGATCCTCTTTTATCGCCTACTTATCAAGTCGCGGCAGGAAGCAAAGGCCGCAGAGCGGCTGCAGAATACCCAATAAGGAATTGACTTTGCTGGTCGAGCATCTCCGGAGACGGCATGTAAACCAAGCCAATCCGCGGGGCTTCAAACCACGACCTGCAAGGCACGTCCGAACGTTATCGAAGAATAAAGTTATTTGACAGCTCCTCGCCATATTGTTGCCCTGGCCACCGGCAGGCGCCCGAAAATACCACTCCTCGTGCTGAGCTTCGTTCAATTGAAGCCAGCAAACCATGTCGTTATTCGAGCTTCAGAAGGAGTTGAAGAAATTCAACCAGGCGAGTAAACTTACGGGGGCCGTGAAGGATGTCGATCAGTTGATCGAGGTTCTCGTAAGCGCAAGGGAAGAAGTTGCTTCAGGTATGAAAGTGCTCGTCCTGTTTAACGTTCCAGTACATGTCCATTGACACGGCTATCTAGCAAACGACCCACATACTACGAGTTTGACTCTCACAAAGCTGCAAAATCCCGTCAGCGCACAACTGGACGCCATAAACGTCGACCTCGGCAGAGTACACAAGAGCCAGAATGCATTCCACAAAGCCCTCAGCAGAGCCTTGAAGGAGACCAAGGGGACACTGCCAACGGATCATGATCCAATGGCCTCACAGACAGCCCTGATCAATCGCGCTATTGCTATGCATCTGCTGCGCGAGGGCCAGTTTGGTGTGGCTTCTACGTTCATAAGAGAAGCACACCCACAAAGCGAAACGTCCGAATCTTTGAAGCAGGCTCAGCGTCCACCTTCGATAACGATATCACGGCCTGACACGCCCCCGGATGCGATGATAACAGACGCGGACATACCTTCAGATCTGACAGCCTTTCAGTCCCAAGCTCTCCAAGAGAAATTTGCTGGGATGTATTCAATCTTAACCTCGCTCCGGCAGCGAGACCTATACCCCGCTATAGCGTGGGCGAGAGAAAACTCAACCGAACTTGAAGCACGAGGGTCTAACCTGGAGTTTGAGCTATGCAAACTGCAATTTATCTGGTTATTCAAGGGGCCTCTCGTGAACGGCTTACCTGCGACAGAGGATAACGGTGTTTCGGGCGCCTTGAAGTACGCACAAGAGAACTTCGGACGCTTCCAACAAAGGCACCTGCGAGAAATTCAGCGACTTACCTGCGCCGTGGTGTACGTGTCCAACCTGGCAGACTCTCCTTACCGCACCATCTTTGACATCTCGCTCGCATTCGACGAGGTAGCCTCGTCCTTCACGCGTGAGTTCTGCTCGTTGCTCGGCCTGTCAGCTGAATCGCCTCTCTACGTGGCTGCGACAGCCGGTGCTCTCGCCCTCCCGAACCTCGTCAAATGGACAGGTATCAACAAGGCCAAGAACACAGAGTGGACCACACAGAACGAACTTGCCTTCGAGACCCCCCTCCCGAAGAGCATGCTCTACCATTCCATCTTTGTTTGCCCCGTGAGCAGGGGCCAGACAACGGACGCGAACCCCCCGATCATCCTGCCATGCGGCCACGTTCTTGCTCGTGAAAGTCTACAAAAGCTGGCGAAGGGCATCAGATACAAGTGCCCATATTGTCCCAGCGAGGGCGTCGTCAAAGACGCCAAAGAAATTATTCTCTAGGCTATACGCTGGAACATTTATTTAACATCATCCTATAATGCGGGATAAACCTCAGGTCTGGTTCAATAACGGGATATCGGGATAGTGGGTACATAAGACATTCTATTGCTTATATGTGTAGGAAGGGCGTTAAAGGGGTATGGATCATCATTTGCAAAGCGAGGGGCTCTACGGAACTGGGTATTGCGGCTGGAAACACGGGCTTGATTCCCTTATCATTCTATGAACTTAAAAACGTCAAGGTAGTTTACAAGGCCGAGCCATTCTAGGTATTATACACAAAATTTGCACCTTGTAAAGTTCCAGTCCTCAGGACAGCTCGTCTGTCTGATTCCGGAAAGCGTGTGAAGCAACTACCGAGATTTTTCTTCAATAACGAAGAGGCACGAAACTCACGAATGCTATATGCAAAACAGTGGTATCTTGAACTTGCTAGCTATATGATTAAAAGGGCGAAGAGCCACTGCAATATCAAAGATGCGAAACCCAAATCTATCGTGGCCTCTGCTAGTTCCTTTCAATCACTCGAGCTTGGCCCTACAAGTCTCGACTCAATTTCCTCTTGTATTTTCTTTCCGTGTTCTGAACAGTATCCAGTTTGAGCCCGTATCAGGGGCTGCCAGAGTTATATGCTCAAAAAAGAAACAGAGAGCCACCCCTATCCGGCAGAAAGAGGTAGGTGGCGACTCAACATCAAGCAACCGCCAAAACGCCTGGAAGAGATGGTTATAATTTTCTTGCAACGGGGGATGACTCAATTCCCGTTATGGTATAGCCTGCTATGGCTGGATATCTGAATAAAATGAATTTGCTAAGAGAATCGTTTCAAATCGTGTCGCTTTTGTACATCTAAATTTGATCAAGGCCAGCCTGAAACGAGATGACTCAATCAATAGTCATCCGGCTGGGCAACTGCGACTGCTTGACGTCGTGCATCGAGTAACTAACTTGATCCTTGTCCATTTCTTGTCGTGGCGACTTGAGAAGGTGTTGCTTGAGGCCGTGGCCGAAATTGAACAAGCAAACTAATGCATTGATGATTGTCAAGATGATAAGGATAATGGTAAGAACTGCAAATGCAGTCAAGGACTTTCGAACCGGCATATAGTACTGCGCCTGAGAAGGAGTGTAGATGCGCGCAAGCTTGTAGATGAAGTAAGTCAAGCCTCCAAGATAGAGAATTCCAACAATCCACATGCCGACTTTCCACTCACGACGCGTGGACCATGCTGCACAGAGAAGGATTGCGATGGTAACAGGTATGGCAGCAGCAGTCAAGCCAAATTCGACCTCCGACCTACCACCAACTACCACAAGGAATTGGATTGTGAAGCCGACGAAAAAGAAGAAATCGAACTTCAGGAGAGCGATGTAAATCTGTCAGATACGTTAGCCCAGGTAAGGTGCATAGCAAAAGGTGGCGTGTATCATGTACCTGGTAATGCAAGAATCGCTTCTTCATCCTGTAGTCAGCTCCTATTTGCTTCAGGATATCCCAGGCAAACTCCTGATACAGTTTCCAAGCAATAAAGCCTAAAACAAGTGTAAGAAGTCCTATGATTGCCGGGATAGCAATCAGCTCAGCTCGAGTCTCAGTCCAGACGTCCAAGTTCCAGAAAACATTCTTTGTCATAAGAATGACGATGGCCTCGTGGATCTGGTCGATTTGAAGTGCGCCGTAAACGAGCAAAGCAAGGTTCGCAATGCACACTCCGATAATTTGAATGGTATTCTTCGCAATAAGAGCATCCCAAACGAGAACAACGTCGTACACGAAGCCGAAAATGAAGAGACCAAGGAAAGTAGGAATTGTCTTCAGCTGAGACTGCACGTCGGGGTCGTTCTTGAACACTGGAGCTTCGGTATCCATCAACCCATCTGTAAATTGGGCGAAGGTATATCTAGATGAACAAATGTCAGCTCCTCTACTATCCCGAAAGAATCTCCCTCCGGTCCGAATTCTGCTTACGCTTCAAAGACAATGCAGATGATGGCTTGTAAAATAATGGTCAGGAAGAACCATCGCGACCATCTCCTCTTGAAAATCTCAATGGTGCCCTTTCTGAACACCGTAAGCCGACTGACGGTAGCAGGCGCCATCGGAGGGTTGGCGCTATTGAGATACTGGGGTTGTGACGGAGAGGTCTGGTATTGAGGGTACTGTGCGTATGGCTGCTGATCGTACTCGGGCTGAGGAGGATACTGGTCGACGGAATATGGTGGGTAGGAGGATTGTGAGGAAGAGATCTGGTGGAATCCGGCGTTGTCTCCAGCCGGAAAAGGCCGGTTGTGCTGATTGAAATCCAGATTGGCTACAAAAGCGTGACTCCTCGGATGTGAGGAGCCGGCCTTTCAATCAAACTGTTACAACAATGAAAGGGTGTTTGTCGGATCTGAGACTCGAGCAATGCGTACAGATGCAAAAACTGGCGTATCTAGGCGTCGCGTCGGCTAGACAAGATGGGAGAACGGGATTCGATGGGAAAACGCGGCAATAACGAATGAAGGATGGAGGAGAATGAAGTGAAACAAGGAAACGAGTGGCTAGAAGTGATTGCTGATGATGACTTGGCGAAAGACCGAGCGGTGGTGGTGGTGAGATGCCGAACGAGGGAGTTGCTACGAAGCAAGGTGCAACTTGGGCTGGGCCGCTGGGGGGGATTGGCTGAACAACGACGCTGGGGGGCTGGGTGGGCCTCACAGGGCCGACACTAACTGTAGGTTGGCACCTAGGTAGCCTTAGGCAAAGTAAGTAGTGTACTATGTACACTAAGTTGTAGGGCCTACAGTGGCATCCAGTGGCAGGGTCAGGCACTGGTGGGGGACGTGCTATGAAAAGACTAAGCCCCGTCGACCTAGCAGTGTTGGGCTAGCTGAAACAGGCTGATGGGTTTGAGCAGCGCCGGGGGGATGAAGCAGGGGCTGTTTGTGGGTTGCAGAACTGAGGTTTGAGCTTGCTTGCTTGCTTACTTATGTGTTCAACGGGACGTGGAGGAGAGATGGAGGGGAGAGGCGGACTACGATGTTGTGAAGTTTGAAGGAGAGGATAAAGGAGCGGGAGGGAGAATGATGATGAGGAGGAGGAGGAGGAAAGTGGCAAGGTTTGTCGATCAGTCGGATGGATATCCTCTTCTTCTGCTTCTTCTTCTTCTTGGTGTTCACCAAGAGCTGCGCCCAGGTGCCGAGTACCTACTGTGTCCCTGCTCATCTCACAGCCTCTCACAAACAGAAATTGCTGGTAAATTTGAACGCTGTTTCAAAGTAGATAGGTACAGGTATATCGGGTTAGTCTAGGCATGCCACAAGGCACGTTGGGGTGGCTTAGAGGAAATATATGGGCTCTACTATCTACCTACCTACCTAGCTATGTACAACATACACATACCTACTGTTTAGCGAGAGACGGGAAAGGCAAATGAATGACACCTCCAACCCTCTTCTCTCTCTCTTCTCGTATTGCCTGTTACCTCACCTACTTAATAGGTATTATTGTAAGGGGTGCAAACGGAAGCAAGGGCATATAAGAATTATTCCAGGGTTGGCATGTGCGTAAGGCCCACCCCCCACTAACTGACTCTGCGCCTAGCCAATAGCATCGCTGTCGTTATAGCGATGCGATCTACTATGTACTACCGTATGTATGTACTTACATAGTAGGTACAGTGCCGTCGCGTGGCTAGCGACAGATGTCTGGTGTGTCTAAAGTTGTAGTAAGTTCCCTGCCATCAAGTTCAAGTCGAGCTGCTCGCTACATAAACAACATTGGCCGCAATGGAAATTGACGACGATGAGATCCTCAGAGGCCTTGCCGCAGGCCGCTCTATGGAGTAGTAAGCCTCGATCCATTTCCCCTCGTGCTCCCCATTGGCTCTCATTGGACATGATACACATAGTACTAACCACTCCCTCCCATCTTTGACAGCTCCTCATGGCCTGCCTTGCTACCGCGTGTGACGGCGCGTATTGAAAAGGTCTGGACATGTCTTTCGCAAACCCGCTACAGCTCATTTTCAACGAAACTCTGACCGTCGGAGACAGATCGCCCGTGAGGCGTTTCCCATACCCAAGCTCCCGCCGCCTCCACCTCCACCGCAGCCCTTTTCCTCGGCCGCAACCATTCCGTCATCTGTCCCACGAGGCCCCGATTCAGACTTGTCGGAAAACTTCTTGGCACCATTGTCATCATCGTCGCCCGCAGATCGCCGCCATTCGAGCCCACTATCGGATACGAATAAAGAGAATAACAATCCCGTTGTGCCGCAGGCGGCCCCGTCTGCTCCCTCCGCCCCAGCCGCCCCTGCTCCTCTCCCACCTGGCGTTCTACCACCACAGCTCGACCGCATGCTCTCTGAAATTACATCATACCTTAAATCGACATTTCCTACATATCCACCGCACACCATACAGCGGATCTCAGAGCTTGTTGTAAACCCAAAACAACACTATCGCTCGGTAATCACCTATCTCCACGCCCTCGATCGCGTAGTTCGTGTCACATCAGGACTCAACGTCTACCCCTTGCCCTCCACACATGCCGAGATACCGACGAACCTAGCAAATGGCGTTCTAGAGGCCCCCGCCCGCCCATCACCATGGGCCTCTCCGGGAAGTGATGAAGCGCTAGGAGGGGCTCTTCTAACCCCAATCCCGTGGATTCCGCACAATCAACGATCAGTCACGGGCTCATCTATGCAAGCGGCGCAATTATCACACACCCAACAGCCACAGCCCACAAGTTCGGCGCAAGAAGTACCAGCAGAATTTGAAGGAGAGGTACGGACTGAGAGCACCGAGACGATCGATGGCCCCAACGGCGTGGGGAGCATTGAGACAGTCTCGGTATCAGTCAATGGAATTCCTTCCATGGGAGCTCGAGGTGTCAGCGTAACGCAAGGTGAGTTATTGCGACAAGAACAAGAAGCAGGTGTCGTACCTGTCAGCCAGCTCGTACCTAGCCATCACATTCACCCTGGGTCCAATGCAAGTGCCGCCGCACAACAGCAACAGCAGATTCAAGCACGCATTCAGCAGCAACGATCATTAGCCCAATCCCAAAATCAAGCACGCGTCCCATCTACGGAACCCTCTGACTCACCGAGCCCAGCATCTAATACCGTGTCAACACCGTCCACCACAACTCTCGACGGAGAGTGTGTGGCTGCCACTGCTGACAACATACCAGTCGCGATAGGATCCGTTCATAGCAACAACGCTGAGGACGAGGAGAAACCGCATGCATCCGGCCCTGAGGAGATTGGCGCCGATGACCTAGGTCCACAGTCCACAACATCGTCAACCCTCCCTGCCTCGACCTCCACAACCGGTAGTAGGATGCAGGGAATTGATATTCAAGCTGCCGTGGGTCGTAAACCTCTCGACACTTTAACCCCGGCGAATAGTGAAGACAACGCTAAAAATGACGAGAGCGAAGAGATGGAGGTTGACGAGGATAAACGGGAGCCGCGAGCCTCGACGCCTAAGCGTAGCGCAGAAGAAGGCCTTGGAGGTTCCGCAAGCAAAAAGCTCAAGGAAGAAAATCCTGATTCGGCCGTTACTGATGAGGACCCGAAGCCCAATGAGGCCGGATCAACGAGTGAAGAGGTTAGCAACGAGGATGCCATGGATAAAGACTAGGGTGTTCGTTTCCATCTTTTGGCTGGACGGGCGATAGCTCTCCGTAATGTCAAGTTGATGGGGACACAATGATATGGGGTTACGATAAGGCGTCATTCATAGAGCAAGGGGATTGTCTCTACACTGGGAAATTCAAATTGGCCTTGTATGGAGCCTCGGCGAAACCGGCATGGACGGGTGATAAATGAGTAAATGGGATATAATTTGAGGAAGTACTAGTTTTCATGTTTGCAAAACGACAAGACTCGTCCTAGCGGAGATAGGATGGGCAATGATACCAAGTTTCCAAGAAACATCTTCGATTTGATATCTAACTACGACTACCTACTCATATTTACTGATTATATGGCTATGAGAGATTGTGATATTGTGACTGGAGGGGATGCTCTACCGGGGACATCAGCTAGACTCGTGATCTGCAAGGTATATGTGTCCAGGCAATCAGCTGAGTAGAAGTTCAGATTTGTTAAAGCCGTCTGCTAGTAGAGCTCAAGTTTCAGCAGCGGGATAGTCAAGCCGTTGCTACCTAAGTACCTACACAACGTGATTACCCTCAACACTTGCATCAAAGGAATGTTGATCCTTGGTCTCTCGAAACCAGTAAGTCTACCATGTTCGAGATAATACTGCAGGTTACAACGTACCAATATAATACAACTTTCTATACCAGTATTGCCAGATCTCTATCTCGATTCTATGTGTGTACTTCAATATCAGACTCAAGCATACTCCGCCTCTACCCGACAGACGGCACTGATTGCACAGCTTGTATCCACACCTCGAAAGTTCATATGCATTCGACGGCATCACATAACCTGCCCAATCGACCGCGCAAAAGAAGAAGAAGGAGAAGAAGGAGAAGAAGGAGAAGAAGGAGAAGAAGAGGAATTGTCATATACCTATTCCACGTTTAGCGCGCAAGCACATAGGCACATTATTCCAACAATTACCAAGACAGATAAATAGATGCATACCTATCCAAAGCCGCCCACGACCAGACTGAACAGCAGTCTCGATACAGACTTTGACTAGACGTAGCTAGAGACAACGAGAGCGTTAGAATTCCGGGAAGAAGGATCGCGGGATCCGGGAGGAGTGTGTATGTACACGACGTTAGGATTTGGGATACTGCCGAATTTAGACGACTTGAAGCAAATCCGACCCTAAGGCATGTAAACGCCACATATCTATGATGAGCAAAGAGGATAGTCGATATTTAGAACTACTTGAGACACGACTCCGAGTCGTACAAATAATTCCCTGTATAGTTCGCTCTGTGCTGCAATTGAAACGCAATATATCAATTCGCGTAATTAAGTTGCCTAGGATAACCCCCGTATGTATTTACTGTTATAGAAATTACATAGACAGCAACTATCACGTTGAAGTTCAAGTCATAGCTAATATATGAGCACGTCACGAGAGCATATGATGGCAACTCTCTATATCCGTAGGGTGTATAGGCTACAATGGGCAGCTGGCCCCAGAGATCCAGATCCCAAGCCCATTAACATACAATTGCTATCTGGATAATCCTTCCTCGAGGCTCAAGGCAAAGTAATTTGCAAGGCAACGATCGTCAAAGATAGGGGGGAAAGCCTCTGATAGAAAACGCCTCGCTATATCCCTCCTAAAACCCAGGCTAAATCAGATCTAGATCGTCCTGATCAATTACACCCACACCCTGAACCTACGATCGATGAATAAGCGACGCTTAAACAATGGTGGCAATGCTTTCTCGCTCGATGCGACTATTTTGCTTCTCGTCACGGCTGACACGCCAAAAATCATCGCAGAATTCCGAGCAACGCATATGTCGGAGGAAATCTTCGTCGTGTGTGATGACAATGAGCTGGAAATTTCTCTGCACACGACGGGCCTTGATGATAGAATGCAGCGATTCGGCCAGTGACTTGATGTTGTCACGATCCAGATTAGTCGTGGGCTCGTCGAGGGCAATGAGCCCACACCCAATACCAAATGACTCGGCGAGTGCTAGACGTATAATAATAGAGGCAAGCACTTTCTGACCAGCCGAGCACCGTCCTCGCATGTCCATCTCCGTATCCTGTTTCACCATGCAGACACGGTAGTTGTATGAACTTCGCCCATTCGTGGCCTCGCTATCTGACCGAATCAAGATCGTGTCGATGTCTGTCCCTTGATAGGTGCTCTGCCACAACTCGCCAGCAATCCGGTTTACTTCCTCCATTTTCATGGCGTGATACTGCATAATGGCATTATTCAGTGCCGTGCTGTATCGACCGAGGTCCTCAATGGCCGCCTTGGTAGTCTCAACCTTGATATGTGTCTCGCGGTACGTTTGAGCAGCGTTCTCGTACTCAAGGTCCCACTCCCGCAACAACTTTACCAGTTCCTCGTCCTTAGATTTCATAGCTCCCATGACGGCACCTCGTTCAGCATTTTTCATATGACTCACGGAGTCGAACCGTTCAGCCTCCGCTTTGAGTCGCTCGTAATCTTCTTCGGCTCTTCGAGATTCCAACTCCACAACTTTGCCCTGGAGTGTGTCGACGTCACGTGCTGCTTTGCGATGGGTCAAATTCTCTTTAATATTATTCTTCTTCTTGTCGCTACTCGCCATATCTTCCTTCATCTTGTTGGCCCGCGCAACCAAAGCAACCATGTCTTCATCGGTACGCTTGATGGTTCTCTCAAGTGCTTGAATTGCTTGTTCGTTGAGGTTGAGGTTTGATGGGCCACCACGTCTCAGGTAATCCTGGATATCAATGTCGATCATCTTCAGCTCACTCACAGAACCCGCAAGGCCATCCCGCTCGCCAGCGACTTTCTTCTCCTTGTTACGGCCTCTTTGTAATATGTCATCTCTGATGGCTCGTGCTTTCGAGATTTCAGGCTCCACAGATTCCAAGTCTTTGTCGGCGTCCTGGATAATTTCTCTCTGCTTCGCGATATCAGTTTTCTGCCCCTGAATCTGGGTTTGATACCCTGTCTTCCTTTCAAGCTGTCGAACAGCATCGCTCAGCTTGTTTCGTAACTCGCTTCGCTCTAATTCTAACATATTCACTGTATCTCGCAAACGCTGCTTCTCATTTGACAACTTGGTTATCTTGTTCTTTACGACCTTTAATTTCTCTCCGCATTCGGTCTGTAGTTCGGTGATCTCCTGGGTGGTTCTAATAGTACCACTAGATTGCTGCTGGGACGTGATTCGGTCGACTTGGGCCTCGGCTTCCATGATGTCCTTGTGGGTATGCGAAATGTTAAGGACGGTCTTGCTCATTGATTCAAAATCCTGGCGCTCTTCTTGCTTCGCCCGAACAGTGTCATCCATGCCCTCCAAGATGCGAAGAGTGCTAGCTTCCTTGTTCAGAACATCTTGCAGTTCCTTTTCGGATTCCTTTTTTTCCGCGAGCAGGCGTATGTATGTCTCGCTCTGAGGCCGGGCGGCTCGAAGTTGACTCAACAGCTGCTCAGATTCTTTCAACTCGACCTCCAGCTCAGTCTTCCCAAATTGCTCAAGTACGGATCGAATCTTGGCGGCCAACCTCGATTTATCGTTCGCATTAGCAAAGGGACGCTCGCAAAGCTCGCATTTGTTCTTTTCATTCATAGTTTTTCTGCAGCTGGCATAATACTTGCTCATCTCCGTAGACAGCGATAAATCGTTTTTTAGTGTTACGATATCGCTTTCGAGACGCTCAATCTCCGTTGGAAGGGCGTCAACACCCAAGTCTGCGTCTGGGTCGACATTCTTAAGTGCCCCAACCACAATGTTCTTGCATCTTGTGGATTCTGTATCACGTTTTCTATTCCGCTCCTTGATGCTTGTCAAGTTTGTCTGTACGGTTTTGAGCTGCTGCAATGTATCATCACGTTTCCGGGAGGCTTCGTCAAGAGCCTGGTTCTTGACTTGTAAGCCTTTGTGAAACTCTTTCTCAACTGTTGCAGGGTCCCAGGCTCCACCAAGTAGCGAGGTCAGCTTTTCGTTCCAGGTGCTCTGTAGTGTGACGAGCCTTCGATTCTTCTCCATCAATTCCTCTTTACGAACCTCTAGCTGCGCTCGATCAGAGAGAAGCCTCGTAGATTCTACAAGCTCACGGCCAAGTCTACTACTTTCACCTTCGAGTTGCTGTAGGTGTAGTTCTTCCTGCTGCAACTTGCGGTCAAAGTCTGCGTTCTGTAAATCTTGAGATGCCTGCTGGAAGCGCGACTCTAGGTCTTTGGATTCAGATTCAAGTATGGCTTTGGCCCCTTCGTCAATCTCCACTGCGTTAAGATCCCTCTGGAGGGCTGCAATGCTCTTCTCACAAGCTGTGATCCTTTGTTTCGCGAACACACGATCCTGGGTATGTCGCGATTTCTGGCCCTCCAGCTCGGTTATGGCAGCCGTCTGGTTATCCGTTTCGCTCGCGTTCTGGGCCTGCAGACGATCTAGTTCTTGTTTCTTCTCTACTAAGAGCCTTTGTATGCGGTCATAAAACGATTGCACTTTTTGGTCATCTAAGTCACCGTCAAACCCGCGGATACTGTGGAGTTGTGCTGCTTGTTGTACAAGGTGAATCCGCGACTTAAGCTGACGTTCGTACTTTGCCTTGTCGGACTCATGTCTACCTCGCTCAGCTAGCTTCTCAGAATGTTGCTGGCGGTATTCATCAAGGCTATCCTTGTACTCCTTGTACTGGGATATGTTCTCCTCGATGTCTTGCTCATATCGTGCGACATGCTCTTCGTACTTGGAAAGTGCATCTTGTAGCCAGCTGTCCGACTCACTTAGCTCTTGGTCCATTCTGCCCCTGGACTCCTCGAGAGAGATTGTACGAAGGCGAAGCTCCTCTTTCTTCATTTGCAACTCATTATGGATGCCGAGGTAACTGTTGGCCGATTCACGGCGCTCTTTAGCCTTCTTTGCAGCCTCTTCTACCTGAACGTGGAGACCTTCTGCCTCCGTTCTAAGAGCTTCGATCTCCGCCTCTAACTCCCTACATCGCACCTCACATTTCTCGGCCTTATCTTTATTCTGTTTATCGCCGATTTCTTTCGTCTTGAGCCTCGCCAATGTCTCGCCCTGTTTCTTCCGAAGCACCTTGAGGTTCTCGATAGCTTTTGTGTATTTCATTGCCTCGAATATCTCGTCGAATCGCTTCTTCAAGGCAGCGGGCTCACTCATCGGCCATAGAGATTCTTCCTGGTGGCAGAAGATGACAGCATCGAGAATCGCGGGCGAAACTCCAAGCGTGTCGGAAATAAGCTTATTCAAATTTGCTTCTTTAGATGAGACAGAGCTCTTCTCCCCGTCACAGTTGCTGGCCAGGGTGGCGTCGAGAGTCTTTTGGGTTCTCGCGGTCTTCTTCATCGTGAGCTGTAGGCTCCGAGTGACGACATAGCTAGTGTTGGGCGGGACATCGTATCGGAGCTTAACCTGGGCGGAAACCTCGCGCTCGCCCGCAAGCTTTGGGTCGTGAATGAAGGCTCCGCCCTTGCTGTTCGGGGGTAATTCGCCGGTGGTTGCATATTTCAGACACTCGATAATGGTTGTCTTGCCGGAACCGTTATAGCCAACGATAAGGGTGAGTGGAGTGAAGAAGGCGATATTCTGGCGGTCAACGTGTCCAAAGGACCGGATGCCGATAATGGACAGCTTGTCGATTTTGGACATGGTGGCGGATGTGGCGGGCGTGGAGGAATGAGTTGAGATGAGGGTACCTAGGCTCCAAGATCAAGTCACACTCCGGCCCCATAGTCTGGGCACCAAGGGAATGTCAGGAGCGCCCCTTGGGGCGGTGGAGATTGTTATTGCGCCGTTGACGAGATGGGAGGAGACGGAAGGGGATTCTGGTCAAGTCAATAAGATGTATGCGACTCTTGTCATATGTCCAGCCCAAGGTGCGTGAAGGCTTGTGTCTCGCGTAGATAGATAGAAGACGCGTGTGGTGATGTAACTATTTGGTGGCACCACCGAAAGACGCGGCGGAGAGTACAGTGGTTTCCAGGCAGCGTTGCACAGGCATGGATACAGTGCACTGTTGAAACTTGACAGGGCCCCCTACCTACCTACCTAGGTACCTGCTTACCTACTTACAGTACCTACATACTTGGGTAGGCCAAGCCAAGCTGCAAATGGTCACTGGACGGGCCCTGGAATCAGTTGCTCTTTGTAGGTACTCTACGGGTAGCAACTGTGCCTCTATTTACTACTACAGGTATGTAATTGCATGGGCGGTACCTTATTGAAGATACATACATGTACCTACATAGCAGAGTGGGTCCAACAAGAAACGTCCGCTTTCGCAACCAACCCCTGAAAACGCAGAAAACGCTATTTTCGCAATTATCACCAACTTTCTAACCTACGTATAGCCCTTCAGATATAGCTATTTCGTTAGAAAACTAGATTATATATAAATTTAATAGGTAATTAACTTATTACCTGAATTAATTATATTATATTACCTTTATAGTATACTTTTTATATTATTGTTTAAGTATCCCTGATTTAGCTTATCCTACCCCTTAATAATTAACTCCCTTAGCCCTTTAACGTTAGTGTAGCTATATATTTTTAATGCTAAATTCATTTGTTTAATGGTAGATTTAATAAAATTAACGTTTAAACTATTATAAAGCGTATAAAGAGCTTTATAGCTATTTTCTTTTAATTATTTTAACGTTTATTTTAATTAATATATTATAACCTTATTTATTTATAAAATAAAGTCTTTACCTTTAAACCTAACTTTAGCTTTATTTAAAATTAACTATAAGTATTATATAAATTTAATAAAGTTAATAAAATTTATAGTATTTTTTAATAACGTTATATAAAAGATTAAGGTAAATTTAAAATTATAGTTAATAGCGCTAATAGCGTTAATTAATGTACCTCCTTTATTTTAATAATAAGTTTTTTCTTTTAAACGGTATTTCTTTACTTCTATTAACTTTAAAGTAGTTTTATTTAGCTTAATAATCCATTAAGCTTCTTTTTATATAACTTTATATATAACTTTACCCTAAAGGCTTTTATAGAAGTTAAAGTAAAGTTTATTAAATAAAATAACCTTTTAACGCTACTCTTTATTTTGAAATAACCTTAGGTTTATTTTACGCTTTATATATTTAATTTATATATCCTTTATAATTATTAAAAATATAGGTTTATTATATTTAAAACGTATATAATAATTAATAAGGTTTAAATAGTAATATATAGTTTTTACCTTTTTTAAAATAGTTATATTAATTATAAAAGTTAAGGCTAGCTAACTTAAACTATAAGCCTTATATGGCTTCTTTTTAAAAAGGTATTTAACTAATTCAGCATTTATTTCATTAAAAATACGCTTTTTCCCACGCTTCTTATAATAATAAGGGTTATTATAGGTTATATACGAATTAGGGTTGGTATAGGCTTATATAGCTTCATTTTTTTCGTTTAATTCGAAGGTTTCCGAATTGCGGCTATATAGAATACGCCTACCAATACGTTCTTCAATTCCAAAATAGTCGAAAATAGCTTATTTCAAATATTTTGGGCCTGTTAACCCCTTATCTTTATAATATTTAACAACACCTTTCAATTTTACTCTTCGAGGGGTATTATACTTTGGAGCACCCATTTTCTACAGCAAAAAAAATCGTAAAATTATAAAAATTATATATTCATATTTAGAAGCCTCTATTCTATATGCCTACAAAGTCCTATTTAATTATCTGGAACGGTAAATTAAAGGTAAGCAATAGAAGTAAAAAGGGTAGTTATGGAAATGAAGGCTTTCAGAAGTTGGTTGCGGAACCGGACATTTCTTGTTGGACCCACTCTGTACATAGGTACTCGAGGATAAGTATTTATGTACTGAGCAGAGGGTACCCTGCATAAGGGCATGCAGCTGACCCCACTTGCCTATTCCCCTAGTCTAGATACCTAAGTACGTAAGGAACATACAGTAGTACCAAGTATACGATTAGGATATATTACACATTGTTGGCAGAGCATGTACGGCCTTCAAAATAGTAAATATACTCTGACTGGTAGAGCAGAGTAGAGGTAGTAGATGCCTGTAGTGTTAGATGGGTGTCTAGGGATTGTTCTTGATGTTTCTGAACAGGCCGGGAATACTTGCGTAGGTTGCTAGAAATAGCTCATCAGAAGTTGAGAAGATATTCCCAAGGATTAGGTAAGTGCCTACCATAGTAGGTAGGTAAGTAACCAGAACACACTGGTCAACTTGGCATTGCAAGAGGCTGTGTTAGTACCAGAATTACGACACCCATGGCCACCTTGCTTGACAGTATCTGTAAGTCATCTATCACAAAATCCTGTCATAATCAACTTGTACGCATAGGTTGTTGTGAAGTTCTAGGCTTCTACGTAGTACATAGCTATTGTATTTATCTAATTCTCACAGTAATCACTCACTTAGAAACTCATTGTCTAAGTACTTAAGTAATTGAGGATGATAAAACGGGGACTAGCAGGGCTTGCCACCCAGAACGACCTACCCAGTCTAGCCTCTTTTTAACCACACTACAGAACTCGAGGCCTTGTTGGTCTCCAAGTGGAAACGGAGCATTTGTTCCTCCCCTGCTCTGCCAGCTTGGTTATCACCTTGCTCTACAGCCCCATTGCCGCCGCCACCGCCGCCGCCGCATTATGCTGAACGTAGTTGCTGAATGAATGAATTACTACCATGTATATGGATAGGATGATTGATCATATGTGAAAGATGACAAGAAGCTTTGGACGAGTTGACAATTAATAAGCGTGGAACCGAGCACGTCGATCTCTTGAGTTGAGGTTTAAAAGGGACCCAGCAGGAACCCAGAAACTACGTAACAGTCAACTCCATCCCAGATCCATCCCTTCCCAGCTATGACATAAGAACTCGCAAGATACCTACATATAGCCTCGAAGATCTCTCACGGACCCCCGCGTGCCCCCCGGGCCCAAGCGAGCCAAGTTCCAGTGATATAGGATCCTAGATCATCTGCTAGGTTCCCAGGTTGGCTGGCTGGCTGGCCTGTTAGTGTGCGACGCAACCTGGCTGATGAGCCAAACTGCCCCGCCTTTCGAGACTCTGGTTCAGTGTCCCCTTCAAGTCATCCAATCATTCCCTTGGCCTGTTGGGGTCGAGAGAGTCCAATTTGATTACTGAGTATCGGGAAAATGAGAAATCCCATCCTAGGTATTCGAAAATCCCCCTTCTCCTCCATCTGGTATTTTCACGCTTCTTTTCCTACCGACCGCAACGCTGCTCTTCCCGCCACCGCCACCGCCGTCGCCGCCCGTCGTGTCTTGCAGCGAGAAACAGCGAGAAACAGAGCCAGAGTTTGCGTGCATTTGTAGTCGATTTCAACTCGATGAGCCGAACCTAGCGTTGAGCATTTACAAGGTCCCGACACCCCCAAGCTATAGGACGACTGTTGGGCGACTAGATGCAGACACCAGAAATTCGAAACTACCATCGACCTGTCTTCGTCTTCGTCTTCTGCTCCGTCCCAACTCCCGTCGCATGCGAAGTCGTTGTTGGCGCAATCGGTTATTAATAGCCTAGGTCGCTAGGTAGGCAATCGGGGATAATCCAGGACTGAGGCCGTCGCTGCTGCTGCTGCTGCTGCCGCTGTGTTTTCTGGTGCATCCGTACCGTGCCCGCCGAGCTCAGCTGCACGCACCATCACCGCAAGCCACCCCAAAGAGCCCGCTATCGATATCAGTCGCCATCAGTCGCAATCAAGTTAAATCATGGATCCCACGCAGCAAAATCCCATGTTCTTTGACTTCTCAGCCCCAACCTCGATGCATCCAGTACGTTAACCTGTCTTGGCTCCATGCCAGCATGCTGATAGTGTCAATGCACTCGCTTTTCCCTTTCTGATTTTCCATGTCAACTTGTGTTTTTCTTTTCCCCCTATGTGCTGGCGCACGACCTTAGCCATCATACTTATGCCATCATATGCCATCATACGCTATTCGCGCCATCAAGCCTGGCCTGTCCCCTTCCATCTCATGTCTATCTACCGATTCTATTCATCCGCGAACACCTGCTAGGGTGACGTTTGCTGATTGACCGCCCACGCCAGTTGGATGCAGATGCCCAGAATGATATGATGGCCATGTTCGACATGAGCACATTCGATAATATACCCATGAACCTCGACGATCTGGGGGGTTTGACCTCGCCCCAGGATCAGCCCTTCCGGCACCCGACCCCGCCAAGCACCCTGGCCCCAGGCGACAGTCCAGTGGGGCTGTCGGTGCCGCCACCCGTCGACGCAGCACTTGGGGGTCAGTTGCAGCAACAGTTGCAGCCTGCGCCGAGTGGGAGTGGAAGTGGGAGCGGGGGCGCGAGCGGGAGTGGTAGTGGGAGTGCATTGACCGAGTTCACCAAGCGTAGGAATTGGCCTGCCAAGGTCGTTGAAGAGCTCAAAGATGTGCTCTATATCCTCGATGCGAATGGCCGCATCAGATATACCTCGCCGAGCACATTCTCCGTCACTGGATACCAATCCGAAGACCTTGTCGATACTTTCCTTAGGGACATCGTGCATCCCGACGATATGGGCACCTTCACGTCCGAGATGAATGAATGCATAGCAACGGGGAACCCGCTGCGCGTCTTCTACCGTATGAAGAAGAAGGATCTGCAGTATGCCATCTTCGAAGCCGTTGGCCATGCGCACATTGCGGCTGCCACATTCGCCCCTAACCCCAGCAACCGGTCCCCCTTTTGCCAGGCTGTATTCATCATGTCGCGACCCTATCCAACGAGGAATGCGTCGCTATTAGATTCGTTTCTGGAGCACAAGATTGAGAATGAAAGGTTGCGACGACGCATTGCTGAGTTACGTAAGGAAGAGGACGAGGAAGAGGCCGCCTCTCAACAAAGCTGGCTTCAGGAGTCCCGCTCAGATGTGACACCATCAGATGATACTTTCATGTCCAGCACTCAGGGTGGTGTCATTTTCAAACCAGTGACAGTTGATACCCAGGCAATGCCTCCTCCCGAGAGGCCCCTGAATGGAGCACTGACGAGGGAGAACTTAGAGGGCGCCACGGCTGGGAACAGACCAGATTCAATCGGTGACAAGATGGCTCGATACGAGGGATCATGTCGCACAGACACCATTGAGATGTTCACCGGACTACGGTATCTCGAAGGAGAGAGGAGCCGTGGCGTTACGACAGGTAGCTCTAGCCTGACTTTGATCAAAGGTGACGTTGGAATAGCCATCCCGGTCGATAGGGACCCTAAAACAGGTGAAAAAAAGAAGAAACTCAAGATTGCAGAAGAATACGTCTGCACGGACTGCGGTACGTTCTATACGCATGCGTGACCATAAAACTTAAGGCTAATCTCATGCGCTTATAGGCACACTTGATTCACCTGAATGGAGGAAAGGCCCCAGCGGCCCCAAAACCTTATGTGTGAGTAATTGTCAACACCATTCAATTTTATTATTATTATTATTTACCAGGGCAAGATCGTACCTCGGGGGCTTCTCAGTGGCGCAAATTCTGTAGCCTTCGTTCTTAACATGAAATAAGCAATGGCTGACCTCAAGTGTTTTAGAACGCATGTGGATTGAGGTGGGCTAAGAAGGAGAAGAAACAACGAAGCGCCAATGGGACCGCTAACACAGCACCTCCACACCCGCTGCCGCCCGGCGATACATGATATATTTTCATATTCCTGCCGCTTTAGCATAGAAGCTATCAGGTCTATGTTTTCGTTTAAATATCTTTTGCTCGGATAAGCATTTTAAGGTTTACTTGGAATTTCTATATATGCACTGGTGACTACGGTGTTGGGCTTCACAATGGTGACGGGTTAATGTTCTCTTGGCGCTTTCAGATTATGACCTGCTTTTTCATTTGTTCATTTTCGGTTTCGAGACAGTGGGCTACCTACTTTACGAGGGTTACTTCAACTTGGTCTTCATTGCATCTACGGCGAAAGGCCCGGACAACTTAACGGTATCTGAGAGGCTTATGTAATGGCTTGGAAGCTTAGACATTCAATTTTGGCAAATAATAATCAAAAAGGTATGGCTAGGAAGTCTCGGAACTTACTTACGGAATGTCGCGTGTGATAACGTTTAGTTAAGCATCGTATAGCTTAACATTCGACATCATTCTTGTACGGCGCCTAGCCATCCTAATGCCGCTGTATCATCCACCACATCTTATCTCTCGAGGCATCTTTGTCCTTCTTTACCCTCCTCTCACCACAGCCATGTCGGCGAAAAGTCCTGTTCCCACACACATCTTTGAACTTGGGCTCCCTCTTTGCCGAATGACTTATTGTCCTCAATATTATTAAGAGAGAGAGATATCGGAAAAGACTTTCGACTCGGGCAGGGATGTCTCCTTCGGCCTCGCAGACACACCCTTGTACACCATATCCTGCACAAAACAAATAGCGACCCCGCTCGGGTTGTGAGCATCTCCTCCGTGGCCTCTGCTGAAATATTGCGATAGTGCCGAAGTGGCATTAGCGTTGACTTTTGCATTTCATCAGCCTCGACGGCGCGACGATCTCCGCGAACAGGTCCCGCACGACAGGGTCCGAGATCTTCTACACGGCGCCTGCCGTCACAAGCCGTCAAAGCACGCCTGGCGCCAAGAATCCGCGGGAAGAAACCACGTCGAGCACCGCCTCCGTGTTGACGCCGCGCCAGCCGGACGGGAAAGCCCACTTTCGCGGACAGCGCCGTCGTGATCCTGACACCAACCGCATGCCCGAGCGGTGTCAACATTCTGTCTATTAGGGCCTCAATCAGTATTGTCAGAGGATTACTATACTTGTTGCTCCTGCTGAGATTGTGGGGATGTTCAGGCAGTTTGATGCGCAAGAGACTCTAAATCAGGCAGTATTGGGACACGATGTTTTTAGGTATGCCCCAAGCTGGTCTGCATAGATGTCTTTGATCAATCGTGCCTCGGATAAGCTTGGCCTCGATACCTAGGCTGGTCCGGATATATGTATTCTGATTGCCTGGGCTTCGGGGTCTCTATGAGGACTCCATTTCCGCCAACACATCGTGTTGTAACCGAGGTCCAGCCAACTATACAACCCATACACCAACAGAGCTGAATCAAGACGGCCACGAACTATTCCCGTGTATAATCTCAAGTATATGGTCTGTTCATCAATCGCGCCGAATTCAACTATGTACTTGGTCATCTTCGATGCTAGCTACATGAACTTAGAAGCCAACCCTAACAGACCGGAGCCACTAGACGAGGACGAGGACGAGCCTCCCTGGCTCTTCATGTACATCTTAAGTGCCATCTCGCCCGCCTGCATGACCGCCGACTCCTTGCTGCTATCGCCAGAGACCTTACCCTGCGAAGCCTTCTTGTCGAAGAGCTATTAAGGGAGGCACTAATTAGCACTATGAACACGGATACACAGATGCCGGGCATCATATCCTCGGAGAGGCTTTCTTTTCCTCTTACCTTGCTAGCTTCAGCCATGGCTAGAGCGACAAACGCGCCCTGGCTGCTGGTTTTCTGGGATTCAAGTCAACAACGGATCCCAGATGCTGCGTGGAACAGTTAGAAAGCGACATACGTCGGTGTTCCCGGTCTGCCCACTAGTGAACATCTTCAACGCCTGCATTGCTGCGGCAGAGCCCATCGATCGGTCGTCGGCGTCGTTGTCGTCGTCATCCTGAAAGTATTTTTTATGAGTTCGAACGGCCTCTTTTATGTTCACGTTGTTAGCTATTTCTTTACAACCTTAAGCCTTCCGGTGTTTTTGACGTTGTTTCATTTTTTTATGCTGCGTGTCTCGGTTCGGGCCGAAGGTCTTAGACACCCCCGATGGTGAGGGCCATGAGACAGTGTTAACAGCAGTCGGGAAAAGGACTAACCATCTTCGTCAATGTCCTCTTCAGCTAGACGCTGCTTCTTCTGCCCCAGGCTGCCGAGGAGGTTGGAGAACAAGTCGGCATTCCCAGAGTCGCCGGCATGTTGGCTCGCGTGGTCTGCCGCGCCTCTCCAGTCGTCGTCATCTGCGCGATGGCCGCCTGCTGGGTAGGCACCTCCGTGGGTAGCTGGTAGGGAGGGTAGATCAGTACCGTGCGGTCGCATTGATCTCCGCTAGGATCGATCCTTACCGTTGCCAGAAGCAGCATTCAGGAAACCTGTATGCCGTACATGTTAGCTTTTGTCGATCTGCAGCGCACCGTATCTATATTTGTCGGCCATCGAACATATCCATATCCCATCCACTAGGTACGGTATTGTAGGTACTTCCCACTGGCATCCGACAGCCAAGGCGGGGGCGGGGTATTTCCAGGGTCTTGGGTGATGCTGTACCTTGTAGCTTGTCCATTGTGGAAGGTCGGATCTGGATGGAACTTCTCGAGCGGAGATATGAATTTCGAGGATAGATGGATGGATTGATGGATGATGAAGGAATATGGGAGAGACAATGTAGAGAGGGAGAGAGGGTTCTTAGTTGGTGAGTTTTGTTGTTTTGGCGTGAAACCGTTACATGTCCAGGTAGAAGAAGCTACTACGGTATATAGGTAGGTAGTAGGTACTATGTAGGTACTATGTACCTACCTAGGTACCCAACAAGCAAGATGGATGACGTGTGCGGGGTGGTGCAAGTACCTACCTACCGACTGACTGCCAATGGGGGAGGCCTCTGACGTCTGTCTGTCTGTTTGTCTCGGTCTTCCTAGGTAGCCTCTAGGTAGCCTCTACGTGTCTAGAGAATTCGGAAATCTTTAGCCTTCCAAGGTTTCTTTTCGAAATGGTATTCTAGATCATGTTCTCACCATGGTTCTGCCCCCAAGTCTGAAGTCTTGTCCATTTGTTTCTCCGAGTTCTGTGTGATGGTATAAACCTTGGTGTTGCTATGCTTAACGCAATTGGCTGTGGTTTCTTACATTGCTTTTCCCTACAAGTCTTGTCTTTCATGCGATGCAAGCGATGGCATCGCCGCTATGGTTCCCTACGTATTTACTATGTAGCTACCATGTGAAGCCTACCATCTATCTTGCCGTTATCGAAGTAGTACCTCCATCCGGAATGGCAGTCCAATTCGATTACTACCCCAGGCGGCATGTTCTCCAAACAAGTAGTAGTAATGTGTCCGCCCCGGCACCATGAGAATACTGGCCTTGTGTACTGAAGACATGAAATCGCCACCGCCAATTTTCAAACTCATGTCTATTGGTGAGCGTCTATATTCGGAGAAGCACGCATGGCCCAGAACGAAAGCCTTGTCGACGTCTTGATAGTCGGTGCAGGCCCAGTAGGTCTAATCACAGCCTACCAACTGGCCCGATTCGGGGGCGGCGTCTCCGTGCGCATTGTCGAGAAAAGCCCAAGACCCGTCCAGGATGCATACGGTCGCGCCATCACTCTTTTCCCACGAACCAGCGAGATGCTGGATCAGCTGGACTTGGCAGACGAGCTACTGCAAGAGGCCTTCGCATGCCGGGAGACAGCTGCCTATAATTCGCGAGGCGAAGAGGTAAATGGAAGGGGCTGGAGCTTCATGAACCAAATGAAGGACACTGCCTTCGACTTTCCCCTCGTGTTGAGGCAGAAATACCAGGAGGAGATATACAGAAAGGCGCTGAAAAGGCACGGCATCGAGGTAGAAGCACCTGTCGAGCTCGTCGGAGTTGACATTGACAACGCGGCCTCGTCAAGCTGCCATTCTATCACCGCCACAGTCCAAGACGCCGAGAAGCGTGTTCTTGGGACTATTAAATGCAAACGACTCATCGGAGCCGATGGTGGTCGCTCTTCAGTCCGACGTTTGCTATCCATTCCCTTCGAAGGCACGACGAGCGAAGATAAATGGGTTCGGGTGGACGGTTACGTCAGGACAGACTTGCCTAAACCCCGTACGTACTGCTCAATCGAGTCTCTAACTCATGGTAACGTGCTATGGGTTGGTTTAGATCGCGGCGCGACTCGAATTGGCTACGCCTTCACTGACGACCGCGCTAATGCGTATGCCGAGTTCGACGAGCAAGCTGCTATCACAGAAGCCATCGCGGCGGTCAAGCCGTTTAGTCTTGAGTTCGAACAGGTCGAGTGGTGGACCATATATACTGTGGGTCAACGGGTTGCGAGAAACTTCTCCGTCAATAATCGAGTGTTCCTCGTCGGCGACGCATGCCAGTTAGTCTTCTGCAGTCATTTGTTCCGCCTCAGATTCTAAGCCTCATTGACCCTATATGCTCCCGAAACATACGCTGAAATCTATCTCTATCTGGTATCACTGACACCAACGTGTAAAAAGTACTCATTCCTCAGGTGCGGCGCAGGGACTAAATACGGGTATTCACGATACGGTAAACCTATCTTGGAAGCTCTCGATGGTTCTTAGGGGCCTGGCACTCCCTATGCTACTAGATACCTATGAGATGGAGAGGCGACCAAACGTCCTAAAGCTTATCCGCTATGATGCGGATATAAGCCGTCTTATGACTAATCGGTTACCTGAGACTTGGCAAGGAGAACCTACAGCTGATGTCAACGAAGTCCTTGGACAGATCATGGAAGAGGCTGGAACCTTCAGCAGCGGGTTAAGCATCGCCTACGAGCCCACGATAGATAATCCACTTGTTAGTTCTACTCAGTCATCCGGGCAGCTTAAGCCTGGAATGAGAGCACCAGATATCCCTCTCCTGAAACCCGGTACTTTCGAGCGTACGCGCCTGATCCGAGAGACCCCGAATGTAGGATCTTTCTATGTGGTCTTTTTTGTTGCGGGGGGCTTACAAGGCTTGCCAATGGCCAGTCTTCAGACGATCAAGCAATCAAAACTCCTTAATGAGTATATCATAAGTAAGTACTAATTAATACTTGCTGTTGTGTAATGCTAAATTGGGAACAGATCGCTCTATTACTAACTTGACCATCCTTCCAACAAAAGTCCCTTCGGTATATGGCTCACTTGGACGTGCCTACTTTGACATTGAAACACAGACAGGCTACCAGCGGTATGGCGTCAATCTAGATCGTGGAGGTATCGTTGTCATACGGCCTGATGGTTGGATATTCGCTCTGATATCCGTAGATACTGATGTAACTCGTGAGTTAGAGTCCCTGTTCAGGGGTATACTATATGATCCTCTACGAGAGTGTACGCAATGAATAGAAATGAAGCTTCGTCTGAGCCTTTACCATTGCGCTCGTCTCATTCATCATCGATACTTTAATCTGGATACGATTTTACCATCATTACATGATCATGAGTTGTCGTCATGGGAGGGTAACAATTATCCTCATTCATCCGAGAAAAAGCACCTCTACATGATACCTCCCTACCCAACGGTATTAGCTCACGTATGCCGATATCGGCGAGAAAAGAGGCTATTCCCATGATCATACCCTCTTCACCCCACGCGTACCATGGACGATGATACCACAGCTACTAGTGTCCCACTCGCAAACGCGGTAGTTCAGACCATTCATTCGGGGTCAGACTAACCCAGATCCAGTCCCTCCACATCCAGAAGTAGAAAACCCGACACGAGCTGTGCCGCTCATCGTTGCCTAGTAACTCCCCTATAATGCAGACCATGTCGTCGATCAAAATAGGCGGGGCCGCTTGTCCCATCCTTGTTGCACATCATATACACCTACTTTGGGGCCGTCAATGTTAGCTGAGTACTTCTCAGCTAGTTAAACCATAATTATACCTTAGCTATAATTTTGTTGCGCTCTGGTTGTCGCCTCGTTATTCGGTGGTTATGCGGTGATAATACCCTTCGTCAATACTGGTATCAATACTTCTACTGAATCCTTGCTTTTTATTCTAGCTTACATTGAAGCCCCCTGGGAATGTATAGTTTACTGCGATAGAACTTGTCATGAGGGTCTGAGTTGTTATTATTGAACCTTTCGGGATCATGATCTGATGAAAGTGGATCAATAACACTTCTTCAACCGATTGAATATTGCCCTTTCTGCCCTTTGACTTTCGGAGGTCCTATCGCCCAGTCAAAAAAGTTGTTGGTTGCTTTGTAGTATTAGAATCAGAAGCTCCTAGTTCAGAAAGCATGGCACCTCTGTTAGTTCCTGCAGTGAGCTATGCAAGGTGTAAAGACCTAGGGGTCCCTTCACAACTATACTCGTCAGCGCGGCACTTGCAGGTGTAAGATGCCGAGTTACGGCATCAACCATGTAACACCAATACTCTTAGCTGTTATAAGTAAGAGCGTCTTCGGCATTGCCACACCGTTTTACGACTCGGTACTGGAGGGTGGGGGTAGGTAGTTTAGGGGTGCACCTCGCCCAATTTTCGAGAGACAAACTACTGATCGTAACTGTAAGCTATCTCACCTCTTCTGCCGTAACTAAAAAGACGGATAGCTCTAGTAACTCCTAGTAGGTAGGCATGGTGTGTGATGAGCAAATATATTTTAGCACTGTATGGAGAAGAACATCGGCGGCTAATTTGCATCCATGCTAAAGCATGGTGCCATATGACCTTTAAGCACGAGCGCGACAATCAGGGCTTTGTTTCAGCGCAGAATATCTCCGACGTCGAGAACGGCTGCGTACATGACGTCCATTACATTGATCGTGGCTGTGAAAGCTGATTGTGTGGCTACAGGAAGCCAATTTGCCACCCTGCATGTCATTTCGGTAACAATCTGTGGTTACAATGTGGTTAATGTTGTACAGGACAGATTTACCCAATCAAGATTTGCGGCAGCGACTTCGTACATCCCAACAGCCAGGTCACTGGGATCTGTGACACTGCGGTTTGCGTGACCAGTAATACCGTATCGTTGTCCGTGGGCTTGAAATCTGATTTGCATGCATCTGCATCTCATTCCACCCGGATGCACATTCTCTGTCCGGGAGTTAGCGGTGCGCTCTTCTGCGGCTAGCCTTATCCAACTTCCCACCGTTCGCCTCAATAGTATGTACTCGGGTACAGACCCGGGGTTTCCGCTCCTTGTTTCCGTGTTGTTTTGGATTTTCATGGTGTTTTGATTGGCCATATATTAGGAGTTGTTGGTAGATCTATATTGTTGAGTGGCAAATACTATTTGACTCAAAGCTGAACTGCTATCTACATCAGAAAGAGGAGCCTACAATACATACTTCGTACAGATAGTTACGTACTAACCTGCACGGTTCACCTGTGCTAATGGCTTCCTAGTCTAGGGCATCGTTAGAATTTGTCCCTGGCCCTTTTCTACTTAGCGGGACTAGGCAACTGTTACTTGGTATGTTTCCAAGAACATTAACTCCCAGAACGTTTCGCAGATGATGAAGCTGTTTCGAGCATATCCGGTTTGTGTCAGATTATGATGCATAGCTTTTGGTTCTCTGCCCCGAGACCATCAAATCGAACGAAGTTGCAGAGGCGCTGATCAAGTTGAATAGCAAAGAGTGCACATATTTTGTTTACGTACCCGCTTACTGAGGTGGCATAGTGCGGGTAGTGGGAGACTTGTGGCTGGCTGATATGGTAATGTAAATGCAACCAAATGAGTGAACCTAATAGACAGTGCAATGCTTTCAAGCACGGACAAGGTACAATATTACCCATTTAGGATTTGTGTATGTAGGTGAAGCTAACTGATTCCATCTAACTAAGCCCGGCAACTCAAAGCCTTTCCTGTTCATAAATCAACGAACTTGATATTGTGTATATGTAATCAAGATAGCATAGTGACTATCATCAGGCTAGTTAAGCTTTCTTGCATCATACGGACGGCCCGATCCGTTGAAGAATAAGCTGCGGTTGACACTAGGAGGGGCTCTTAGTGTCTACTGGGTTGGTTATTCCGTAACCCCGGGGTTTAGTACCCTGGTCATAAGACCATCCTGCGAGATGTCAGTAGTGATCTACGTAGAACCAAGATGGCATAGAGCGTTACCACACCAATGGCTACCTTGGACCATAATCCACTTGATGCCTCATAGTTACTACTGCTCTTTGCTAGTACGTCAGTGACAGCATAGTTGGAGGAGTGAATTACCCGGGTTCCTCAGCCTTAAATAAAGTGAAAAGCTTAGTCGGTAATCCCAGTATCCATCCAATAGCGTCTGATAATTTGTTAGTTCGAGTATTACACAAGCCTCTGTGGGGGGGATTTTATATTGGCATCGGCCTCGCCTATATCGAAGGTGGCCAGAACACTGGTGGTATGCGCATGCTTAGTATCTGCAGCTAGATGTTGGTCGCCGAAACCGTTTGCAGTAGTTGAGGGCCAAACAGCCCACGATGCTCTCCCTGTCTCGCTAGGTTAGCTTAAATGTCCCACGATCGTCTTCCCAATTCTGTACAACGAGTGTTTTCTCTCCATTCTATTTTTCCGCTGCCCCTACTGCTTGACAACAGCTCACAATACTAAACCCAAGATAAGCCTTACGACAACCCTGTCAAAGTGATTTACGCGCTAAACATGTTGCAAACGTGGCGCCTAAACTCCAAGGACCAAGGTGAAACCCATCAGCGGCAGGCATTTGATCCTGAAACAGCGAGGCCAATTGTACAACAGGCCTGTAATAGCTGCCGTGTTAAGAAGGTCAGTAATAAGAAGTCTCATTTGATTTTGACTTACGTTGGCAACTCGTACTGATATATCATAATAGTTACGATGCTCCGGACAGAAGACTGGCTGCTTCCGTTGCCAAACCCTCTCGCAAGAATGTATCTATGCTCAGAATGCTACTAGAGGATCAGCACGCGCTCGGAAGAGTAAGGAGTCTGCATCCAAAGGTAATTCTCGCCGTCCATCAGCCACTCCTTCACTGGTCTCTTCCGCGTCAACACCTAAAAATGAGGTTAAAACAGCATCCCCTCGCCAAGAGCCTCTTACCTCCACTTCTAGTGCACAAAGCTCCGAGCTTCACTGGGCGCCACCCAGACCGGGAAGCGGTCAGGGGAACACAAATTCCCTAGGAGTCGATATGATGCCATTTGAGTCACAGGATTACTTACAAATGCAAGGCATGTCTACGACGCAAACAAGCGGGATAGAACCATACCAGAGCAGTGACGCATGGTTTTTCTCATGGCCAGATCCCGCAAAAGAAAGCCACTTCGCAACTGCCAAAACACCCTGGGAGGAAACTGTGCTGCCGCTATCGATACAAACATTTGGAGGCTGGGAGCCAGGTGTTCATGGCTATGACGAAATGCCAATAACGCCTACGACTAGAAACCCAATCTCAGAGTCAACCATGCCAGATCTACAAACAAGTCCGTTGTCCATGCCTCTTCAAATGGTCGCGGTTCAGCATGGCCAAGATGAGCGGGATTGGTTACATTCTCAGACTCGCGAGCCCTGCCAATGTCTTCAAAGAGTGGTATTTCTGTTAGAAGAACTGGACTCTGAGTCTCTCGGCACAAATATAAAGGAATTAGGTCCTTGGCTGTCGAGGCATAAAGAGGCGCTTCGCTGCAGCGAGGCGTTGTTGACTTGTTCTCTATGCCAGGCGAAACCAGAGCATATGACAATCCTTACCTTCTTGACCGACAGGCTAATAGCCATGTGCGATAACGTTGTTTCGGCATATCTACAGACAATGGAGGGTGACGCCAACAATACCGGCATGGCCTATAGAGATGCTGCATGGCTAGTGTTGGTCGGCAATTTTGAGATAGATTCGCCGCAAGAATGGAGTGCTCTAGTACGAACCATGTTGATCATGCAACTACGCGGCCTAGATTCTTTCATGGTCAGATTCAAAGACCTGTTACAGGCTATTGGCGGCGAAGTCGTGCGTCGAAAGGCAGATTCTACCCAAAATCGGATATCAACTTTGCTGGAGAAGCTGGATCCGGTGTGGGTGCATAGCTCCACCATGTAGCTTGCAATCCTACGCGGATCATTGAAGCCTAATACATAGTCATAATTGAGCACATGATTGTAGCCGCCATACATGAGCTAGCGGCCTGGAATGTTCCCATCTCTGGAGTCGCATGGTACTACGTACACCACCAAGAGAGCCAACTGCAAGAGATTGTATCGTACTTTAACCCGAGGCATCTTCTGTTAGCAACCAATGCCGGACCTAGCTCCGACATGGCTTCACTGGTCCGAATTTCCTAGCTGCCCACTATCGCTGTCTAGCCCTGTTTGCAATAAGCTCTGGTTCAATGTTTGACGGAACCAGTAATATCCGGGCAAACTATCATGGTGGGCTGCAATAAGGGGTTCACATGGTTTCGTATACTGCAAAAATCGCACCATTTATACATAAGAAGAGCACTGAGATAAGCAACTTCTGTACTAGACTCTAAGGTGAAGCGTTAATCCTTATTTCGTGGGGAGCTGCGCAGGTACTTCACTGCCAAAGGTTCCTAGTTTCAACCTATAGGACTGCCCAACCGGATCCTATCCTTCGATCTACGGGTTAGGCATCGGGCAGATAACCGATGCGCAGGTACAGCCAACCCTGCTACATGGCATACTACAGGGGTTCGGTCTACGTTAGATGGTAGCCTTACACTGCCGCCAACATCACTGATGAGAGCTGGTATAGGGAATGGATGAATAGTGCTAGCTAACGCCAGTATCGTGAGACTTGGACCTGATATATATGTAATAGTTGTTGTTTCACTTAACAGTTTCCCAACGATATTAAGTCCCACGACTAGATGAAAAGTGGTATTCATAAAGGTAATCATATAGATTATGTATACTTGTTGGTATACAGAACCATGCACAATGATTATCACGGGAAATCCTTTAAGCAATACTTATATGTAATAAATTGACCACATATGAGATACCTGCTATGTGTACCGACTTCATTTCTGTTGATCCAGAAGTGTGAACATGGCCCTCGGTGATCGAAGACCCAATCGGGAGTTAAAATTATATATTGAAAATGGGATGGGTGTATTGGCTGACAGGAGACGCAGCCTGCTTACGCGGCAATCCATTCATCCGATATACCTCAGTGCCTCTTCTCGGCTAGCTTTACCACCGAGTCAGCTTTTCATGCTGAAAATGTTGGTCTGATAGGCACGCACTGGCCCGGGCCAAGACGAGCATCTGCACACTTAGAGCTGGTGCAGGAGGTTAGGCGCATATAACAACAAAACACGCCACTCGCTCAATTTTCATAGTCCTCAACAAGTTCATTACTACACATATTTTGCTTTCTTTTCTTTCGTGGCGTTGACTTGACGATACGCCGCGGCCCCGTTAGCAGCAGCTCGATCAAATAAGATAACACACACATACCTAACATTTACCTAGCGTTCACCTCCTCGACTCAACACCAGCTGACAAGCATGTTTGACCAAGACAAAGATACCGGCGGCCTCCAAGGTAAAGTAATACTCATTACAGGAGGTTAGTCAATATGGTAGTGAGGAACATACGTGTGTGGGGGTTTCTGAAAAGGATCAAATAGGGACATCCGGACTTGGTGCGCAATGTGTCTTGCGTTTGGCACTGAACAATGCCAGCCACATCTACTTCACGGGACGAAACACTAAGAAGGGCTCGGCCATCATCAAGGAGACCCATGATGCGGGCTGCACGACACCGTTGACATTTGTGGAGTGCGACCTGACTAAACTGGCATCCGTTAAAGCAGCTGCCGACAAGATCCTCTCGGAACAACATCGGCTTGATCTGCTGATGGCCAACGCTGGCGTTATGAACCAGCCACCAGGGTTGACGGCCGACGGCTACGAGGTCCAATTCGGCACTAATTTTCTGAGTCATGCGTTACTTATACAGAAATTTCTCCCGCTGATGGATAAGACAGCTGAGCTCCCCGGCAGTGATGTGCGAATAGTTCAGCTGACGAGTACAGGCTTTAGGGGAGCGCCATCGTAAGTTGTTATCAGCTTTAACCCTCTTCTTTTATGGAACACCCAACCGACAGCAACTAACTCTTATACCCTAGGGGTGGTATCCGTTTCGATGATCTGAAGACTGTTCAGAACTTCAGGGTCCTTGGGGGTATGATGCGCTATGGCCAAAGCAAATTGGCTGCAGTGCTGTATGCCCAGGAATTAGCTCGCCGACACCCGAACATCATCTCTGTCAGCGTGACACCGGGGATAGTCAGTACAGAATTGGTATCAAAACAGAATGCTTTTCATCGATCTACCATTTGGCTTTCGGCGAAGATTACACAAGGTAGAATCTATTCACCGAAGGAGGCACCTGCAAGCCAGCTTTGGTGCGCGGTTGGTCCTAGAAACGAGATCAAGCAGGGCGCCTTCTATGAACCTGTTGGTATACTTTCCAAAATCACCACTAAATACACTCAGGATGAGGATTTGGCGTGGAGGTTGTGGGACTGGACTCAATCTGAGTTGAAGCAGTGGCTTGATTGATTTGCTGAACTATCGCAATACCTTCACAGGGTTCTGTAGAAGAGAGACCCAGCGGTCACGCTACGAACATCCCCAATATTCCCCTGCGTCTTAATAACTTGCTTTTAATAGAGTATAATAACCAACCAGCAATATAGCTAGAAACCAGAAGTATCAATAGTATCATTGTAGGATTCCTTCAAAAGGTTGGCCAAGGAATGAATAGACCCTTCTCCCGGACAAGGTGCAAGACTGGCGGCTTTAGGTATTGCAAATTCAAGCCTAATCTCAATCTTTTATTAGCGAACCCTGAACTTCTACTGAACCGCGTTGAGATGCACGACGCAGCTGGTGAGAGATCATTGGTCAACGCTAGTCGAATTTTTGGTAGTAAAGTTGTCTCGCTCACGCAGCACAAGGAATACAAATTTACTGACACAAGACTGAAATGGATGAGAGTGGTTGTTAGCTGAAGGCATACACACCTCGAGAGATACATCGAGTCTACTCTTCAATAGGTATTCTCTGTATAACTTCATTTACTGGGGAACCTGTTGATCATCGAAATGGGAACGTAATGAATTTGTTGACAAAACATGCCGAGAGTAATGCGCGCGAACTTAAAAAGCCATTGCCATTGACAATGTTTATTGTACAAAATAATTCCGGAAACGGGAGACTTCTAAACGACCCTGCTGAATAATTAACTCGTCACTCAGCACCACCACTTCAATACTACCAGTAAAAAGTTACCAGGTCAGGATCTAGCAGATAGATTCACTAATTATGATTACGTGGTAATGTGAATAACAGGGGCTAATGCTAGAGCCTGATTGAAGCTATATGTCATAAACTGCTATGGTTGCCAAGATTTATATGGTCGTTTGAACTCCTTCTCGGCTCTATGTGGCTGATCATGAATGAGTTGAAAATACTAATCCACACTCCTTAGGTGGCTTTCGGCGGGATGCCGATCTTACGCCGCATCCGGACGGGGACTGGCTCTCCGGGTGGCTGAGCACCTAGGCCGAAAAACCGATCGTCCACACGTGGTACGCCTTTCAATAATTTCATCTCAAAGTATGCATCAAAGATAGCAACGCCGCTCATCATCTCCTGCTTGGCCAAGTGTCGGCCGGGGCACATGAGGGCACCGCCCCCGTAAGGGATCCAAGCACCGTCAAGTCCATCAGTCGAGAACTTCATCGTGTTGTCTTTGGGATTTGGAATTAGGAACCTCTCTGCCCAGAATTGATCAAGAGGGTGTCGGCCACCGTCGATACGATCGCGCCAGGCGTATGTGTGATTTGAAGCAATGTTGGTAGACACGCACACTAGACCGCCTTGCTTGAACTTGTATTCTCCGAGCGAGTAGTCGCCTTGGGTCGGGGAGCGATTGTGGAACAGAGATACACGCATTCGGAGAACTTCCGCATAGACTGACTGGAGAAGAGGAGATGACGTGATGGCGTTGATGTCAAAGCGATATGGGAGTTTCTCTTCATTGGAATTGGGGGGCGTTATGGCATTGGATAATTCGGCTTGCACACGTGCAAGAAGAGCTGGGTCATTATATACTTCAATCAAGTTCCAAAATGCCATTGGTAATGCGTTTGCAGTAGCACTGTTGTTGTAGGGTTAGCTGCATCGTTCAATGCGACATCCAGTGGTATGATAGACTCTTACGCCGTCAGAACAAATAGATCTTCGCTTGCTAAAGCATCGTCGTTCATGCCACCCGTGTCTTGGCCCCATCTCTGCCGCACTTTGAACCACACGCTTCCCCAATACTCGTCCCATGAGGGGGCGTCAGACCCGTTTTGTCGGTAATCTGAGTGTCCTCGCGCAAAACTATGCCATCGTTTGATACCATCGAGTATACGCTGACGGGCTCCATATGCTTTGGGGGCAAGTAGACGCGGAAAAAACTTGGAAATATCTGGCCATGACGCCAAGTACTCCCAAAAGTCCTCGACGAAGCCCGGGTTCAACGCGATTAGATGAGGGCCACAGAGAGCCGTGATAGTGGCCGCGAAGTAACGGTGTGTCCACCAGGTGAAGAAATCTGGTATATCAACCCACTCGCCAGAGTCTACGGGGTCGTTAGGGTCGACAGTAGCCAGTTCCTCTGAGAGATGCTCTACGACTTTGGAACTTAAATTTCGTAGACTGTCACCCTGAAGGTATCGCGATGCCGTCCTGTAGTGGTGGTGCCACTTTCAGGCGTTAGTTTTCGCCATTCCAAACATTATTTCACCGAAATTGACTCCAAGAATCACTTACTACTCGGAGGTGGGCCGGCACCGTGCTTCCAGGGAAAGGAATCGCACCGACGCCACTCTTGTCGTTGCGATATATGTCTAAAAGATGTCATTGTCAGGTATTCTGTTTTCAGAAATGAGCTGCAACTGGGGCCTACTAACGCATGGCGCTCTTTGGCATCCCGAACATCTGCTCCATAATTATCACAGCGAAAGATTTATTTGTGCATGACTTCGTGTCTCTGAGAATAGGCCCATATGTTTCAGGATTTGTAAGAAGGTAGGCCTTTTCTGGGCCGAGTTTGATAGTAGCAGGGGTATCGCCAACCCGACGACTGCGCGGCGGTGTTAGCTTGGTTGTATTTGGCGATGCCTCTCATTGCTTTTTCAGTCAAACTTACTACAGCTTATTGACGAAGGATTTTCTCGCGAGTAAAAATGACCCCCAGTTTCCTAGCAAAGGCAGCCAATAAGGATTGAGAGGCGGTTCACGACCATGGCGTTTATTTACCATGCCTATCCATGATATAAAGGTTGTGATGGTGTATGTGAGAACTGGAATTAATAGCATTCCAATGCCTACATAGAACTTCCAATTCTGCTTCGCTACTTCAACCCACAGCGTGGCGGCGTTCGCGTTGAAGTGTTGGGCTGCCATGGTGGACTTGATTGCAGTTGTCATGGTTTTGACCGCAATTGCCTTCACGAAAGGATATTCATTTCTAGTTAAATAGGACCCATTTACTACCTTAACTTATATATTTAGGAGCAGCCTGCGTACTAGGACACCATATTGGCCGCATATAGCTGTATCGTGTGGGCTGCATGCAAAATGCTTATGTTCGTTAACCTAATCCGCATTTCCAGAAATGGCACTGAGATAGGGGCTGATTGATCAACCTATGAGAACAGTGTCATCTCGGCGTGCGATCCAGTTGCAGATCTGAAATTTGCAGAGAAAACGCACTTGTGCTGACTATAGTTGGAGTGGACACTCCGGTAAAGCGGCCAAAGCTTAGATCCCGCCAGGTCAACGGAATTGGTCTCGGATCCGGGTGTACCCTAGAACCCGATACCTTGTGCAGTACCTATAACACATGAAGATACGAGGTTATGAAAGCGAATATTGAAGCTTATTCGCCCATGATAGTCTAATAAGTTTGTATTGTGGGTATCCGTGAATGCATACCGACAAATTCACCCATTTCATCGCTCCATAAAGAACCTGAACTAGATGAGAACGTATGAGAGGGGCCCGAATTTCGGCTTCCGAAGAATCGGGCGATTTCCGTATAAAAACTAGGGATGCAGTACATATATACAGAAAGAGTACACCCTACCGGTGATAGCCTAAAACAGCAAGCGTAACAATTTGGTTTAGCTGGCCATCTCAGTTGATTCGTAGTATACTGCTAATGCCGAGAGATGAGTCTGTCTGATCGTAATGCTGGAGATGGGATAGGTTGAGTCGTTGGGAACGGCTGTACATGAAAGCTAGATGAAGACCGAAGCCTGATAGCTACGATATAAATAACGAATCAAGCACTCATTCTGCTACGATCGTAATCCAACATTCAGTTCTATACATTGTTGACTTCTCGTGGTATAATTTGAGAACTGTTACCCCAGCCTTGTACGCATAGTTGGTTGACACAAGCACACAAGTACCTCTGACATCATGATCGCCAAGATTGACACGGAGCCGCCGACCTACCTTCAGGCGGCCCAAATCCATCCTCGCGCAAAGGAAGTGATTGAAGAAGTAGACGGCTACTTTCTCAAGCATTGGCCTTTCCCGGGGAAGGAAGCCAGACAAAAGTTCATTGCTGCTGGGTTTTCTCGGGTGACATGCCTGTATTTTCCGAAAGCGCTTGACGACAGAATTCACTTTGCCTGTCGGTTGTTGACCATTCTCTTCTTAGTTGACGGTGAGTCTTCCTAAACAATCTTGAGACATCTCCTAACTATGTATTAGATCTCTTGGAACATATGTCCTTAGAGGATGGAGAGGCGTACAACAAACGACTTATGGATATCGCTCGGGGAGATGTCCTACCTGATCGCACTATCGCGGCGGAGTACATTTTCTACGACCTCTGGGAGAGCATGCGTGCACATGACTTGAAGATGGCGAATGACGTACTTGAGCCTGTCTTTGTTTTCATGCGAGCTCAAACGGATCCTACTCGTCTGAAGCCTATGAATCTGGATGAATATCTTCAGTATAGGGAAAGGGACGTGGGGAAGGCGTAAGTATATCTCGTTTGGGTTTGGGAACCTTGGAAGGACAAAATGCCTTGTTTCAGCTCACTAACGCTTGTTACTCAGTCTTCTTGGGGCGCTCATGAGGTTCTCTATGGCTCTCGAAGTGACTCCCCAAGAGCTCGCCGTCGCACGACCGGCAGATATGACATGTTCTAAGCATCTGTCCGTGATCAATGACATCTGGAGCTACGAGAAGGAGTTCATCGCGTCCAAGACGCTCCACGACGAAGGCGGGGTGTTATGCACGTGCGTTAGCAGTGAGTGACCCCATGAAATATAGCCTTCTTCTTTCGAGATTTTCTAATTACTAATTCATCTTCCATTGCAGTCATGTCCAAAGACACCGACCTCCGAATCCCAGCTGCCAAGCGGATCCTGTACAGCATCTGCCGCGAATGGGAACTGGTTTTTAAGCGGGAGGTTGCCGAAATACTAAACCAGTTCCCTACTCCTTCGCTGCAGGCATACCTAGACGGGCTTGAGCTGCAGATGTGCGGAAACGAACTTTGGAGCCGAACAACGTTGCGATACTTGGCACCGGAATAACTATTGAGAGAAGTCGACGAGCCCGGGCCGCTCTCCCGCGTCTCTGCGCGCTGGAATGGCTACATTAGGAACGGTAGTTAGCTTAGTAGAGAAAACTTATCTCGCCAATAGATCATACTATACATTTACACGTCTAATCCTAACTCATTTCTGGGATAACCCGAGCGTCAGTTTTAACATGAGTAGCATTACCGCCTACGGAAGTACTGGGTACTTGGAGGCCTGGTAGAGAGATCGACACAAGGGTGGCTGTCACTTGCCGGAGCTAACCTGACTGGGACATTTCCGCCACACCGAGCATCTGTGATTGGCCAAATCGATGCGTAGCGTACATGTACCCAGTACCAATGCTCAGACTCGTAGTACGTACCGACCACTGAAGAGGTATATGTACTGCAGGGTGTGAACGAGATGTCAGACTTCATTCACGGTCGATAGGTGGGCGCAATTGTTCAATCAACTAAATATCAACCACTTGTTAAGCCTTGCAACATGGCGCAGTCGCCCAAAATGAGAGTCAGTCCCATGGACAATGTCATGCCTCGGATCTATGCCAATTTCATCCTCGCTCTCCGGCTCAAGCCTGGCCCGTCCTCCGCCGTTCACCACATCCTTGAAGAAAGTCTGCGCCGCACTTGCGACGAGCTGCCCATTCTGCGTCGAAAGGTGTTTATCGCCCATCCTGACGGCCACTCGAGAGCTACCGGACTACTGGAGGCGAAAGAAAGCCCCGAATGGATACCTAAAGTCGTCTTCAATGACTTGTCTAGCACATGGCCAGACTACGGTGAGCTCGTAGATTCGGGCTTCGAGCAGGATGCTTTAGATGGGCAGGCCCTCTTTCCCCGGGGCATCTATGAGCAAGACCTTCATAATAACGGTGCCTGTGCCTTGCTGGCACAGGCAAACTTTGTGGAAGGCGGCCTACTTCTTGCCTTTGGCATATTTCACCCGATTGTGGACGGCCATAGTGGTACGCTGCTTGTGAAGCTCTGGGCCAAGCACGCGAAGGCTCTTCAACAAAATGTAGGGCCGGTCCTTGATTTCCACCCAGATTCTGCCGACTATGGGCTTCTAGACAAGATCTGGAAAGCCGAGAATATCGAACAGCCATCAGAAACAACGCTGAAAACTGCATCACCGGAAACATGGAGACTTCTCGGATTGATTGCACCATCGGAGGAGAGTGAAGAAGTTGACCTGACAGCCCCTCCACCAAGAATGCGAACCACTATCTTTTATGTACCAGCTACGGACTTCAAGGCATTGCGTGCGGAGGCTAATGTTGGCATCCAGGGCGCGCCTAATACAGCGAATGACGCGCTTATGGCCAAACTCTGGAGGTGCATCATGAAGGCACGCTTGATAGCAGCAGGTCCGTCCTCAGCTGAGTATTCACCTGACAAGACAAGTCTGCTGGATCTCACACTTGATGGCCGCGCCCGATTCTCGCAGAGTCTACCCTCAAGTTACATGGGAACACTTGTCTTCATCACAACGACTAGAATGACAATGGGGAAGCTCACTAGCGCTGAAACGTCGCTTGCGGAGATAGCAACAGCTATACGTCTATCAGTAGACGCCGTTACTTCGAAACGGATGCAAGAGGCGTTTGGGCTGGCACGTGCCCTACCAGACTACGGTGACAGTCTAAAATTTCCGTTTGCGACGTTTGCCGGAGCCGAGGCATGTTTCACCAGCTGGGTCGGGCTGAGCGCCTTTGACATAAGCTTCGGCGACGTGTTATTTGCTAACGGGGGGTGCGCTGACTACCTTCGACCACCACGAAGAGAGTTTGACGCATTCTGCCGCCGCGTTGTGATATTGCCCATGCAGAAATCCGGAGGCTTTGAAATATTAGTTACGCTGAAAGAGGAGGAGATGGGTTTACTTGAGAAAGACCTCGAGTTTGTGCGGTATGCCAAGGTAGTCTGTCATTAAGATCTCTATAATATGGATTCGTGTTTGGACGTATTCAACTGCTTTATTTTCATCAAGTTTGTCAGATAGATATACGTGGTTAAAGGGCCTGCTGGGCTCAAATCATTGATTTAGATGTCATATTAGATAAAGCGTCTCAACACGATGTTGGTTTCTCTTGTATTATGGTGGATGTCCTTTTTCATGAGAGGGTGAACTCGGCCAGGTGTGCGTCACGCTTTTTGCCAAACACTCTACAGTAGGTCCCAATGGACAGTAGAGGGAGGCCAGGCCGGGATATCGAGTTAAAATCCACTCTAGGTGTGGCTCTTTTGGGTTGGTATGCATATATATATATATATAAGGCTTTCCTTTTAGATACATAGGAGGGTCAGGAATTATTTAACTACTCTATTAGCCCCTAAACAGCCCTATGTGTACATTTTTGACTGCAATACCTAAGCCAGCTTCCGACTCCGAGACACGTCAAACGTGGGTAGGGTCACCTAGGATGACCCCTGGTGATCTCATACAGTCTCGTACGATCTTCAGCGGTCAGACCACCAGGCGTACGGCTATATAAGGAGCCTTTGAGACCTACTCGAGGTAATCTAGATAGTATTAAAGCATATAGACCAATATAGAGCTTCGTTTCTGGCCCTGTAAGTGTCCCGCAACGTCCGAGAAGGTATCAGTGCAATGCAAGTAAACGATTATTGTTTGGATTAATTAAAATTATATATTCCCATTCCAACTCCTACTCCTCTAACACTCATACGCTTGTACATTAAAGTAATTACCGCCACCGATCCGCCACCGTGATTTTCTTATCACAACCATGCAGTATTAATACCTGGAACTCAATTATTGTAGCGGGAATCCGTGACCCAAAAAGTTTTCGAGAAACCTTTCCGGGTCGTACTTCGCCCTGATTGCCCGCAGCTTAGGCAAACTTCCACCTCCACCGTAGGTGTCAAACGGTCGCTGTGTCGGTCCTGCATCGTTTAGATATATGAAAGGGTAGTATAATCCGAGAGCCCTTGTTCTGTTTTCAATAGTGCGCACAATTCTTTGCGTAAGCTTGTTTACGGCCGCGTCATGGGCTGCATCAGTCCAAGTGATGGTGATGAGCCCAGCTGTAAAAAACGTTAGTCATGAGCTCGATGGTCAAGTCAAGCAGGGGTGCGAACCGATGAATGTGCCCAACCTAGGATCGAGATCCAGCATGTTATGTCCACTGGCCTTGGATGCCTCTAGCCAGTCTTTAGATACAGGCTGGTATGTGAAGGCAATTTCGCTATCAGGAATCTGCGATAGCACAGGAACTGCTAATTCAGTGACCGTCTCGTTGGCGATTCTGATGGCGCGGGGGTCGGGAAAGAAGCTGACGGATGAGTATACTTCGCGAGATCCACGCACCCCTAACTGTGCTAGTAAAATTGGCAATGCTGTCCAGGATGGCATTACGGTTCCTCCAATTGCTTGTATGAAGGGCGCGTCAATGGCTGTAAAGTTCTCAAATGCACGGGGACTTGAGTCTTTTCCAGGGGCAAATTGAATACTTGTCAACTGTTTGGCCCCGGTACTCGGCGTTAGGCCAATGATGGCACTTATCGCAACGTTGGGATCATCTACTCCGCCTCCCGGTGCCATATATGATTCGAAGGCTGAGAAAAACTGTGTCTGAGTGGATGTGTTGCTGCCGTCCCAGAGGCCGCCACCAATAAATGCTGATGTGACGGGGAATGTCTTCATATCAAAGCGAGTCACGATTCCAAAGTTGTTGTGACCACCATGTAGTGCCCAGAAGAGATCGGCATATTTCCCATGTGCCTTGGCTTCTACAACACAACCATCTGCCAGGACAACTTCATAAGCAACGATAGTATCGCAGCCCCAGCCTCTGGTGCTACTGAAGTAACTTATGCCACCACCGACCAGAAGCCCACCGACCCCGACTGTCCCGTAGCGACCACCATTCACGGCTAGACCTTTTGGTGCGAGCCAGGTATAGACGTCTGCCCATACTTGTCCTGGTCCAATACTAGCAATCGCCTTATCTTTGTTGAGCCGCTTTGTGTTAAGCTTATTAAGAGCTATCATAACTCCCGATTCTACCGACTGCGCGCCTGGCACAGGCATATGGCCGCCAGCACGTACGGCGAAGCGAGAGCGTGCGGCCTTGATGATCTTGACGGCAGATCCTATATCCTCCGCGGAAGACGGCTCGAACACACATGATGGTGACAAGATGCAGGTATTCGAGTAAATAGCTGTACAGTAGCTGCTGGTCAGCAGTAACGCTCTGTATAGTGGCAACGGGCCTACGTACCAGTAGACTCTGTCTGGAATGTATCTGACTGCGGCCAGAAAATATCCTCGGGGTATTTTGCAGCAAGTCGTTGACAAGCCCGGGTGCCTGCTGCCGCCAAACCTGCAGCGTCCATGAACTTTGGGCTTGCCAACACTCCGCTTGCAAGGGCCGTAAGCCCGAGGATTACACGTTGGCTCTTCATCGTATGAAAAAACTGATTACCGCGCGACACACATCCAACTTGTAACTAGCAACTACCGAACTGAAGAACTACCCAAGAGCCTCTACTGTTTGTTTTTCACAATTAAAGAAAAGGATTGTACGATTGAATCAGCTCAGATACTGTCGTGTTAGTTACCAATTCAGGAAAATACGCTACGCGGAGACTAGTGAAGACGTTCAAAGCCACAAAGTGTGGCCGACTCTCTAATCGAGTAAATGCCGACTCTTTAGCGCCCAGACACGGATGAAAAGGTTTAGACAATTATTGGAATGCACTGGGCTCGGTCTTTCAAGTAATAGTTATGATAAAGTGAGATCGTGAAGTAATGTACTTGCGTAGGTAGTCGGATGAATCAATCATTCAAGATGAGTTGCGTTAACCACCAACTGGGGAGGGGTAGCTATGGGCCTTGCACCTACCGCAACCCACTATATTTACAGCGGTATAGACCACTAAACTCACTATTTACATACTAGAAGCTCCCCATACCTAGCTGTGAGAGTGTTCACACATGATGCTGTTTGTACATGAGGCTATTCGCATACAGTCAATTAATGAAATAAAGGCCTAAGAACCCCAGCTCGGTAGTTGAATTCCAGTCATTAAATTAAGTGATTGCTTTAACTTCATATAACTGGAGCGATCCCTCTAATATCTTTAAATAACGATCGTCTTATGTCTAAATACCTACTTAGGTGCTTAGGTTTATGGTCTACAGCCTTATAAAAAAAGCACGTTGTGCGAAGTGTGAAGACCATTCCCCAATGTCTGTGTCTTAATATCTTACTGCACTTTCTAATAAAGTGCAGAGTCGGATACGAGCGTGTAAGGGAGAATCAATGACTAGATACCTCAAAATACCCGATATGCCTACCTACTAGGTAGTATAAGCCATTTACTACCATCTTGCACCATGGAAACGCGGTGTCATTTGTTACATTTCTCAATTATCTAGTCAACTGATCCTATCGCACATTGGCCCTGTCTCTGTTCGAGATGATCGGCTTTTGCCCCAACACCCAACTCCCCAACTCATCTCACAAACCCTTCCTGTCAGTTAAACGAACCATAATTGGCGCTTTCCACCACATTATATAACACCTAGAGGCGGCTTCCCAGTCAAGATTCTTGTCAACTAGTTCCCACTCATACTTGTATGCCATCTTTGTCAGACATAGTGCCATTTCGATGAATGCGAAGCTGTTGGCAGGATCTCGTTAGGTTAAAATCATCTGAAGGATCCCGAGTTGTCTTTTACTTACTTTCTACCAATACAGGCACGGTAGCCGAGTGAAAATGGCTGGCTTGCGTCCTTGATATCAGTGCACGCGGGGTCGGTCCATCGTTCCGGTTTGAAAGCATATGGATCATGAAAATTTGCAGGATCATGTACTACAGTCCATGCTGAAGTATACACCTCGGTCTATAGATGCCTGTTAACAGATGAAATTCGGTGCTTAGGCCCAGGTGTACTTACACCAGCAGGCACATAATGCCCGTCTATGAGGACACCGGGAGAGGTCCGTGGGAAGCCCTGGGCACCAGACGGGTGAATACGGAGTGCCTCTTGTATCACAGCCTGAAGATAAGGAACTTGAAGCGCCGACGTTGCATCGATCTGCTCATATGAGCTATAGTGGTCTCGAATTTCTTTCATCAACTTCTCCCTGCAACCAGGCGTCTTAAGAACGTAGTAAATTATAGATGAGAGAGTATGTGCCGTGGTTTCACCGCCAGCGATGCTATTATGAGCGAAAGCAATGTCAGCAGAAACTCCTCAACCTGGCCTAGCATGCCAGCTGCGAAACTTACATTAGAGTAGAGGCGTGGGCCGTTAACTCTTCACGGGAGACTTCGCCGGACTTCACCTTGCTCACCATATTTGTGAGGAAATCATGGCGAGTGTTCTCAGCATTGAGTCGTCTAAAAAAGTAATTAGTTGATCAGGCATCGCCACGTAATGGTTTGGCTAACTTGTGAACTTTCTCTCTGCTATATCCTGTGTGCTTGTTGCGTACTTTTACTGTCAGAGAAGGCAAAATCCATCTGCCAAGAGTAGCTAGGAATGGAAATCGTCGTAAGTTGTCCACAAGAGATATCTCGAGAAGATGCTCCAATATTAGATCAAGCCAAAAATGATGTTTCCCTGCATCAGCTGTCAGTCATTACCGCAGTGATGCGGTAATTTATTTTAGGCTATCATACCAGTTTCCATGCAGTGGAAGCCCTCCCCGAAGGCCATCTCTCCAAGTATGTCAAACGTGGCCATCTCAAACCATTTCACAATATCAATACCTTGAGGTGTTTCGCGACTTAGAGGCCCGATTTTTTCTACAAACTGGTCCCAACATTGCTGCACTAACGCCTCTTGTGCATTGAGAGCTTTGGTAGAAAATGCAGCAAGAAGGTTTTTCTTCTTTATAGCGTGTTGTTGGGGGTCCCTTTCGGAGCCAATGCAACCAGTCTTGAACCCCGCTCCGTATATATCGTAGAATTCACCCTTCACAAGATGCGGTTGGCCAGGAGGCGGAAATCCGTAGATGGTTTTCCACGAATCTACTGATGCAAATGACAGCTCGTTCGGCGAGACCCGAAAGACAGGTCCTACAATTCAAGCGGTTATTGAGCAGTCCAAAACGAAGCCATAGATGGGTCGCATCGTACCATATTTCATATGCTGTTTTTCGATTTCTCTATGTGAGCGACCGCCCATTGTATGCCAAAATCGCCAGAACTAAATGCCTTTTGTAAGCATAATCATTTTCCTAGCGTTGTTAAAGAGGCCTCACAACATACTAAAGAAGCTCGGGCCCAGAATGGGCCGGGAAACTTTGCAAGGGGATGAAAATAAAGATTATATATCCCTTTCCCCAGTATATATGTTGCGGACTAAGTCAAAGGTCTATTTAGCTTCTTCCACTCACAGCCATTTCTCACCAAGCTTACCAAAAATAAAGTAGTAATGACGGCCCATTGGAATGTGGCTCCAATGTGCATAGGTCCTTCTTTCGAGCCAATGATGAATTCATGAGAGTGCGAATGATCAGTTGCCATTTTGGCGGTAATTACTTTGGGGGTCTGTGTCTCTGGGTTTTTGCGGGTATGGTAACATAGGACGCACGCCTTTGGTGGTCTACAGCCGAAGAGAGGGCACTCTGTATATAATTTCCCACTTCTCCAACGCCATCTTAGCAGCAGTGGAAGTTCGAAACCGATTGCTAGTTCCCCTGTATGGTGTTGACTTACCAAGGAATTGCCCTGTCAGATCTACTGTTATCATGGTTGACAACACTTAACACCAGATCCGGAGATTACCGTACAAGCCAATCGGCAGAAACTAACTTATAAGCCCAAGTGGGATGGTGCATACACTATGTAACGTAGACTAGTTCCGGGATCTTCCTTGGCAGTTCGCTAGCTCAAGGTTCTGTGCTATGTTCTAATCTAGCAACAGCCGGCAACACCATTGGTATCAAATATCTCCTGTCCTCATTCTCAGCTCGGGCATGATCAGGAGACGAGATTGTCTATCGTCCATGGATACCCGAGGATCCGGGTGTAGTAACCATGGCATCATTCTCTCTATTCCTAGCTGCACTCATTGTCATCACACACGCTATTTACACACTGTCCAGTTTAGTCAATAACATCCGCAAGGCCAAAGCAATAGGCTTACCGTATACGCTGACCCCAATCCATGAACTCGAGCACTGGGCTTATATCACGGACCCGGTCCTCCGCCGGTTCTCTCGAGCATATCTGCTGCGAGGGGAAGGGTGGCCGAGATGGGCTCGTTTCATGATTAAGGACTGGCATTATGAGGATAAAGGGCGAGCACATCGCGAGTATGGATCACTGTTCGTCGTGGTCTCACCGGGAGGATTGATATGCTACGTTGCTGACAGCCATGCGGCGTTGCAAGTCAACACTAAGCGAAGGGCCTTCGTGAAACCCCCTGATAAAATGAGTGCGTTCACCCCTTTTGAAGAATCCGCCACTGTGCTGATTGTATAGCAGAAATGCTTGAACCGTTTGGACCAAATATCGGGTCGACAGATGGAGACATGTGGAAGGTTCATTCCAGAGTTGCATCACCTTCATTCGATGAATATACTCAAAAGCTGGTCTGGGCCGAGACCCAGCGTCATACGTCCATGTTGGTGGCCATATGGTCAGCAAACAATGACTTTGCGTTTGAAAAGAGCGTCTATAGTTTGACAATGGATGTCATGGGCACTGTTAGTTTCGGTCAGCAAGCTGCGCAGAATGATAACAAAGAAGAGCGTCTACCTAAGGTGCATAGATTGTCCTTGCTCGGGGCGCTGCGAGGCGTAATCATGCATTTGCCTCACATCCTGTTAGTTCCAAAAGCTGTGCTACGTTTCACATGGAACAAGGCCTATACGGCTTATTCTGAGTTGGACCAATACATGGACGAACTGCTACTCCAAGGGTCGAGAGATCTTAGTGAGTGTTCTGCCGGCATGAGGAGCAAGCAAAATCTATTGAAAGCAATCTTGAGATCGAGTAAGGAGAACGAGAAGAGAGAGCCTGGGACGGTGGGTGCTAAAGTCAGTCTGACTAATCAAGAGATCAAAGGCAATCTCTTCATTTTCCTGCTCGCAGGTACGGACCTCATTATCTCTCGTGAAAACTTAGACTGACGTTGGTGTGCTTAGGGTACGACACGACTGCAAATACTATCATATATGCTTGCGTAGTCCTCACATTGTACCCCAATATTCAAAGCAAGATCCTCGATGAAGTCAAAGAATTTCATGAGATAGGAGCTATTGACGCTGCCGAGAAATCCAGTTCGGAACATCTTGTCATGTTTCCATATCTCTTGGCTTTTATGGTAAGCGACATATTCACTAGCTAACTTATGCTGCAAGTAAATATCTGACCTAACATCTTGCAGCATGAAATTTTGCGAGTATTTCCTGTCATCATACCCATCGCTCGCCAGACTGTATCAGCCCAACAAGTAACCAATAAATCAGAATGCATCGACCACGAAACTGTTACTCTGCCTGGAGGCATGGATGTTGTGATCAATAACACCGCAATCCACTTTTCCGAGTCGTACTGGCCATCGCCCGATGTTATAGACCCGCGGAGGTGGCTAGTTCGTGACTCTCGCTCGTTCGACCCATTAAAACCACTTACAAGTGAGCAAGAACTGGATTTAGAAAACCCCGTGTTTTCTACTCAGGGTAACGCGAAGGGAACATTCATGACATTTGGGGAGGGCCCAAGGGCATGTTTGGGACGCAATTTTGCCAAAGTAGAATTCGTTGCCTTCTTTTCGACCCTCTTGCAAAATCACCGTCTAGAGCTTCAGGGCACTTCAAACCCAACACAGGTAGAGCGGGATTTACGTTTACTTAGTGGTGGGTCTCCTGTCACATTAATTCCACCACATTCCGTAGGAGTTAGATTAGTTCCCCACGAGATTTGAAAATATAAAGCCACCGTCCGTCAACTCAAGATCTAATGATGAATAATTAGCTAGTACTCATTGTCGAAGCCAAAAAGAAGAAGAGATCAGAAAAGTGGCGCGGGCTAATAAGGATGCTAAAGAGACATGACCTCTAGGGGTATAACTGAAGATGAAATAATTAACATGGTTCCTTTTGCCAGTTTTGGATGGCCTAAGATAGGCAAAGCAGAAATGCATAAGTGATTTAAGCGAGGCCAGAAAAGGAGAATACAATAACTCCCGCTGCAGTCTAATGCGCGTAACACAGTCAGTCACGTTTCGGTATACGATAGGACCTTGCATTGGTTCCCGGAGTTTCCCTCATTTTGACTAGGTTGATAACTTGACGCCACACTATGCAACATTAAAGGCCTCTCCAACATTCTTGACAGATTATTCGTAGCTGGTATTGCTCGCCTGATTTCGACACCCATTCTGACCCCATTCTACTCTCAATACTCTCGTACCAAACTACAGCACCCATTTTCTTTGAACCTAGCTTCGCTGGAAGAGATGGAGGCTACAAACCACGATGCTCCATTCAGCACTCAGCCGCAATTACCTAAATCCCAGAATTCCTTTGAATCAGCTACACACATTGGAAAGCATGCTAATGAGGCTCAAACAAGTCAGAAAGTCACCAGCAGCGAGAGCTCCGTGGCTTATGGACAGCAGAACGATGCCGAAAAAACATCTGCCGACACTGCTCCTGCTATTTCAGCCAAGAACAAGAGGGAGACTGAGGAATGTCGAAGCCCAGCCCTGGATAATTTAGAGAACGATGACCTGGTCAGCCGCTCGACGGAAACAGCAAACGAAGCAACAAAGTACCCAAGCACTTGGAAAGCCTCACTGCTCACCGTTGGCTTATGCCTAGTCACCTTCGCGACCGCAGTTGACAATACAATCATTGGTATCTATTAGCACAGTTCTAAAGAACAGCATGATGAAATAGCCGGCTGATTCAATTCGCAGCAACTGCTATTCCCAGCATTACAGAGGAATTCCATTCCTTGAATGATATCGGCTGGTACGCGAGCTCGTACCTTTTGGCTAGCACTGCACTCCAGCCCTCTTACGGAAAGGTCTACACCCACTTCAACATTAAATGGGTTTACCTTGCTGCCTTGGTCGTTTTCGAAGTCGGGTCTGTCGTCGCTGCGACAGCCGACAGTTCCATAGTTCTGATTATCGGCAGAGTTATCGCTGGGCTTGGTGGCGGCGGACTGACCTCTGGGGGCTCTACTATACTCACACGAGTAGTGCCAATTGACAAGCGCGCGGTCTTCAATAGCGCTTTCGCTAGTACATTTGGAAGTAAGCATCAATCAATGAAACCGGGCCAGTTCACGTAATGCTAATGCCCTAGGTTCAGTCGCCTCAGGTTAGCTATCTGGAGTCACTTATTTCCCCCTTACGCAGATTTCGGGCCTCGTTGCTCTTGCATGCTCCCGAAACATAAGTTGAACCTCTTCACTATCTGGCCACTACTGACTCCGGCTTGTGTAGTCGTCGGACCTCTCCTTGGAGGTGTTCTTACTGATAATCTGTCCTGGAGGTTTGTGATTTTTCATATGTCAGTTACATGCATGCCAACTTAAGGCTAACTTCGTATCTGCAAAAGATGGTGTTTCTATATAAATCTACCGTTAGGTGCTATAGCATTTATTACTGTGTTATTCGTCTTCAGACTACCCAAGCGAGCGAGATCCACACTATCTGTCAAGGAACGTTTACAGAAGCTAGACATCTTAGGGGCTTCCTTCTTAGTTCCAGGGGTTGTCAGTCTCCTCTTGGCGCTCAACTGGGGCGGAATTGATTATCCCTGGAGTGATTCTAGAGTCTGGGGAACTCTCCTTGGGTTTGGCCTAATTACGATTGTGTTTGTCGGAACCCAGCTCTATCGAGGCGAAGAGTGAGTTAACTTCCGGCAAAGGGTCTCTCATATTAAAGTATTGATGAGCGTGCAGTGCTACTATACCACCACGAGTCTTTGGCAGACGCGAAGTCCTCACTAGTGTTCTATTTCAGGCTATCTTCACTATGGGACTATATGCCCACTTCTACTATCTACCGTTTTACTTTCAAGTTGTCCAAGGTACGAGCGCAATGGATTCAGGTATACGAACGATACCTTACGTCGCAGGCCTCTCTATCCTAGCCGTCGTGGCCGGAATAGCAGTGAGAATTATTGGCTACTATGCTCCGCCAGCGTTACTTGGTTCGGCACTTTTCACGGCCGGTGCAGGGCTTATGTACACATTGCAAGTCAATACATCGCAGCCCAGATGGATCGGTTACCAGGTCTTGGCCGGAGGTGGTGCAGGTGCTGCCTTTCAGATGCCACTACTGGCAGTACAGTCTTCTCTTTCAGAGAAAGATGTTCCTGTCGGCAACGCACTTGTTGGATTTTTTCTCACATTGGGCTCTAGTATTGGCGTCTCTATTGCGCAGAATATCTTTTCCAGCAGCCTGCGAGCGGCACTGGGAGCGGTCACAGGGATCGACCCAGAGGCAATCATTGCTGCAGGTGCAGCTGGAGCTCGAGGAGCGACACCGCCAGCTCGGCTTGCAGAGGTACTTGAGGCGTATAACAAGGCAGTCACAACAACATTCATCTATGCCGTAGCGACTGGGGGACTAGGTTTCATCGTAACCCTTTTCTGGAGATGGACATCATTGAGGAGCAAGAAATAGACGAAGGGATTTTCTCTTTGACGACTTAATTACATAAGAGGATTATCTAAAAAGAGAGCTACTGGACAAGAATAGATAGTAAGCTGCGCAATTATGATAATATCTAGCTAATACTAGGGGAAAGAGAAGAAACATTCGCGTCACTTCCATTATGTATTAGATACCGGTATATAGAGAGATGTGGGGCAGTAACTCGATTGTAAATAATACCCATACATTTATGATGAGGAAGTCAGGCTTCGATAATATCTATAACGATCTAAAGTGATCATTTCTGCTGCTCTGTTGAACGGAAGTCCGTCGCGGCCTGCTGTAGCCGCGTCAAGCGCAGGTTTTCCTGGCCAAACCAGAACGGTCGTAGGTCTGCAAGAGGCTCCTCTATCTCAGTGTAAGTTTCCCCAAGTGTCAAAATAACTCTACCATTCCACCTCTCTTCAGTCCAGACTTCTTTCTCCATCTCCTTTCCGTACACTTCAACGCGCCTACGCTGTTGAGCGGTGGCGGAATGGACCAATGCAAGACCGACGAAGTCGGAAGTGCTAACTGGCAGTCCCATTGCTATAATAGGCGCTGCTAGATGCTCGGGAAGCAATCTCGTGAGCGTGGCAGCAGGCGCTACCCCATTGATCGTGATGCCATCCTTTACAACGACAGATCGCAAAGCTCTGATCATTCCTACTAGCTAAGTTTACGTGTCGGGTTAGCATCGATGATCAAATGTATAAAAGGTACTGCTCCGATGATGCAAATTCTAGAGAAAACGTACAGCAAGTTTAGTGCCTGCGAATACAGGCAATGACTGCTCGGGTGCGTATGCCGTCGCACTAGTCGTGATGACTATGCTGCCGTGAATGTTATTCTTGCGCATCGAAGCCCACGCCAGCTTTACCAGATTTGCTACTGCTCGGAAGTTGATATCGAGAACAGCATAGGCCGGCTCTAGTAAATTGCCATTATCATCGAACGTGTCAGCGAAATAATCAGTCTCTTCAGAAGTCCCTGCATTGGCGAACGCAAAGTCGACTCGGGGTATTTGGTTGAAAATATCGCGAAGCTGTTCCCATTTGGTCGCGTCGCATCTATGGAAGTGAATGTTACCGCGGGGCAGGGCATCGACAGTTTCGTTAAGGTCCAGGATATGTACTTCAGCGCCCTTTCTAGCTAGAATCGCAGCCGTCGAAAGCCCAATCCCGGAAGAGCCGCCTTGCGAGCAAGTGAGTTAGTGCGAACGGGTGAACTGGATCATACATTTTTTAGACGAACCTGTTATTAAAGCGACTTTACCCCTCAGAAATGGGATTGAGCTTTCGTTAATATCCAGGGTCGCCATTATCTTGTCCCGCGTTGGCTATCGAGGTTGTTTGGCTAGTCTCCCTACTCGGGACCAGAGACATTGGGCTAACATTCGCTTTTATTCTAAATTGCCACGGCTATTGACTAATCGGGATATCTCCGTCACTTACGACGCGCATCGCGATATTTCTCAACCTCGGAAACTACTTGATGGTTTACTGATAATCACACTAACGATTTCTATGTTAGTGGAGATCTAGGTCCGGAGTCTTGGGGCTTCTACAGAATTGAAACGCTGTACGAGCCAAGAGGGTTGCGCTCAACATCAAAACCTTCACCACTAAGCTCATAAGTTGGGACATTTTTACCCAAACCCACATGTATCTCATTGACCAGAGCTATAGGCATACGCTTTAAGATCTAGTAGCATTATCAACATAGCGTACACTTAACAATTTGCTTTGTCCAGGCATTCGATCGGCCTCTCAGACGGCCGCATCCAGGAGCGCTCTCTACACTCACGCAGTGCTTGTGAGTCTATCTCGAGCCTTGACCCTCATTTTGGGCTTTTGCCATAATGTCTGCATTTGAGAGTCCGCATGCCAATCGATCGATTTATCGAGCAGCTCCAGGTCATATTTCCAAATGATTTTAGACATGATCAGCCTTAGTTCCAACAACCCGAGACTATTACGAACGCACTTAGTTACCAGAATCTATTGGTGCGTGGGAGATCTGACTTACCTCTTGCCCATGCATCCTCTACTCCCGAGAGAAAAGGGTTGTGTCGCGTCGAGGATGTCCTGCGTGTTGCCTCCCAACCATCTTTCAGGTATGAACTGCGTAGGGGTCTCAAAATTCGCTGGATCCATAGATGCAGAGTATGGGCTTGTGTATACTATGGTCTGTAATCATTGGTTAGAGACCTATGAAGCTATAATTAAAGTCGGCGTACTTACTCCTCCTGGAAGAAAAGTGCCATCAACTAACTCGCCGGGAGAAGGAACCACTCGTGGGAGAGCGAAAGGCAACGGGGGATAGATTCTCATCGCTTCTAGCATCACTGCTTTCAGGTATTTAAGACGCTGAGTAGATTTACCAGTAATCTCATTATAGCTGGTGAAGCTCGATCGTATCTCTTCCTGTAGTTTCATCATGATCTCGGGATTACGGAGCAGGTAGTACGTCATTGTCGCCAGTGCAGTAGCTGTAGTTTCAGACCCGGCAATAACGAAATCAGAAGTATGGGCTGCGAGCTGCAAAACGGAAACCCCCTTCTCGACTCGGTCTTCGAGAAGCCGCGTCAGAAAGTCTTTTCTCGAAGACTCGCGTGCAATGCGCCTAGTGAGCTTAGTTAGCCCTTTGACTGTCTTTAACATATTGCTGCATTGCAATGACACAGACGAGTCTGTACTGACCGCTCAACAAGATCTATGGCCATTTCTTCATTTGACCCTGTGTCTGCCGTTAACTTCTTGATCTGATAATGTAGGAGGACCGTCAGAATTATCCCAGCTGTGGGAAACCGCTTGAAAACATCTACTAAAGCGCCCTGCTTGAGCGCCCCGAGGATGATCGCGATCCAAGGGTGTGGCTCGGCTGTGTACATTATCAGTATCACTATCACGGGTTACTACGGACGGACATACCGCTTTCTATGGCGCCAAAGGACTCCCCAAATGCCAAATCCCCGATGATATCAAATGTGAGCATCTCATAGCCTTTGGTTAAGTCCCAGTCATCTGATTGCTTAGGCAGCAATTCCACAAACTTATCAACACTCTGCGAAATCAGATCCTCCTGCTCGTTCAATGCACGATCGGAGAATGCAGAGGAAAGGTAGTGCCGCATCTCTGCGTGAACCTGCGGCTGACGTTCACTGACAATTGAATGAACCCCTCGACCCGCGAAACTTCCGCCATCGTAGAATTCGCTTTTGATGAATGTCTTCTGGGTTCCGCGACTAGCGTAGATATCTTTCCAAGATCCCGCGGTGTTGAAAGAGACTTCGTTCGGAGCTACTCGCACAACGGGACCTATTGCATAGTAAGTTATCAAAGTATCATATAATTTGGGCTCGTTTAGAATTATTTGTAGCAAGACTTACCATACTTTAGGTGCAAGTCGTGGATTTTGAATGGCTGGCGACCGCCTAAGAACCAGTAGCTATACGGTACCTGGCGTGGAATTGGTATTAATGAAGTGTAGTAGAAAGCATATCAAGATATCGTACATTGCTTATGGCAGCGAGCTTCGGTCCAGGAAGATGGGCTAGTGGATGATATAGCAGATTGTAGACGATGTTCACTAGAATGCTCACAAGCGACTTGGGCTGTTAGCTTTAGCCTCCATAGCCAAGCATTAACGTGAGGAGCTTACGGCAATAGTCAGCAGAAGAGCCAAGGAGGCCCATACCGGGAGATCTCCAGACCAGACCACATATGAGTGCATTTTGAAGCGTTGATGTTTATGGCAACTAAAATTCACCGAAAATGTCACAAAAATTGGGCTCTCGGGGCAGGGACGCCTACAAGTATACTGTGGAAAGAGGCAGTCTAGAAAGGTGGCCCGTCGGCCTTCCCTATACAATAAAATTACCGAGACTCGGACCTCTATGGAATCTAGGACATGATAAAGTTAGTTTAATAACAGCCTTTGCATTAGAACCCGATCGCTCAGCTTACCTATGAAATATCCGCCAAGGGATCTGCAGCACGTGGCTTGGCAGCGGTGCAGGCCCCGGAGGTTACTGTTTGCAGGGGACCTTGGTTTGCTGTTAAAGGACATACGTATGAAGCCATTTCCGGCTGATGAACCTAGCTCGAAACTGATGTTGATAATTTTTAACTATTATGTTGAATGCTAGCTGGCACGAGCCTTTCTATCAATAACAGCTGCTAGGTAAGGCCGGATATGACCATAAGAGGTAAGTACCGCAATCGTCTTAGTAGCTTCCTATCAACAGCCGGTGTGCGAAGTAAGTTTCGGTTGTACAGAACCGGAGAAGACACAGTTGGTATGGGAACGACAAGAAGAGGCTAGACTGGGCTATATATCCGCAGTTATAAACACGGCATAATTGCTCGATCTATAGATCTAAAGTCATGTCCCTGCAACGAATTAGCAAGATTCGTCTGAAGCTATTGAGAGGACAGGCAGGACTGGAACGATAATAACCAACTACTCAAGTATTTGCGGAGGAGTGTACCGCTATCCCTCATCATGCCTCACAACACGAACGATGTATCCAGCACTCATGCTAGTCCAAAGACCGAGCCATTGGCCATTGTCGGCATGGCCTGCCGGTTTTCTGGTGGGGTTACAAGCCCAGAAAAACTCTGGGATTTTGTCTCTAAGGGAAGGAGTGGTTGGTCTAAGATTCCCGAGGAGAGGTTTAATCAGCAGAGCTTCTATCACCCCAAAAGCGACATGGCTGCTGCCGTAAGTGCAAACGGCCTGGTCCGCGTTACGGATTTTATAAGTTCTAACTATTTCAAAAGTCCAATATTGGTGGCGGGTATTTTCTAGAGGAGGATGTTGGTCGCTTCGACCCTTCTTTCTTCAACTTCACGTCAGAGGTGGCTGCAGTGAGTAGAACCCCCAATGCATTAGAGGGTGCCAACATACTAATAAAAATAAGGCTATGGATCCCCAAATAAGGATGCTTCTAGAGCTCACTTTTGAATCTCTGGAAAGCGGTAAGTAGCCTTATGCATAATAGCGGATCGATGCTGATTTAGACAGCTGGTTTGCCTCTGCATGAGGTGGCGGGATCGAACACATCCGTCTACGCAGGATCCTTTACGAAGGATTACCATGACCGAATGATTACCGACCCCCAGAGGGTGCCTCCGGCATTCATTGCCGCGAACTACACAGCAATGATAGCGAATCGAATCTCACATTTCTTTGATTTCAAAGGGCCGAGTACTGCTGTCGATACTGGATGCTCATCGTCTCTAATGGGACTCCATCTTGCCTGCCAAAGTCTAAGATCGCGCGAATCAGACTGCGCCATTGTTGGAGGCAGCTGTATCAACCTCAACCCTGATATTTTTGTCGCCTTGTCAACTCTCGGGTACGTATCACTTATATTTGCATTGCGTAGAACCTACTAATGTGAGCAGCTCATGTGGTCCGGATGGAATATCCTATGCTTTCGACCACCGAGTTCAGGGATATGGACGTGGTGAAGGCGTTGCGATTCTAGTCGTTAAGAGACTAGAAGATGCCATAAAGAACCGAGACCCAATTCGAGCGGTGATCAGAGAGACGGCTGCCAATCAGGACGGAAAGACACCTACAATTACGTCTCCCGATCTAGACGCCCAACGGAACTTGATCCGCGCCTGCTATGAAAGGGCTGGCATACCCTTTCACGAGACAGCCCTTGTCGAAGCGCATGGAACTGGCACAAAAGCAGGAGACCCGATTGAGGCGACAGCGATCGGTGCTGCTATAAGCAAGGGCCGGCCAGAAAATCAGCCTGTTTACTTGGGATCAGTCAAAACGAACCTAGGACATACAGAGGCAGCCTCGGGACTAGCGGCGATCATCAAAACAGCCAAGTCCCTTGAAGTTGGTCAAATTCCGCCTAGCATCAATTTCGAGAAGCCCAATCCAGATATTGATTTTGAAGGGTTGAGATTGAAGGTAAGTAGCTGTCATCCAGTGAAAGAGGAGCGTATCGTCTCACGTTGATTTTAGGTACCGCAAAAGCTTATTAGCTGGCCGACCACCGGCATTCGGCGAGCATCCGTCAATAATTTCGGCTATGGTGGTACAAACACGCACGTGATCTTAGAAGAAGGTGGCCAGTATTCTCGGAAGACTAATGGAGTGAACGGTATACACGGCGCCCTTGCTCGGAAGCTCTTCGTATTGAGTGGACGCGATGAAGCGGCCACTTCCAGGTTGGCCGCCAATATGAATGAGTACCTTCAGAGAACTACTGATCTCCACTGGAATGATTTGGCGTTTACCCTTGGCCAACGACGGTCAAAGTTCAATTGGAGTGTAGCTGTTTCGGCCGAGTCGGTGGGAGAATTAATGAACACTCTCTCTGACAAGAGCTTAAAGCCGGTTCAAATACAGGGCCGTGTGCCTCGCCTCGGTTTCGTTTTCAATGGACAAGGTGCTCAATGGTATGCCATGGGAAGGGAGCTCATGGCCGCATATCCGGTGTTCCTCAGCACACTTGAGACGTGTGATGCTACTATCAAACAGCTTGGAGCAGCATGGTCCATAATTGGTAAGTGTCCTAGACAAAGGCCCAAGGATTTGAACGCAACTGACTTTCGGCAGAGGAATTGAAACGGGATCAGGAGAACTCAAGAGTCAACGAGGTGAGGTATAGCATGCCACTTACATGCTCGATTCAGCTAGCCTTAGTCCAACTTCTTAGCCACTGGGGTGTCAAACCAGCAGCAGTGACAGGACACTCGACCGGAGAAGTTGCGGCAGCTTTCGCAGCCGGAGCTATTAGCCTAGAGGAGGCTATTGTCGTTACCTATTTCCGCGGTAAAATCAACGCTGAAGCAGTTGAACGCAAGACCTCAGGTGGTGCCATGATGGCTGTCGGGTTAGGCCCCGACGAAGTCAAACCATATCTTCAAGACTTGAAGCGTGGTCAAGTTCACATCGCATGTTTCAACAGCCCTAGTAGCGTGACGCTATCAGGAGACGTTGAACCAATCAATGAACTAGAAAGGCGGTTTGGGTCCGAAGGAATCTTTGCTAGAAAACTCAAAGTCCAAGCAGCATTCCATTCTCACCACATGCTTCCCCTGCAGAAGGAATACCGCGCAGCATTGACCAAGTACATGAGGAAAGAAGAGAGGACATTTACACAAGGCGTTAAGTTTTCATCCCCCGTTAGTGGAGATGTACTCTATGACGCGAATGTGTTGGGACCAGAGCATGTAAGTGCTTTAACTTCAATTTCTTGCTTCTGCGCTGTTCGGATCATGTTGCCAGAAGACAGCATATGTCTGCACCAAATCCTCTTCTGAGGCTAAGAGTTGGATGAATGTAAAGACTGACGCTCCGAAATCTAGTGGATCACCAACATGATACAACCCGTGCAATTCACAAGTTCGTTCCGAAACATGGTCATTACGGAAATGGATGAGGCACCACGTCAGGATGTTGATATTGTTGTCGAAATTGGGCCACACTCAGCTTTAGCCGGCCCTGTCAGGCAGTGTCTCAGTGAGCCAAGCCTTAAAAGCCTCGGCATCATGTATGCGTCTTGTCTTGAGAGAGAAAAGGATGCCGTTCAAACAGCACAGTCCCTCGGCGTAGTACTTCTTCAGAAGGGATATGCACTCAACATGACTCATGTTAACTTTCCCACAGGCGACTCAAGCTGTCAACCCATCTTCGACCTTCCCTCGTATCCTTGGAACCATTCTACTAGTTATTGGAATGAGCCAAGGACAAGTAGGGATCATAGATTCCGCAAACATCCAACTCATGATCTTCTTGGAATACGGCTACCAGGAACTAGCGATTTATCCCCTGTTTGGAAACTAAATCTAAAGGCTGAGAACGTGCCCTGGGTCCGTGACCATATAGTCCAGTCTGATATTGTCTACCCTGCGGCAGGCTATATCTGTATGGCTATTGAAGCGATACGCCAGCTTAATGAACAAGACAACAAAGTCATAAGCGGATATAAGCTTCGGGACATCGATATCTTGAAGGCATTAGTTATCCCGGAAAGTGGCCATGGTGTTGACGTCCAGTTATTCCTCGAGCCTGTAAGGGAAAACTCACTCGTACAGGAATGGCGGCAGTTTCACATCTACTCTGCCGCATCAGCCGAGGAACCCTGGGTCGAGAATGCACGAGGCTTGATTGCCGTCGAGAGTTCCGAGCTAAAAGGCCTCGCTCTAAATTCCTCTCTCGCCTTAGATGTTTCAACCAGCAATTACACCCGGACGATGAATCCTAAGACACTCTTTGAGTCACTTCACAAGGTTGGCGTCGCTCATGGACCCCTATTCCAGAACCTAGACAGTATTCGTATAGCCAGCGGCACGTCTGCGACCAAAATGACAGTATCTGATATGGCACCAACGATGCCGTATGGGTACCAGCAACCCCATGTTATTCATCCGATCACGCTGGACTCGATTTTCCAAGCATTCTACCCAGTACTGTCACCAGAGTCTCGCAAAGCGGTGGGGGCTTCAGTTCCACGCTCCATCAAAACCCTATACATATCCTCACGAATCAAGTGTGAACCAGGAAGCACCTTAGAAGCACACAGCCATCTTATTAGACACGACCTTCAGGGATTCAATGCAGCTGCCGTAATCTTGCAACTTGGTAACCGCGCAGAGACACCCGTGGTCGAAATTGAAGACATGCACTTTCAAAGCTTGGGCCGAACAACGGATGAAGCAACACCACGCCGCCAGGATCTCTGCGTTGTTAACGAGTGGACGAGGAACTTCTCCTTGAACGACTTAACTCCATTCGAAGAATCTTTAAAAATGGATGCTGGTGATGACGAGGCAGAAATAGGCAGAGACCTCGTCCGTGTAACATACAACTTGGTGCACGAGGCACTTTCCCAGCTTACTGCCACCGACATTGAGAACCTTGACTGGCACCACAAGCGCTTCTACGACTGGATGCTTGTACTTGATGAACAAGGTGCGACTAATCAGCTAGCCCCTAAGAGCGAGCGCTGGTCCAAGACATCCGAAGGCGTCAAACATATGCTCATGGATAAGGCTGAAAAGGCTAGCGTTAACGGAGAATTGGCTATTCGAATCGGAAAGAATCTGCTACCCATTCTGCGCAAAGAAGTTGCTCCGCTCGAACTGATGCTCGAAGGCCAGCTCCTGTATAAATATTACCAACAACTTTTGCATTTCACCAGATGTGCCACGCAGGCCGCGAAAGTGGTACGCGCTATCGCAGAGGAGAACCCAGAAATCAGAATTCTTGAGATCGGCGCAGGGACAGGAGGTGCTACGCTCCCCGTATTGGATGCCTTATCTGCCGATGGGTGCCATCGCTTCAAACATTATGACTTCACTGATATCTCGGCAGGGTTCTTCCAATCTGCGCGAGAGCTTCTGGAGCCTTGGGGCGACAAGATCACGTTCTCTGCGTTAGATATCGAGAAAGATCTTGAACAGCAGGGTTTCGAGCTAGGATCATACGATGTGATTGTTGCTGCCCAAGTATTACATGCGACTAAGAACATGACGAACACGATGAGCAACGTTAGGAAGCTGCTCAAAGATGGTGGAAAGCTGGTACTAGTTGAGACGACGCGAGACAGTCCAGATGTTCAGCTTGTCTTCGGATCAGTGCCCGGATGGTGGCTTAGCGAGGAGCCTGATCGGAAGCTAAGTCCCAACATGTCCCTGGACACTTGGGATAAGCATTTGCGCGAAACTGGATTCACTGGTAACGAACTCAGTGTCTGGGACTGCGAGGACCAGGAGCATCAAGCTATGAGCTGTATCATGTCCACCGCCAAGTCGGATCAAAAGCCTGAGTTCGAAAGGATTGTTGCGATCGTCTACGCCGATGAACCGCCTCCGAGCGATTGGACCTTGTCACTTATGGAGAATATCGTGCGCGAGACAGGTACAACACCTGTTCTCGCCGATCTGGCAACCTACGACGCTACAGGGAAGATTTGCATCTTCCTATCTGGACTGCAAGGCACCATTCAGCGTTATAGTGAGGAGAGCTTCTCTTCGATAAAGCGCCTCGTCACTGGTTCTAAGGGGATCCTATGGGTCTCGAGCGGGTCGGCCGTAGACTGCGAAATCCCTGAGAACGCAATGCATCTTGGTTTACTACGGACTGCCCGGCTGGAAGATCAAAGTAAAAGATACGTCTCGCTCGACCTTGACCCGAGCCGTAATTCATGGAGCCTTGAAAGTACCGATGCCATCATACGTGTTTTCCATGCTACAATGCACAATAACGTTGGTGTAGTTGACATGGAATATGCTGAGCGAGGAACTGTACTTCTAAATCCGAGGCTGCGTCCAGACTCTGTTGAACTTGAAGACTTGTATGAAGGTTTGGAGGAGAAGAAGCCAGAGATGCAACCTTTCGTTCAACCAGGTCGCGAGCTGCGCATGCATGTCGACGTACCGGGATTGCTTGACAGCATAGTCTTCAAAGATAATGAAAACGCCCAGCTTCCTCTCGAGGATGGGTGGGTTGAGATTGAGCCAATGGCATTTGGTCTTAACTTCCGCGACGTTATGACGGCTATGGGTATGCTGAAGGAGCTGAACCAGGAGATGGGCGTCGAGTGTGCGGGTATTGTAACGGGTGTCGGGAACGGCGTGTCCTCGGTAAAAGTTGGTGAGCGCGTTTGCGCCCTCACGGTCCATGGCCACTTTGCCAACCGTGTCCGAGTGCCATGGACGTCCGCGGTGCGTATTCCCGAGTCAATGTCTTTCGAAACAGCAGCTTCGATGGTCATTGTCTTCGTCACGGCTTATTACTCGCTTTTCTGGGCTGGCCATGGCGAGGAGGGTGACACGGTTTTGATACACTCAGCTGCTGGTGGTGTTGGTCAGGCCTGCATTATTCTAGCGCAATGGAGAGGTCTCGAGATCTATGCAACAGTTGGTTCTCAAGAAAAGCGCGACTTCCTTACCAACACCTACGGCATCCCTCCTGAGCGCATGTTCTCGAGTCGTGACCCCTCGTTTGCGAAGGATGTATTGAAGGCTACCAAGAACAGGGGTGTCGACATCATCGTCAATTCTCTGGCTGGTAAACTACTGGACGCAAGCTGGAACTTGCTAGCGCCTCACGGCCGTTTTGTTGAGATTGGCAAGAGAGATCTTCACCACAACAAATCTCTAGAGATGGAACCCTTCCGAAAGGCTGTGTCGTTCATGCATGTCGACGTGGTGCAACTTACTGACAATAGACCCGCTATCGTTCAGAGAATACTGCAACAAATAGTGAGACTGCTTGATCAGAACATTATTCGGAGCATTGCGCCTGTCAAAGCTTTCTCGCTGGCAGAGGTCGGCCGTGCGTTTCGCACAATGCAAGCCGGTGAGCATATCGGCAAACTAGTTTTGGTACCAAGCGCAAATTGCATGGTCAAGGTGAGGAGCCCAAGAATATTACGATTTCATCAAATGCTAATTATTGTCTCTAGGCGAGTCGGCCACGTGGAATGGCTAGGCTGCATCCTGATGCGACGTACATGGTTGTTGGTGGTCTCACTGGTATTGGGGCCTCGGTCGCGAAACTGTTGGTGGACCGGAACGCTAAACATCTCGTTTTGGTTTCGAGAAACGCTACATCGCGACCGGGGACCGCTGCCATGACGACTGAGCTCTCCGCTACAGGCTGTAATGTGGTGGCTAAGGACTGCGATGTCGGCAATATGGACTCTCTGAAATCCCTAGTTGATGATTGCCGCAAGGCAGGTATGCCCGCTATCAAGGGTATTATCCACGGTGGTATGGTTCTTCAGGTACGATACAGACTTGATGCCATCAGCAGCCAGATATACTAATATGATAATAGGACTCAATTTTGGAGAGGATGACATGGGCTCAGTGGCAGAGCGCGTTGAATCCAAAACTTCTCGGAACCCGAAATATAGACGAGTTGTTTGGAGACCAGCTGGACTTCTACATCATGCTGTCGTCGGGCGTTGGTGTGATGGGTAATCCCTCACAAGCCAATTACGGCGCCGGTGGCTCGTACCAGGATGCCGTCGCTCGCCACCGTGCAAGCAAAGGTCAGGCAGCCGTTGCCATTGATCTGGGCGTTGTCCAGTCGGTTGGATTTGTGGCGGAAACGGCCAGTGTGGAGGAGCGGCTATCAAAAGCCGGTCACCGGCCCCTCAGCGAGGCCGAGGTGATGGGCCTTGTTGAGTACGGGATTAAGAAACCGTGTCGGTCGCCTCGTACCTCCCATGTGGCTTCCGGTTTTGTTCAAGCTACGACAGCCGACCCTCGTTTTGCTCTTCTCAAGAACGCGGCAGAGCAGACGAGCGCGGGAGCGGCTGGTGGCCGTGCCGCGGGGTCAGGCAAGGAAATCAGACTAAGCGAACAGATCGCGCAGGCAAAGACTGCAGACGAAGCTACAGCAGCCGTTCAGCAAGCAGTCGTCACGAAGATCTCCGACATGTTCGTGATTCAGGAGAGCGAGATTAACCCTTGCCTTCCCTTGAGCGAGTACGGAGTAGACTCATTGGTTGCTGTTGAGTTGCGCAATTGGCTTGTGCCGAATGCGCGCATTGAGATGAGCATATTCGACTTGCTAGGGAGCCCATCGTTGGCAGAGTTGGCGAAGAGCGTCGTGAAACGAAGCAAAGTGCTGTTCACCACCATTTAAGTTTTCATTTTTCTATTTGATCTCATGTATTTGTACCAGATCTTTTCTCTATTGTCCTTCTTCTCGCGTAGTCTCTTTTTTTTTTTTTTTTTCCCTCTTTCTGGAGTTTTATGATATCGGTTTTAGTCATTAGTCTAAGGCATAGCCAATTTAGGCACTAGGTAAATTAATCTCATATTCAATTATGCAATAATCAGCGCAAGCCTCCAGAGCTGTGTCTTGGTCTTGAAAAGCAACCCTACAATTGACTGCCCTCTACGGTCCTTTTTCACCTACCGAAGTACCGCCTCTCGACGCTCCTCAAGCCTATATATGTAATAGACGTGAATGAAAATGCCAATTCAAACCCCACGTCGCCGCCAAAATCAGTACCACATAGTTTCCCAATAGGGCCCGTATACCAGGTCTGCGCCGTGCCGAGAACGGCGCCGACCACGCCCACAACGAAGGCTAATGTGGCTGCAATACCGGGTGGCAATTTCTTCGGAATCATATAGTCGTCTGGTCTGTAGCCTTTGAACCCGCGTCGGAATACGAAATGCTCAGTCAGGGAGACACCCTGATAGATAGCGAGCCAATAACTAGTAAGCAAGAGAACATTCTCTAGCGCCGCCTCGAATTGTTCATACCCAGGTACTGCGACCGCAATGTAAACGGCTGTCCCGACAGCCGTCCAGATGAAGCGAGGAACGCGCTCCGTGCTGTATGCCAAGACTTGGAGAGACAATGACACCGAGTAGATGTTGGGACAGTTGTTGGCGATGATAGACAGCGCGAGTATTACAACACAGAGCTCTCCGAATCGACCGAGAGGAGGGACCAAGACCTGCGCCAGTAATCCACCAATACCAGAGTCAGAATAGGCCTCATCGTAAGCCGGAGTCGCGGATATTCCGGTCGCGACCGCGGCGCCCAAGAGCTCCGTGAAGATGAGAGGGAATAGCAGTCCTGCAAGCGTCCAAAAGAAGACCAAGGCACGAGACTTGCCTCCGGGTTGGTATACTGTGTAATCAGCCGCGACTGATGTCCAACCTGTCGCAAAGCCAAAGATGGATGCTGCAAATGATAGTACCGCACCAGCCTCAGCTGGGCCAGTAGCCAATGGAAGTCTGGCATTGAAGTTGCCGGAACGCGCAAAAGTTCCAAGCACGATAAGAAAAATAATAAAGCTTGGAATCCATGACCAATGTTCATACACATGTACCAGCCTGTAGCCGAAAGCACAGATAATCAACGTTGACAGAGCGATTATCAGGATGCCAGCGTAGCCCGGCACATCGTGATTGATCGCGTGGAGAAGCTGTGCGCCAACAATGACATTTACTGCTGACCACTACAGTACTTAGAATCAGTAAAGCTACGGAGGAGTGTAGGGTGCAAGCGTAAATCAGTACGGGACGCCAAAAGATATCATGCTCTCTAGGTGATCAACAGGAGAGAAGGTAACAAAGAATAAGGTCGCTCACTCCTATACATGACAATATATTAAAGCAGGCCACTAATTGCTGTGCTGTTAGTGAACAGACTACTTCACGCGTGCTGGGGTCATGGCTCACCGAACTTGACACCATAGTAGCCAAAGTACTATCAACCGTCGAGATCAGTACAGGCTATCTTCAACGCAGTATATGAGTGCGTTGAGGAAGTTTTGCTGCTATACTGAAGGCATGTTCGCGTAGTTTCGGGGTCACCGGAATAAGCAAATGACGCTAACAACTACTCACGAAGCGGGAAAGCACCATCTGCCTCAGACCAAATCTGGCACCAAAGGTTGAAAAGAAGCAAACCGGCATAACTCCGAGGATATTGACGAAGATTATTGTGAGCGCACTATCCAGATAACTGAGGTTGAACACAGGGATGGCAAGAACCCCTATTGCGAAGGAAGAGACAACCATATTGGCAGAGAGCCACTACACTCCAGATGAATTAGGATGGTGCTGTTCAATAGAGGTGTGTGGATAGCGTACCAATGTGCCAATCTGGCTCATGCTAGAGTCTGTCTTTTCATCATCCGGGACCCTCTCGATTCCTCGCTGTTCGATACCGTACCTGCCTGCAAAGGCTTGAAGCTTGGCGTGGAACGAATTGTCTTCCGTGGGCATATCGCTAGATACAGCTTCAATATCGCCGGCTTGGCCAACTTCAACGTCGATGCCCGTGGGCTCCCATCTTATGGGCTTCTCTTCTGCGTGAGCCATGTCCCGTATTCAGCTGAGGTACGATGAGTTTGGTCCTTCATCAACTGTTCAAGTCAAAGTCCAACTTATAAGTGCTTCGTAATATTGCTAGATCGAGCCCTAGCGGAAGCTGAGGTTCTGAAAATAGCGGAACGAACCGCCTACCTTAATACCGAGGAGGGTGCTGCGGGGCAGAGGAACAATTGGGGTGCATGACAGATGCCAGGATTGCAAATGCGGTTGAGTAATCGACATACATAGATAAGTTCAGTCGCGAACATGCAGGTAGCCTACTGCCTTCATGCTCCGCGCGTAGTAGTCATTGGCTCGGATTCCAAGATAAGGAATGACAACGACGGGGGGTGACGACTATGCCCGATGCGCGGTGCGCCACAGAACAGCCCTCGGATATCTAGGACCGGCTTCTTGTGCACCTAAGTTGATAACACAAAGGTCTTCAGACGTGGAGCTTCAAGTAGATACTTTGACAATAAGTCTCTACATGGTAATGTGCCGTCAGCGAAGGTCATCTTAGTAGCACCAGACCCAAGCAGACGGATTAGGATATCTTGTTTCAGAGGACAACATAAAATGTGGCGAAAAAAACGTCTCATCATCTAGGCCTCGGAATAGAATCAGCTCGCGAGGTCAGTAGCTATCTCATTATCCGGGACATAGTACTAAGTCCTCAGTGTGACAAAGTTCGTAAATACGGGCGTGTGTATGAAAGCTGCTCCAGAAGACTAGAAAAGAGCGGGGTCGATATTCACGTCATGACGATAACAAAGATGTCTAAAATGTAATTCTGCTATTAGAGATATTCATCTAGTTTCTCTTCCTGGTGGGAGTGGTGCATCTGCCTCCCAATGTTAAATCAAGGTACATGTTCACTGCGCTCCCCATCAGACTAAGCCTTATCTCGTCCAATCTTATTGACGTCTGACCCCCAAGCCTTCCATAGCTATTACTCCGTGTCTGGGACTTCTGGATTGTTGGCTCTCACTACCTAGCTTGGGATTAATACAGAAGCGGTGTTTAATTCTTTTAGACCAAGTATTGGTCAGTAAACAATCTGTACCTTCATAATCCATCATCCCCCCCCAAAAAGGTCATCTAATGCTCCAATACAGAAGCCAACCCATTTCTCCACTCCCTTACATGAGTAGTAGTCTAATCGGTAGCCACCCGTATGCCAACATGCTTTCGTGTCTCGGGAGTCCCCACGTGTACACAAAATCGGAAACTTTAGGCCCTTGCGGCGGTATCTTGCATCGGGAACCTGCAGGCTTCGGCCTTCTTCACTTCATACTGATCAAACATGAATACACTCACTGTACTTGGTTGGAGAATCTCATTCGTGTGATGATGTTTCTCAGAAATGGATGAAAGTTGTTGTCATTCTCTATCCGACGGGAGTGAGTAGTAGACACAACTGAGGCAAACACGAATACTGGATGTACCTCGATAGGCTAGGTATCTGTCTCAGTGGCAGGACTCATTGATCCATTCTCATCATACGTCCATGTCAAGGCGGGCTTACTAGATAAGCACTCGATTCATCTCGGGGTCTGACAAAGCGGTGAAGTCATCGTACATCGCAGAAACAAGCCTGCCTGTAGGGATTGTCCTACAATTCTTGCCGTAGGCGCGTAGCGCTGACTGAAGCACATCATCATCATCATCATCGGTTTCGCTTCGCAAATTTTGCGCACCATTTACAAAGCTTATGTCTTAGATCTCATCCATGTCTGAGCTGCGCACGTGGTATTAAGGGGCGAAAGAGCTCATAAGTCACATAGGATTGAAGATAGGACACGCATAAAACCTAAGTATACATATGTACTACTCTCGTCGATGTTATACACATAGTAGAGAACGTGGGAAATCATTCAAGCAATCATAACAGGACCAAAATTACGGGCAGATACTCAAGCAATTGATAGTTTGGAATCATATGTAGAAGAATGGATAGTTTCACTGCCACTGGAAACGTTATAAAGAAGGGTCAATCTACGCACCGCTCTAACATTGTCTGTATTGCTAGAAGGAAAGTGATATGTATCGTCCACACCTACTTGAACCTCACTGTCCCAAACCGCCACCAAGAGGAGACCGCGTTAACAATCCTTAGTATCTTATGAGACTTGTTCTTACCATTTTGGCTATAAGCATGGTACATAATTATGCCCATATTAACTAGTCATCCTAACAACCAGTCGACCCCTTAACCCCACACTTAACTTCGCCAAGGAATTGACAGGAATCCACTGTGAGGGGTTAGATAATAGTGTGCGGGGATGTAGGCGTGCTTGCCTTCTATTAAGCAACTATTACACTACATAGCAGTTCGTTAGCTTACATAGTAAACGGCTTAGATTTGGACAGCTCGAGCTTTGACATACTGGGTGCGTATGGGTATATCTACCCAGAGAAGGTCATGGTCCAGGCATCATCAACACCGTTTGCTTCTCACTAACACGCAGTAATACCTACTCGTTAAGTTTACTTCAAAGCATTCTATTAGCAGCCTGGTGAGGCAAGTTTCATGCCAACAGCTGGAGTTGGTATCCTAGGGCGCCCATCAATTAGCCAATGCTGTTCAATCTGAGTTAATCCGCCTCTGTTACATCGTATGTTGGTTACAGCTCCCTTGTTCCCGTGATCCGTCGGTTTCCAGGTAGGCAAGCCGCCGCGGCAGTTCATTCCCCAGGTGAGTTATTAGAACATCTACATCTACCGTGCTTGATTTCCGACTCACTCCCACTGTGCATAATATTTAGCTTTCCCCAGATTACGGAGTTACGGGGTGCACTTGCGATGTGGGGTGGGCATTGATGCGGAGAAGTTGAGTGCACACTGGTGCTATTATTGGCTACTGCTCTTCACAGCGACCTTAATACGCCCAGGAGGTTCGCAGTAAGCTTCTTCAGCATCATCATTACGACCTTGATTCACGATCCTCCCGTTCTTCAGTGCCCCATTTGGGAAGCTTGAAATCATGTCCCGAGTGACGCCAAGCCGTGATGAGGGGTAGACCAGACCGACGTAAGCATCATATCATCCCCCTGGGTTTAGGGAATAGTTATATGAACTATCTATTCATTGTTGTGGGAGCAAGTCGCGTTACAAACATTCGTGCTATTGTGTGATCCGATATATCGTTGTAGCTTCGGGTGTTGTGAAGTGATTATATCCAGACCAACGGACTCAGCCCAGTGATCAAATCAATCTGCTGGCTTGCCTCCCTCCCTATCTAGCAATTACTCACAATGTCGACTGCTGAGGCTGTGCCGAAGATGCACAAGGCCTGTGTCTATGACCAGCCCGGCACATGCTCCATTGCGATTCGCGATGTTCCCACACCCAAGCCAGGACCAAATGAAGTGCTCATTAAGTTGACGCACTCTGGAATCTGCCATTCTGATTACGCAATAAGTACGAGACCTCCCGAATAGCCGCTAGTTAACATTAAACACACCGCTGATGTATTTCATGAACAAGTGATGAACACTGTATGTATTCTACATAGATACCTGACGCTTATTCCAAGAACCTGCCCATCAGTCAGTCAGCTAATCGAGAATGTTGGCCATAGTGGAGACAGCTACCAGTCCCAACACAGACAGGCCAAATAGGTGGACATGAGGGCTTAGGCCACATAGTGAAGCTCGGCGAGGGCTCCGAGAAATTGGGTGTGAAAATTGGTGATCGAGTGGGTGTCAAATGGGTCGCCTCTGCAGTGAGTAATTCTCAATCCTTACCATGCGCAATACAGTTGTAACTTACTCCGGGCCTTGTAGTGTTTAGCATGCCGTACGTGACCTTTTCTAAGTCGTCATTTATCCCAGTCCAGACCGCGTAGACACACATTCCCCAATTATAGCTTGCTCATCAGCAGGATATCAGCTAGACAAGCTAACTCCTGAATCTCGATATCAGCGCCGTGTACCGAAAGCCTCGAAGGCTATTGCTTCAATCAGAAGGTTAGCGGATACTACACGCCGGGCACATTCCAAGAATATGTCATTGGTCCAGCCAAGTAAGTACTCGCACTACATACTTCGCAGCCCCTTCAGGCTATGCGTATCCGCAATTACACAATAAACAAGCATGTAAGCGATTTGAAGGCTAATCTACTCCCATTAGCTATGTAACTCCCGTCCCAGAGTCGCTCTCAGGTGAAGTCGGTGCACCTATGCTCTGTGCAGGACTAACAACGTGGTACGTATCAAAACCTACCGTGCCGGTTCTGGGAGCTGGACTTGGTAGAATGATCTATCGTCTTCCAGAGCTAACTGTTACCGCAGTATGTGAACTTTTGATCCAGAACATGATCAATATTATCTGCGTAATTCTAGAATGTATGTAATAAGGAACTGGACTAATACCTTTTTATATGGCAGACTCGGCACTCCTTAAATGTGGCGCGAGCCCAGGTCAGTGGGTCGTGATATCCGGCGCAGGCGGTGGTCTCGGCACGACGGCAGTGAGCTTAGCGGCCCGAGGCATGGGCTACCGCGTCATCGGCATCGACATGCCAGGCAAGAAACAAGACGTATTAGACTCTGGGGCAGAGCATTTCATAGATGTGACGCAGTTCGATGATGCTACTATCGGAAAAGAGGTCAAGAGGCTGACAGGCCTCGGGGCTAAGGCTGTGATTGTGTGTGCGAATAGCAACAAGGCATATGGACAGGCTGTTTCTAGTGCGTATTCCCCATTTTTCCATTCAATTTCCTTTACTGCATGTCATCAGCGGGCGCTCTGAGAGCAAAATGGGCGAAGACTTCCCTCTGTATAATTCGTATTCGTGTTTCGAGCATTATTTCTAACTCGCAAACTTCATACAGTGCTCCGATTTGGCGGTTCCTTGGTTTGCGTTGGCATGCCAGAAGGCGAGCAGGTGTCTATTGCCAACGCGTACCCCTCATCCATGATTATGGCTGGCCATAATATCGTGGTGTCGGCTGTGGGAAACCGCCGCGAAGCTATTGACGTAATGGAGATGGCTGCGCGCGGCGTTGTCAAGTTCCCTGTGCGGACCGTCAGCATGAGTGAGCTGCAGTCTGTTTTCGAGGAAATGAGCCAAGCCAAAGTCACAGGACGAGTTGTGATAGACTTTTCTGCTGCCTGAGGTCGTGCTAGGGTGTCGTGGCTGTGAAACGGAGCGAATAGCTACACGTATGCCTACCTAATAAATACATGGCATACGATATGTATCCGAGTGGTCGTATGTTGCGCCTGGCTTCTGTCACTTTATGCCCAATTAATTCTTCAGCTTGTATGTACTCTGTCATTTCAGGGTCAGCGTGTCTCTAATCATTGTCTTAAGTATTCTGCTTGCTTGGATCGCTCTGCGCACACCGGTAATTTAGGCATAATGCAGTTGTTTCAGCTGCCCACCTTAGCCTGCATATTTTCATTTCTGCCTCAAGTTGTTCGAATGATTAACCGCCTCATCTGTAGGCATATTTCCGTGATGGCTGTCTATTAATAGGCCGTAGTCAATCCAAGAGCTACACTGTCATAGCTGATGCTCCCACTCTAGAAATAGATGTAGGACGTACAAGCATAACCTTTACGTGCCTTCACAGTCTTCCAATGAACACTAAATCACACCCCGTATCTTCGACATCCTGAGCTATGACTGAGGAGTGGGAGGTGATCGAAATGCTTGGAACTCAGGCAAGCAAAAATCGTCAACGTAAATCGTGTAGGAAGTCAAGCAATATCACATTTCATTCACCTAAGCGCCTGCTCTAATCATTAACAAATAGAATCCATCACATATCCTTTAGTAATATATTCAATCCAAGAACTACTGGCCACTCCAGTCTCAGAATAAATATCCTGTATGGATTGTATGTGCAGCGAAATAAAGATATTATCTTCAGCCTGCTCCCCTTCCCCTTAGGCTTAGTCTTTCGTATTTCAGTCTTTACCCAAGAAAGGATAGCAAGCTGAAAAGCTTGTGGTCACTCTCGTCGTTGACCATACCCTGCACCTGCTCAGAGGTGAGGCTAGTACCGAAGTCGAAGTCGTCAAGGACTTTGATGGAAACAGTAGAGGAGTCGGCGTCCATGACAACGGCGACCTTCATGGAGCTATCGACGGGGCGATCGATATAGTGAGAGTCGCCCATACCATTGGCAAAGTGGAAAGTAGACTTGGCACGGGTATCACCAGAGCTAAGAATTTCGACAACATCCAGCTCGCCACAGCCGCCTTGTAGGGGGCTTTCGTTGTCACCCTTCCAGCAACTGCAGGAGGCGTATTGGGCGGTTCGTGGAATGGCAGCATTCAGCAACCAGTAGGCAGGCATATTCGCATTGAAGCCTGTCTTGCCGCTATCAGGCATAGAGAATTCGGCAACGAAAACCTTGGAAGCACCCTCAAATCCCTCTGTAATGTAGTTAGCTTTTGAATAACGTAAGTTCTTAGCAATCAAAGCTTCGACGTACTGTAGGCAACGGAGCCAGGGCGGGTAGCACCGCAAGACTCATCACAAGGAATATCGGAGAAAATGGCAATCTCCTGGGAGTCGTCGAGGAGCTTGTCCTTTAATACAGTAGGGGAAGCAGCGGCCTTTGCGCCATTCTCGTCCACATATGCGAGACTCGAGCCCCAGACACTATGGATTATTGATATTAGTCCTCAGCATATCCCAATAGAGCTGCTTGGAAATTCACTTACGTGTCCCAAGTACCAGATAGGCTGGGATCACCCACGTTGGCCAAGAAAACGAGGCCATCAGCTGTACCCTCAGCCGCGTTGTAGTAGGCAGTTCGCACGAAGTCTCCAGTGATAGGGCCTGCGCTGCTAGATTTGCTGCTGCTCTTGCTGCTGCTCTTGGCGCTAGAAGTCTTCGCGGACTCAGTCGACGTGGGTTCAGAGTCGGCGGCGGCGGCAGTGACCGACGGAGCCGAATCCGCCACAGCAGCATCGCCAGTTGGACCAGCATAGGTGTTGACCCATGACACTACTTGCCCATCAATCGTAGCAGTAACCATGTCACCCACGGCCCGCTCCACGTTCTGCTCATGGTGTTTCTTGTGCAGGTGCTGGTGGCCGTGGCGCTTCGCGTGGGCAACAGTCTGGGGGGTATCGCGCTTCTTACTCGTTCCGGGGGTGTAGATAGCCACGTTGTTCAGGTGAAGAGGCCCACGGAAATGCATCGAGAGCTTCGCAAACAATCAGCAAGGCTCAAGCAACGAGCCAACATGGATAAACTTACGCCCTCGTTATAAGGAGCAATAGGACCAGAATAGTCTCGGTCCTCGTATGTGCAGGTTCCAGAGTTGTCCATACTCGCGACAGCGCGGTACTTGCCAGGGATATCCAATCCGGTATACTTGATCTGCTTCACGCCACCGGGGCAGAAGTAGTTACCCACGAGATCTTGAACGGCATCGGAGCAAAACGAGCCGGCGGAAACCACCGAAGCGGCACCGCCCAAGAGGACGGCAGATGTGTATCTCATATTGAATGGTTCAGTGTCGTCGTATACGGTTATGGAAGAACAAAAATATCACTCTTCGGGATCGTGGGAAATCGCCGTGGTCGAAAGCAGAGTTGCAATGTACTTTTATCAGTCGATTCGTCGAGAGACAAACGCAACAACCCAGTAATAAAATGAACGTGGCGGTACTGTTGATAATCCCGACAACGGAAAAGACCGAACCTCAAGCGACTTTAATGAGCGGCGTGGTGATAATTCACCAGAACAATGAGAGAAATGCCAATTGCTTTCGGTAAGGGAAAGTTGACAAAGCGTCTAGAGGCGCAGGGTCAGGGTTAATGAACGCCAGAAGGGGACAGGCTAGACTACCAGAGGAAAGGGGAAAAGATCTCTTCAATTAGCTAGCTCAAATTAAAGAATAGCTTCTCATAAGCGAACGACAGGGAGGGAGTGAAAAAAAGGGGCGGTTCAAGATGTACGCCCCCATCCTCAGTGCAAAACTCGTCATCCTGTTGGTCCAGTAGGCAGGGATAGCATCAAATGAGCCACACCACCCAAGCGCCAAGCTCGTTCTGTTCCTTATTCAGTCCAAAAGTCAGGCGGCACTAGCCAGGTGTGAGCATTGTGTACCTGCGTCGGCCAGCGAGGACAAGGGCCAATGAAGGCCACCGGCAATGATTTGCAGGATCAGTCCCTTCGCCAGGTTGCATTCAGGGTGCGCTAGGACATCTACCTAGAACAGCGCTACCACAACGCCGCCACTTTACTAATTTAGGTAGTAAAAGTAAAAAGATTGGCACGGCGGTAAGTACATATAAATAAAGAGCTAAGGGAGACGTTCCAAGACGGCACGATACCTAGATTACCAAAAGTAGCTCAAATGGACATGATGCCATACATGTAATGTGTAATGTGTAATTGGTGGCAGACAGGGATATGACGGCGACGACCTGCCTTCGTTTGTGCGTTCACCCCTTACTTGGTAGACCAAGGTTCGACTGTTTCACAGCTGCGCCAAATGCTGGCTGGATACGAGGTGCCGCTCTTACTGGAGCAGCTAGACACAGCGAAGGTGGTAAGTAAAAAGTGAAGTGAAATCAAGATTCGGATCGCGGCCAAGACTTCTTCAATGGGTGTAGATAGTGTTTCGATCGACACGCGGGATTGACGTGGCCAAGATTCTAGTCGGGGCTTTGAGCGTTCAGGAACAGGAAGCTGCTTGAATTCCTAAACAAGTTAATGTATTCTAGATTGAGCATATTAGATGTACGACGTAATACGGTAGATATGAGTTGGGTGGCGTCGTCGTCGCTCAGAATTCCGTGTCCGATTCCAATATTTTCGGGGAGTATACCACTCTGCCGGGAATGGCAGACACCGAAGGGCGGCATACGTAGTACATTTCACGTATCTATTCCACACGCAGGCAACCTAAGAGTCGGGCGGATTGACCAATACCTTGTGGAACCGACGAGGCATCTTCGAGGTAATGTGATGAATCTCCAATGACTGGTTTGCATTGTCTGTGACCATCTGCTAAGATCTTAGCGCGAGCTCACCGCTGATATTCACTGTAGCGCCCGCTAAATCCATCACAGTGCCCTGGTAAAGATGGTACCCACATACCGCAACATCACTCCCTTACTTCCTCGAGCATTCATTCATTCAAACAACTCGATTCAGTTGGTTTCAAGTGTATGAGAACACGATGAGCCATTGGTTTTAACTACAAGAGATATCAATCCTCAGTCAACTTGCTCAAAACTGCGCGTAACGTCTCTATCCTAGATCTAGTAGCTAGGAGGTCGGTACCCTCCCTATACATACAGCTTTTGAATCTCAGAGGCACACGTGGCAGTCTCGCCCTTAACAGAATCCTCTGCTTACTTATTCCTCGTCTTCCTAAGCATATCATAAGCCTCAAATACACGTGTGCTTCCTCCTATGGAACATCTCCATGTACTTCGTTCCTGGACAGATGAGCACTTATAGGGAAATAGATGATCAAACCATATGCACAGGCCAACAGTTCCTTGGCGCAATCCGGTGGCTCCAGTATTGGATATTTGCAGATGGGTACGCTTCGGGTAGGTGGTTGCGTTATATGCCAGATCCCGAAAGTCATCAATCATGCGATGTCAGGGCGGCAGTATAAATCTCTTCCTTTCAACCATTTCCCCATCCACACCTTCCTCTTCCCATGCTAGTATCGCTACTGAAAGACCCCAATGAACTAGTTCATAATGGTATTGGCGTAACCCACGATACCTAGGTGCAATTTAGCCAAAATAGCTCATCACTTAATAGGTAGAAAGTGGCACGGCACGACCTGAAACACATCCTACCCTATTACGATATGATACAATCGTATGGCGAGGCTGGTTCAATTCAGCAGCCACGTGCTATCTGATCATGCCCAGTGTCGTCTACTCGTAAACCAAACATTCGTATGTTGGAAAAGGTTCGTATTAGAAAATTGCCGATTCTGTGTTCTAACACAGCCACGTTTCATGAAAACTGACAGACAATACGAGTTAGTCCAACTCCCAATTAACTACCAGGGCCCATCATACAAGTTACGCTCCAATCGAAATCCTTGCCCCTTCTCTTAACTGGTGACACTAAGTACACTATAGAGGTCACATTTTAGGCAGCTCAAAGTTGGCCGATTACATGAGTCGGATCGTACTAACTACTGATACGGTGGGTGCGGTTGAACCCCAGTCTTGGCACAAGTCGAGGTCTCGATCTTAATCAGCCCCCGAAGATGGTGTGTAGTGTATAAAACGTAATCATAATTACACTACTTGTTCGCGCGATTGGGGTCTAGTTTCTACGTGATCTTGCGACGCGTCGGCTGGTGAATACGCTCAAGTTGAACCATTCGCGGCGGAGCCTAGGGTTATGGGAGACGTTGGTTTGTCCATTAGCTATCTAGAGTACGCTTCGCTGGCCGAGTCTAATCGCCAAGCCACTGACTCGACTCCGATAGAAGTCGAGTCATCCACATAGGTGCTCTCCCCCCCTTGCAAGATAAAGAGACGGAGAAAGAAGAAAGATTGTATTTGTTGCACGACAAAACCTTCGCAGGCATTCGCACGCTCTCAATAGTTTCGGACTTGAACAAAGGTTCACGTTAACCCGTATGCGAGCGAATTCACAAGCTTCGCTATATAAGACTTGGAGCAATGCTTCGGTTCTTAATAATTAAGTCATCAAGAAATACAACCTTGACCAAGCGTGCTAATATGGCTATATAACCTCGGTTCTTGCTTCTCCCCAAAGCTTTAGCTCTACACGTTACGGAGAACCCAGTGATGGTTGATCTTCCCCAATCAGCTCTTAACATTTGCAAGCTTGAAACCTCCAGGACACAATCTCTGGAATGCACCAGTCGGATCATACTTAGAAGACACGTTCCTCATTTTATCAAGGCTATTGCCGCCGTAGCTTTCTAGCACCTTCTGTTCAGGGTTTGCATAGTTGAGATAGAGAAAGGGGCAAATACCGTCTATCACTGCAGCGGCGTATTCGTGAATGCCATCAACCGTCTCTCGAACTACTGGACCAGCCCACTCTGTCAGTTCAGAAGTCCAGACCCTGATGCTGGCCTGAATAAAAGTAGCATCGTGCGTATAATTTTCCAGGCCAAACATGTTGCCTCCAGCTGCTACTGAGTGCTGCGAGTAGAGTCTCGGGATCGGCTGCAGCGAGAGATATGCTGTAAAGTCCCCATCGGTTACCTTTTCTTCAGCCTGTTTAGCTAACACACGATACAACTCCGTTGCTTTGCTAATGATTGAGACATCGTTTTTGAAACACAGGGTGTACCAGACATTACTAGAAAATATGACAATAATCAAGACCAGACATCACGCTAGCGTTTGACATTCAATTTCAGCTTACTAGTGATCTGTCGACAACGATGTATAAGTCAGGACTTCGCGCAGGGTTGTCATTTTGAGATTGTCCATCACCTTGGGAATATCGGCGAGCCGCGCAAACGACAGCGGCCCCACCAAGACGAGGGATATGGCACACAGTGAGATTGAGCGTGCTGTCGCGGTCCCCGGATGCGCGAGCGGTGAAGTCGGCGACGGCCTCAGCAGCCGCTGGCAAGGCCTACTACACACGTTAGAGCCAGTACCTACTAGGCAAGGAAGGAAAGATTCTTAACCAATGTTTTGGGAGCATTTGGGAGCAATGAGTCCTAAACCAGCCTAAGAGGGAGATAAAAATTACTTTAGAGAACTAACCCCCCTTTGTGTGCACTGCGAAGCCATCCCAAATCGGGCCACTGAGCAATGTCTTCAAGGTAATTTTGGTAACAACCCAAAAGTTATTGCCTTCCCCTTTGAGCACTTGAAAGAGATCTTGATGCTCGCCGGCGTTGTCTACGATGACTATACGCCCGTCGGCGAGCACGAACTTCGTACGCTACGATGTTATCGCACGCAAAGTCATGACCCAAGCCGTAGAACGTGTTCCCGCCGTCGAGCAAAAACCCTCCTGCGCCAACTTCTGCCTCACGACCACCGGCCACGACTCGTCCATCCTTTTCAAGCTCTTCATAGACGTCCTTCCACTTAGCGCCCAGGCTTGTGTCCGCCGTGCCGGCTGCAACGTCGTAAGTAGTTTCTTTGAGCAGACCCAGATCGATTGTTGCGCCATTGTTGATGTTGTTGCTGCCTGCCCAGTTCATATGGTCACCAGCACGGATGGCAAATGCCTGGTCTGCATCCACGAGTGCTTTAACGGCTATAGCGACCTTGGATGTGGACCGTGGCTGAACAACACACCTAGGACGAAGTTTGGCGCTATTACAACATTGAACAGTATGGCTGTATGCGTTCCGCATAGCCTGGGCTCGGAGGGAGCAAGATGCGCTCTTGTAATCCAGCTGTGACAAGATACTGCCCTGCTGAGTTGCGGTCTCCATCATTGGAATTGGTAGACATAGTCGATGATATGACCCGTTACGAGTGTCTCTGTCATTTTAAACCTACCTGGACTACTTGTCGAGCGGTACAATGACCTGGTGGGATGTGAGGCTAGATATCTTAGTTAGGACTCCTCGCGAGGGACACACAGTGGCGGTAATGGCGGCTATGCCGTTGGATGCCCAAGCTATGATTAAGTACAAATATTGATTAGTACCTAGCATAGGGCTGATCGACACAACAATTTTAGCACGGAGGCAAGTAAATATGTATGTTATATGTGAGGGACCAGGGTTTTCTATTTGTCCGACGTTGTATCCGATTTTCTCTGCTTGCCTATTACATGTTGGGTCAGCCCCTCCTAACTGACCTCCAGACAGGGTTGTGAGAATAGTAAGTACCAGGGTTGGTAATTAGTCAGACTAAAGTGATTAAATGTACTGAAATAGAGGATATATCTGTCAAATATAAGGGGTTATATCTTAAGCTAGGATATTGGGTAAATGGGGATCGTAGGGTAAACCCACGTCAGGAAGATAAGGGCCCTTGTAAAATCTCTACGTAGTAAGGCGCGTTATATAAATAATAATAAGATTAATTAATATATATAAATTAATTAATTAAGATATAAAGATTATATTAAAATATTTAAATAACTTTTATACTTAGGATTAAGAATTTAAAAGTAAAGCTATTAACTTAAATTTATAATATTATATTACTTTAAACTTAAAAATAAAAATATTATAACTAAAATAACCTATAATATTTAAAGTTAAAAATTATTTAAAGGTAGTAAATATAACGCATCTCCCACTTAACCTGGCTAGCCAATTAAGCTGGCTACCCCCTTAACCTATATAAAAATCCAATGTTTTAATCTATAATAACTTGACCAATATTAGGCCCATAATAAAATGAATAATACCATTAGATCCGTTATTTAATAAGGAATCCAGCGGTATTTTTTACTATTTTTTATAAAATTTATTAAGCGAGATATTAAGCAATACGCTA